TCTTTGTAAGACGGGGCCCGGGCTTTGTCTCATATATCAATCTCATTGATAATTGGGGATTTAGGAGTGATTTGTAGACTAGCAATCTATTCCGCTCAATCAAAACTCAGGGATAGGGCCCTTATGTTTACTTTGCTTATAAATGCCATGGCTATTTTCTTTGCATCTGTAAAGATCTGATTGATCTTCTGTAGAATGAAGCAATCTTTAGAAATGATGGCAAAATATCCCTTTAGAAGTATGTAGAGCCTTTAACACGCTGGTCTAACAAGGACACAAAAACTGAGATTAGTGAGATATTATAATTTATGGAACAAGTATTCAAGTTACTGTGTCCCATAAGAGAACATATTTTCAAACTCATCTATCAATCAGTCACTTCAAAGGAAAGCAGTAGTTGTTTTTACCTTTGACTGATTAGTTACATATAAGGTTCATATTTGTGCATGGTTATGCTTTTAATTGTAGCATGATAACTTTGATGTGCTTGTATATATAGATTTGCAGCTTCTTTTCCATGACAAATGTGATTATTAAAAAGTGACAATTTAAGAAGAATTAGTTAAAGAAATTTAAGCGATTCTTTAGAAATGTAGTCTCTTTAATAAATATGTCACTTGCCATAGATCCCAGCTAAGGGTAGAAGATCATTTTGCTTTAGTTGTTCATGGACCAAACTGTGCACAAGGCAGTCTCTTATAAGTGTTAAAGAGAAGGTCGAGTTCTGGGGAGAGGTGAAAAATAATCTGTGAGCATTTTCATTGCTATTATGCAAGTGTGGAAGAACATCAGAGAAAAAATGTTCCCTAAAAATTATGGCTATTCAAATGCCTTCATATTCTAAATATGACATTTAACAGCTTAAAAATAAGGACCACACAGTGCTTGTTATTCTTTTTACCAAGACTGGGCCAAATTTTTTATCATTTGGATGATTCCAGCACCTTGCAGTACACACCAATACTTATATGCTACATGATCAACCTTTTTCTGAACAATTTCACACTGTTCCTTTCACGATGCAATCACATAACCAGAACTCAACTTTATCTTATAAGAGAATTATAATTCAGATGAAGGCTAGAATAGTGAAACAGTCTCCCTTTAATTGCACATTATCAGGAAATAATACCTCAAGCAATATATCAACATACAGATTGTTATGGAATGTCTGCATTTTGATGAAACATTCATCAAGCTCTCATTTTTGTTGTCATAAATTCCTTAATTACAACATTTGTGTGATGCTTAGGTTAACTGTCTTTTGTTTATGAAAGAAAAATGGCCTTTTCTTTCATGTTCTTACAAAACTGCACTTTGCATGATTTCTAAACACGCTGGTGTTCTGATTTAAATCAAAAGGTATGTGTATTATTATTTTTCTTCATTTTCATTTTTCCTTTTTTCCATTTTTGTTCATTTTCTGAATGTGTTTTATAGGGCCGAGATAGGGGCGATTTAAAAGACGATAAAAGGAGCAAGTCCTTTGAAGAGAGGCATGAGGAATATGAGAAAGCAAGAGCCAGAATTTTTAACCAAGAAGTGACAACGGTATGTGTCTTAGATTAGTTCACACCCTTAGAATATCTTTTGAGAATTTGAACTTTTGCCAGCATTATATATCTTATAATGTTTGAAACATCATAATTTCAATCTATTTGGTAGTGGTGTTTGCAAAGTTTAATGACAAGACTGAATATAATTGCAGTTTTGGCCTGTAAATAGACTTGTCTAATTTGTATCACCAAGATAGTTTATGCAACACATGGTTAAGCTCTGATAATTTGAGAGTAGCATTAGTGGGAAACATTTCTACATATTAGAATGAGTTGAAATTATTCATATGCATTGCTTTGTATTGTAGTGTCAGAGAGTTTGCATGTTGTGATAAAACTCACAAGTTGCTAAATTTGTGTGCATTTACATTTTATTAGCATCGTTATTTCTGCAGTTTTTATTGTTGTTGTTGACAATGCATGTTTTGGCACTTCCTCAGACGAGCTCTTTTCTGCATGCACTCTGAAATATTACATCTTTCAATTCATAAAATTTCTCATCCAGTAAACTTTGCAGTTTGCTAAACATATTCACAGTGATGGGCAAGAGCTGTATTTGAATACATGTATGTTTTTTGTCAGTATGAACAGACCAGTATATTGAAAAATATCAGTAATCCTTATCCTTAACAACAGAATGATTCAAGTTTCCAACTTAAAAGGTACACAGTATTAACTTTATTACTCTACAAAGCAGCAACTTGATTGGTCGTGTAATTTAAAAATGTTTTTTGCTCTGATCTTAGCCGGAAGGATTAACGGTGGAACCGCCATCCAACCGACCAAAGAGCATCCTCCAGGCATCTAGCAGGCAGAACAGTGGCACTTCCGATGACTCCTCCTCCTGCCATTGGCAGAAGGATCGTCCTTGGAGCAGCGTGGACTCGAGCGGTTCTGAACGGCCTTCTATCCCTGCTGTCACCAAGGCAAGCAGCTTTGCTGGCAGCCTCGGCCAGAAGGCACTCCTAAGGACAGACAGCAGTGCCAGCAGTCGATCCAGCTCTAGCTTGGGAAGCAGAGGCAGCCTGGGGAAACTACATCCAATGGGTATGTTTGTATGGAATCGTAAATCATGTCAAAATGGCATCCCCTTTCATTTTGTTTCGTTCTCCACATAAAATTCTTCCCATTGCCACAGAATGCTACAGGATTAAACTTGTGGTGAAGGAAAGAAAATCTTCTGTATTATCAGGGAAGCCATTTTTCAGGCTCTGACACCTTTCCATATCAGGCTTTATCAGGCTTCATATTGTACATAACATGTGAGGCTCCAACATGTCTGGGTCTCTTTTCAGGCTCATCCGAAGAAACCATCTGGTATCCCCCACATTATACATGTGTCTGGGCTTATCTCGGCAAATGCATTTAGGACAGAAATTTTATCCAGTCACTCCTAAAGTATAATCATATATGATTTGTATACAGACATCTTTATGTATGAACCAATGATAAACCCCTGTACTCTTTATCAATACAGAATACTAGATGAAGGCAATGGCATCCTTCAGCTTTATTGATGCTTAATGTGATCCTTGATAATGTAGAAAGACAGGAATCTAGCTCATACTCTCTTCTTTTCACCGCATACAGATTCAGTTGATCGTGGAGCAACCAGTCCGCATGGTCAGGTCCGGGGGTTCCCCTCTGGTTTCCCCTACCAGCCTACCTTAGGTCCCATCAGCCAGGCACCACCAGCCCCCTCTCAGCTCCCACAGCAGCCCACGTCTCCTTACTCCTCTCAACCCTCCCTCCAACAAGGCCCTCAGGTCACGTGGACCAGCTCGTTCCCCATGACCGCTGGGGGTCAGGCCTTCCAGTCTCAGCCACAGATACACCCTCTAGCAGCTCAGCAACAACAGCAACAGCAGCAACAACAGCAGCAGCAGCAACAGCAGCAGCAACAACATCAACATCAAGGACAGGCTGGCCAACCACATACTCATTCTGGAGTGCCGCTTATAGTTCAGCAGGGGGCTATGCCTCAACATACAGGGCCGGGGATCGGACAACCAGTGCTGTTTGCAACTTCCAATATTGAGAATGTACCCCCAGGAAGCTTCATCATAAATCCACAAACTGGTTAGTGTTTTGTTTAGTTTTCTTCTTCTTTTTGTTTGCACATTTGATTGAGGAGAAAATGTTGAATTAAATGAAAGTAGATGGAAGAAATGGTTATGTAAAGTTATTGATTTCATTTTCTTGAACAAGACAACCTATTCATTTGAAAGACAATATCTCACATTAGTGGGGTTGTTTTTCCTTACATTTGGTATAATGAATTAACAATGTATTAGTCTTCCTTATATATTGATCTTGCATCATTATGCTTCGCCAAACTGATGAACGGTTGAATAAATTTTGACTGAAGATAGTAATTTCATAAACGAGAGGTGTTAGTTCGGAAAGTATTTGGATCCATAAAGAGATCAAGGGTTTATGAAATAAATTTGGAGTTCAAACCAGCTTTCATCTCTCTCTCTCCTTATGATACAGGTTCTCCATTCCTGAATCAAGATGGATCTCCCATGGTAGTACAAGCCCCCGCCCATACTCAGCCTCCATCAACCAATCAGCTGCAGGCTACTCCATCAGGCCACGCCCTTCCTACCCAAACTGGTCCACAGCTAGCGGCCAGCCAGGGAAGTTTAGTTCAACATAGCCAATCTATGGTAAGTTGCATGGTTTGACTTATTTCCTGGGCTTGGGAGAGTGAGAAGCCTTATGACTTCAAGTTGTGGTTGTTGGGGGGTGTTTCACAAAGACTGAGATTGAATTTAAGTTAGGCTTAACTATGGCAGGTGTTCATGCCACTGTTTGCTCTCACAGTTATGATCTTTATGATCTGAGAGACCACTGCCAGTTAATGGTGAGAGCAAACAGTGGCATGAAGGGCCTGCCATAGTAAAGTCCAACTTAAAGTCGATCTTAGTCTTTTTTTTTAAAACCCAGGTCATGTAGAAGTCTTCGTATTCATTCTTTATTTGCTTCATAACATGGGTCTCTGAAGGAATTAAAAAAAAAAAAAAAGACAAGTTCAGGTAACAGGGTTTATATGATGTTATAAATAGTTACCCATTTGTAGCTTTTCATGAATAGATATGATTAATTTCATTGAAAAGATAAACAGTTTTGTTATACACCTTACACAAGAAGTACCTGTCTTCATAATACATATCATAAAGTAATTATTTATTGTTCTCTTTGCTAGAAGTATGATATAGAGAAATTGTTATTTGATGAATTGGCACAGAGTGTCTTAAAGTGGGTTGTAAACAATTGCATAAAGATTTTTTTGGTGGTATAGTGAATGTGTTGTGTGATGAAATAGCTTACGATGTTCATTGATTGAGAATTATATTAGCTGGAGTAGTATTAAACTAATTTAAGAGTTAGTTACCACTCACTGTATTTTAATGGCACATATATATTTATATGCCATAAGGATTCACTCATTCTCATTAATTATCCACACCATAAATTGCACTCGGCCGTTACAATAATTGTACGATATTAAACAGGCAGTACTCCTTCACCCATCAAAACTAGGTCTCCTCATCCACCCACCCCGCCCTAGTGGGCTACGGTCAGTCCCTAGGCGGAGCCGGCGGGGTGGGGGGTTTTGGACAGACCCCTAGCCAGGGGGTTATTCACCCATCATACCAGGCACATCAGCACCATCATCAGCATCAGGCTGCAATGGTCCCACACCAGCACTCTGGGGTAGGGGCATGACTGTGCTTTGGATATATATATATAATGTGTATAGCTATAAATCTCATACTCATCTTTTCTCATTGCTCTGTTCATGGTATGGTAGTCTTTCTTTTAATAGTGAGTGGTGCAAGTCCCTTCTAAATCACATTTGAGTCATTTTGCTGCTTCTCAAATTAAAGCTGAATCATTTATTTATTCAATTCTTAATTTTCGAAGCCAGGAATATATATTCTTGCAATATATCCAGAGGCCCACAAAATATCTGCCATTCAGTAGCATTTGCCATCAAGGACTCTTGCGTAAAACCCACCGGCCCAAATTCACAAAGGAGGTTTGTCGACAAACCTAGGTTTATGTGCGTCATATGACACATTTCGATGCGCTTCAAACCTAGGTTTGTCGATCTAGGTTTCTGTGCGTCATATCAACGCGTTTCAAACCAAGTTTCGACGCGTTTGACATGCGTCAAAACGTGTCATATGACGCACATAAACCTAGGTTTATTGACAAACCTCCTTTGTGAATTCGGGCCACCATGTTTTAAAGAATGGAATTAGGCAAATGATCAAGATGCAAGCAAAACAAAGCATGTGATGTACACAATATACAAGCAGTGTTTATCTGCACCAGGAGGGTTTTGCACGGCTCTTTGCAAGTGTCGCATGGCAGAAGTATTAGTGTGTCATAGAATTAGTATTTGGTCTTTGTTATTTAGCATTATAGCAATGTTTTTACTGCTGTTTATCCATGTGTTTTCATTCTTTCTAGCCTTCCAATATCTGAATGAATGTTTTAGCGTGAAGTATTTAGGCAATATGGGCTGCAAAGTGAAATCTGTGTAATGAAACCTAATGGTAGCAGGAACATATAGAGTAGTAATAGTTTGCATGAATAACGTAGTTTTGAATATCTGTTATGTAGAATGTATTCTTATTTCTGTTTTGTCTTTGTAAAGTTTATTCTTAAGGGGCTATAAAGATTAGGATTACTATGGATGAACAGTGGTTGAATGTTGCTCCATATGATACTTAGATCTTAATCATTACAAGTGTCATGTATCGTTTGTATGTCTACAGTACAATGTAGCTTGGTTGGGCCTGGCAAGCACAATCTGATTGAAAAAAACACAAAACATGCAGTATTCTTCTTTTGTTTAGGTTTCTATCTTAACAGTTTAATGTTACTTTTAGTGCTACTGATTAGGCTTTCAGGCATTCTGTCATATATGTGTGGAACCTTTGTTCATAATAATATTATGGATGACCTGTAATCAGTAGGCCTAGTCAGACAATTGAATGTTATTCTTTAGTGATTTGTATGTAGTTTTAGATGGCATGGTTGCTGTGATCTCTTGAAAATGAAGCGACTCCTATGGCTTTGAAGATAATCTATCAGTGTATGGGTAAACTTGAACTAGGATATGTTTGAGTCAAATTAATATTTTATTAGTTTTCAAGTATGTTTTGTTTTGTTTACTAAGAATAACACAAAGGTGTCCCAAAATACATCTTGAATGAATGGATTGCTTAGTTTCATTAAAGGTGCTTTTTTTTCTTCAAATATCATTAGATATATCGGTATTAGTCGTTTATCTTTGTACAGTCTTTTAATGAAATCGGGAAGTAGTAATGAGCTTTCGTGATCGACTTGAAATGAGCTCATGGTTATACTCAAAATTGCATGGCCATTGGATTGCTTCTCTGTGTTATTTCACATGCTTAGTTTAGAGGTAGATTAGATTTTCCTGTGTAGATGCATTAATGGAAAAGGGAAAATATAAGTGCTTATATCATTTATTGTTGAATTGCTTCTGAAGATGTAAGTTACTTCTTGTTGGTGCGGATAGAAATATTCCATTGACATTAATGTGCTCTTCAGCCTCATATTAAGGACATGTTATTCTCATACTTTCTGATGTAAATAGAAACTTTGTTGCATGGATCAATCTTCTAAAATTCCACTGTCTTCTGATGCATTTTTCTTTGCACTTTGTTTCATGCATGCCTTCTTATTACAGGCCTGCTTGTAGCAGCTTCTCTAGAATTAGAGCTAAAATGCAAGAGTTCTCAATTGGCAGATCATGGTTTTGTAGTTACATGAATAATGCGATTACATGTATTTGAATTTGTTTTCTTCAATTTCTTCAATGGTTATCTTTTTAGTTATCATAAGTTCCATTTAATGTCTTAAACACATCATACATTATCATTTGATAATGTTCTAGTGAAGGAAATAATTTTTGATTTTTACTGAATTTCTAAATACAGTGTAATAGAATGTATAAAGTGTTTGTATTGATAATGACAACCTTAAACTTTCTAACCATTTGATGTCTCTACTAAAACAAGAAAGCAGTCAATTACACTTATTAAATTGTTCAATACAATTGAAATATCCACGAATGTACAAATCTTAATTCCATAATTTAATTCAGTGGTGTTATTATATTTTCATTTTTGATGACAGGAGTATACAGACATGAGCAGTCAGATGCAGGGTCTTACCCTGTCACGGCAGATATCGGGAGGTGACTCAGATCCTGTACCTGGTGGTAGTCAGCACGTACCTCTATCAATCCAACAACAGCAACAGCAGCAGGGTGGGGTACCACAGTCCCCTCAGCCACAGATGCCTCATCCTGGACCCCACCCACAACATCAGCAGCAACAGCAGCAGCAACAGCAGCAACCGCAACCCCCAATCCTCCAGATGCAGCCCCAGCAAGGCATGAATCAACCCTTCATGATCAGGCAGGTAGGAGGACCAGGGAGCGGACCTGGGAGCGGACCGGGAGGAGGAGGGGGTGGAGGAGGAGGGGGAGCAGGGGGTATGCCTACATCACCCCAAGGCATGCATCCACACTCTCAAGCAACTCAACAACCCCCTTCGCATCACCAGGGCCCACAGCCTCAGGGGTTGGGACAACAGCAAGGCATTCCTCAATCACACCAACAGGTATGTAACCCCTCTTTACGACGGGACTTTATTATGATATCCTCTTGATGACGTCGTTAGGTCATAGAGATGTTTCCATTGGAGTATAGGTCATTAAAATCAGTCCGAGATTACTTTTGCATTATGTTCGACTAGAATTGTATCCTTTATGATACAGAGAGTAATAAGTCATGTGACCAAAGTATCAATTTCCACCATACGTTCATGTAAATTTTCTTCCAGTAAATTTTAAAATGGCCAATTCAGAAACTTCTATTTCTAGTTTAGGATCAACAGCAAAAACTCTTGAATATTATAAAGAAAAAATGTCCAAAATATTTGTTACTTTGATTCTGAATATTCTTGTACATTTCAGGTTTTATATAGTAGTCAACCTCAGCAACCGGCAGCATACAGAGCAACCTCAGCTTCCCAGCTCTACAACCCCCAAGCCGTCCAAGGTATGCCCCCGTCCCAAGCCCATGGTCAGCATCCAGTATCAAGTAGTCAACCGCCCCAGCTTGTCCAGCCTACCGGAGGCATCATGTATCCCTCCAACCCGCAGCAGGGTGGAGGAGCTACCACACCCCAGGGTTACTATACAGCACAAGGCTTCCCCGCCGGCATGGGGATGATGTCCCCTCAGCAACCTCCCGGCCAGCCGCAGCCAGGGCAGCCGCAGATCATTTACCAATCCCCTATGGACCAGCCCTCCAGTTCTTCCCACCAGGGTGTACCAGTACTTTATCAGTCCCAGATGCACCAGGGTGGGGGTGCCCCTCCTCATTATGGCCCTACCCTAGCCAGCCCAGGGGATGTGCCACGGTCTACCTCACCTAGCGCCCAACCAATCCATGGCATGCCCATGACCGTTGTTGTTGGTCAGCAACAACAGCAGCAGCATCAACAGCAACAACAACTCCTGAGTCAAGGGCCTGGTATGCTAGGTAATCAACGTCCCCAATCCCCACAGATCATGGGCCCTGGTGTGTCCTATCCCCAGTCTGTGCCTTCTACTGGTCCAGGTAGCACAGGTGGTGGTGGTCCAGGCCTTCTCTCACAGATGGGATACAACCCCTTACAGCAGAGGAGAGGGCTAAGTCTAGAACAGCATGGTGTCAGGCCAAGGGATTTGTTTGCACCGGGTATGAGTGGTATGCTACCTCAAGGAATACATAGTCCTGGAACATCCCCATCGCAGAGTCCTGGACCTCCTCTACAAAGACCTGGCATTCAAGACAAAGGTACTTCATACCATTTCTCTGTTTTAATATTTGTAATTCCTTATTCAGGATCTTTTTTTTTTTTTTTTAAATATTTATTTAATAAACTACTGGAATGTCATGTTTAGGGTTCATATGCTGTCCTCCTGTGTAGGTCAGATCCTCTTATTGAAATTATTGTTGATCACTATCTTTTTCTTCTCAAAATCTATATGGGACATTTCTTAATATGTAACTATGCTTGTAGGACCACAGAGGATGTAATGCATCTAACTCTTACAATCAGTTGTTAGAAACCAGAGATCTTTTTTGTTGAACCTGCTAGGTACAAAGCTCAAGATGACTATGGAATATGTATGTTACACCGAAATTAAACAGTTTAAAGCCTGTCTGCACTAGTTTTGCCAGGGGGGATTAGACCTCCCTACAAGGTCACCGACGGGTAGTTATCTCATCAAATCAGCTCTCAATTAACATAAGAGAAAGGGGATCATGGGGGACCAATGGTCACCGCTTAGGTATTGTTTGCAATATAGAGGGCGCAAGTAGCCATAAGTAGTGCAGTGGGGCATTAAATGATATTTAAATTCAAATTTTGTTCCTGTACCTTTGTCATCCTGTAGGTATGAGGCCTTCAAAATCATCCAAGCAATCCAAAGCTCCAAGGAGACAACGTAAAGTGCAACCAGGAGATAGTCTAATGGTTTCAGAGAGTCTAGAAATGCATGGTAAGATAGACATTCACGGTGTCTCTATGGTCAGTGCTCTACTCCTGACGCTGTATAATGGGTTAAAGACCACCTGTACTAGTTTATAGGAGGGATTAGACCTCCCTGCAAGGTCAATGACAGGTGGTTATCTCATCAACTCAGCTCTCAATTAACATAAGAAAAAGAGGATCATGGGGGACCAATGGTCACCGATTAGGCATTGTTTTCTATATAGAGGGAGCAAGTAGCTACAAGTAGTACAATGTGGCTTTAAGATCCCTGCTTTTTATTTATTTACTCATTGAGCAAGTTTGTCTACAAGTGTTTACAAAGGAATAATTGCTAGTAAAATGGATATACATTGTATACGAAAGCCCTATGTAATACGTTTATTTCCTAAAGTCTTCATAGATATCTGTGAATCTCTGTTTCGTCTATCTGTCTATCTATCTATCTATCTATCTTTCTATATATCTATCTATCCATCTCTCTTTCTATTTATCTAGCGTTTATTTGAATGCATGAAGAAGGAAATTGTACGCACATCCGCGAATTTGATTTCACCGAACATGAATAAGAGTGCCGATAAATGAAATGTATGTATCTTTTTATCTTTCTCTCTCTATCTATCTATCTATCTTTCTTTCTATCTCTCTATCTATTTATTTATCTATCTTTTTATCTCTCTCTCTCTCTCTATCTATATATCTATCTATTGCCAATATTAGGCTTATCAATTCCAGTTCATATCATGACCACTTGTTTTCTGTGCTCTATGTTGACACCTAGGTCCATTGGAGGTATTAGAAGTATGTCCATTATCAGCTGAAACCACGTGTGGTGCCCTATTGGCAAGCCTCGATGACCTCTCACGTATAGGAGCCGACCTGCGCTGGCTCCCCAACGCCACCCCAGCCTCCCAGGCCCTGATGTCCCATCAAGTAGACTCTGCAGACAGGTGCTCAAACTACGCGGTCCTAGCTATATTCCCGGTCTCGGACGCCGCACAAAGCGCCCTCAGTCGACCCATGAACCCCATTTACGTTCTTCGGTCGCCGGAACGAGACCACTCTGTGCGGTTATCGCTCGCCTCTTCATCGTCGTCGTCATCGTCACCACTGCCACCTATATCATAACCACACTGTTGTCTGCATGCCTAGGACATTCATATATACCTAGAAGTCTTTGTCGTCGGGTGAAATTCTTGTCTAACGAATATGTTTCATGTTTTTTTGTCATTTCCTGTTCTCACTTCTATTCACCAAATCAAATGTGAGTTGTTTGAGTAACGCAGCTTCCTCACTAGTGCAAGAATGTTTTTGATTTCACAGGCTTTTGTAATGCTAGGAAATTCCATTTAAACAAATAGTAGTATCAAATAAAAATGTAATGACTTACATGTAAAAATCATATGTTGCCTTTAACCTTAATGATGTGACCATCAATAGGTCTGTTTCCACAGCACAGGAGTGTCCCAAAAGCAATATTTTTCAATCACCAAGCAACGGGGGTTTGATTTTATTTCAAAAGCCACTCGATAGAGCTGTCACGATTGTAGATTCTATATCGACGACACATGGGTGCAGCAGATGATGATGATTATGTGTTGTAATAAAATGACCTGAAGATTTGTCTGTGTCTCTCCTTCACAACGGATGATAAGCTATAATTACCATTATTCAGGGCCCTGCCGGTTGCGATTGATGCAAATCGATTGCAATTTTATATCATTCAAAAATGTTTACTGAAGAGTTTAGAGTTTGTAAGTTTGCGATTGAATGGGAAGACTTGCGATCATTCCACATCAGTTGCAACTCTCACTATGAACATGACGGACAAAGAAAGAGGACAAAATAAACAGTTCCTCATTCTACCCTCAACAATTGCTGTGGTAGACAAAGGAACATCCCTTCACTGCTATTATGTAAAAATGTGTAAAAACATGTGAATATGCATGTGACACCTGTTCCACACATTTCTACATAATAGCAGTGACGGGATGTTCCTTTGTCTACCACAGCAATTGTTGAGGGTAGAATGAGGAACTGTAGATTTTGTCCTCTTTTTTTTGTCCGTCATGTTCACAGTGTCTTTACATAAAGGCAGGGCCCAAGGAGTGATTACAATGAAATGTTGTATAGTAGACACCTCTGATTAAACTTGTGGCTTTTGAAATACAATCAGACCTTCCAGTTTAATGATTTGATCTATCTTGTTAAGAAGTATAACTATCAAACTTGTACCTTGGAATCACCCATCAAACAGAGCATTCTTTTAGACTAATTCATCGAGTTGTATGATAATGCATGAACCAGGGTTTAAAAGGCATCCATGCGGTGTGATCTTAAGAACATTTTTTACTAAACCCTTTCCAAAGTGTATTGTGGAGAACCAAAGACGCATGACTATATCTAAGGGTACTTTCTTGTTATCATCTATCGCACAACTATCTCTAAGCTTTTATTCCTATAAGTTATTACAGAAACAATGATAATTACTTACAAATTAAGACGTACTTTTAATACTAATTTTTTAATTAGTATAAAATCATTGTTCACTTAATATTGATGCAGAACCATACAGCCTTTGATCTCGGAATGTAATTAATAAGCTGACATTTATTACGCTCCCTTATATCTTTTGTATATCCAGTTGCGATGTGTGATTTTAGCCTACCTCTAATGATAATTTATGCACCAAATTAATTTAATATCAATATTTAAAAAAGTTAAGTGAAAGCTTGGCTTGGTCATGTTTTCAAAGGGGCAAATATGGCTGAAATTTATTTTATACTTTTGTATGTAAAGGGAAGAATTCATTTTCAACGAGCATATAAAATCTCCATGTTACTATCCAATTCTGATTGAAATTGAAGATAATTAATGTAATTGTAGTTCCAAGTGTAGATACAAATCATTTCAGGCATTGCATACAACTCTGTGTCACAAGTTAGGGATTATAATATGGCTTTTGGGCATTCTATACTCGACTTCAGAGCTAATTTATTAGGTAAGGTTTTGCTATAATGCAATATGAGTACTTCTTATAAGTAGACAATCGTTTGAAATTTCTGAGGAGAGGAACCAGTTTTACTTCTTTTTCTAAACTTACATTCTCATGAGGAAATGAAGATGGGAAGAATTTATAGAATTTAAAAAAAGATGAAATAGGGAAGAATTGTTGGAACAAGGATATTCCTTCTGGTGAGATCTTAAAAGAATTTGGGTTCCTATCAATGAATGAAATAGGGATCTATGTTCTTCTCTCCATCTTTCCATTCCATCTTCTTCGGTATTAAGAACTGGTTCCTTTCCTCAAATGTGTGTGAGAGCAACAAGTCTTTTACGGGTATGTGTCGGTCAGTCAATCGGATGCGATTAGTTATATCTGGGACTGTACTGTAATGTAATCGTCTGAAAGATAAAACCAGTTTTGAAAACCGAAGTCAGGTTTAGAAAGAAGACCATGGAGCTGACCGCCAGACAAACAAGGAACTCCCTACAGAATTATATGCAAGGATAACCTTATACAAACTCCTTCTAATGCAAATGGTTGTTTAAAAAAAACACTTAACATGTGGAGAGAAGCAGATGTAGTTGCTTTGGCCCTTTCAATTGGAACATGGTCAAAATCGTTCAAACTAATGCTCATTCCCCCCCCCCCCCCCCCCCCCCCCCCAAAAAAAAAAAAAAAAAAAAATCACTGAAATTAATTTCAGTTTGCATAAATTTGTAAATCAATATTTAATTGAGAATATTTTCTTATTATTCTTGGTGATAATATTTCTACAAATCAATTGAGAATTCAATAAAAAGGGATTTTGTAAGATTGTTTATAGGTATTTATAGCATTTTTACTATATTGATAACATGAATTTCAATACATGGGACGTAATATTTTCTATTTATTATTGCCTGTCTCCAAGACCCAGTTTGAGATAGTTAAGTGTAAGTACATTGAACCCTATATAGTTTTGCCCTTGTTATAGTACATCCTGGTCTATACAAAAAAAGCAATATAGTATCGTAGTTCACCTTCTTTGACCGCAAAAGAGTTTTGCTGAAGAAATGAGAAATCTAGATGAATCAGATTGAAGCCGGATTTCAAATTTTGATTCCGTCATGTAAAGAGTTGTAGTACCTCTAATAAATTATTGTTCCAGTATAAATGTTTCTGCAGTTACATTGCACAACTTTATGGATGAAAATTCCTCCCCTCCTCCTCCCCCTCCCCTTTCCCCTTCATAGACATGACCAACATCTGTGCCTCTCGATACCTGAGTTATGTTTCTTCTTCTACTACTACCTGTTCATATGCACGATGTATTAATCTAGCCTCTGTATCTCTCACTGCCTATTGTGTAACATGTAACATGCCTATGGTCGAGAAGGACTGTAGAATATAATATTAACGTGTAGAAACTAACCAAGTCATTTTTTTACTCTGTAGGAATAGAAGGACAACATGAATGAATTGAATATTGCTTGTTTAATATGAAACAACTCATGAAGGGGACTTAAAATCTAATCTTGGGTTCTTGTGATGCAATGCATTGTGAGAGGCTTGAATCGAGTCTGAAATTGATCAATGGATTATTAGAACCAGCAAGATGTAAACACACTAACAAAAACCTGCTGGGAATCACAATCACTGAAAATCATTTCTCCCATTTGTTCACAGAGAGATCTGCTGGATTCCATTTCCAGTCATTACTAGAACACTTGATTACCGTACAATTAATAATTGCTGTTTATAACGGGTGTTAGACGGGTGAAAATTGGGCATGTACAGAGAGTTAGTTCCCTCCAACTCTCCTGGGATAGGTTTACAAGAATTGAAATATTCAACTTGAACCATGTACATGTGTGATTGCTGCCTTATACATGACAGTGTAGAAAGAAAATAATTAGAAAGAATAGAACAGAACGTAATAACTTATCAGGTTGATGTTTCGGTGAGTACTGAGTAATAACAAACAAGATACGTGCTACACAAAATTGACCAATGTTGCTCAGTGTAAAAATCAAGAACCGCTTTGATAGTGTGGCCTTCTTTAATAATACATGTGTTTACATTATGTCATAGGTGACAAGAAAGTGTGCTCTTCTTGTAACATCAAAAAGATGGGGAAGAAAAATCAGGTATGGTGTTTTAAACAATAAAGGTACCAAACTTTGTAATATTACGTTTAAAGAACACAATTGATAGCTATATACTCATAAGTTGAAGTCGTACTGAACAATTCATGTCAAGATTATCATCAATCTACTTGTACTTAGTTAGAGAAATATGTTTCTTACAATGTCTCAACTGGGAGGATAAGAAACAAATCTAGAAATGACTACAGATATTGTGTACTATTAAAAGAGCTATATGTAAAATGTACAATAGTTTCATGAAATCTATAAAGTGATTTTAGGATAATGACGATAAGATATGAAATATGGTTTTAAAAAGTATCTAAATCTATATTTTAAGAAACATAAAATACATTATTGTACTAGAATTAGACAAATAAAACTTCAGAAATGAAGATGTGTAAAAGTGTTATGTGTTTAGAATTACTTGTAAATGTTTACATAGATGACAAGAAAAGTAATTGTTATTATATCTATCATCAAGTGCCAATAAAAAGTACAGACTATTAAAGAAAATGCTTGCTTTAATTGATAATGAGTTCAAAGTTAGCTATTAAATATATATTGAGTAACATTGGTGAAATTGTTTCTAGGTTGTCACAGTTTGGATGTTTTTTATCGGTGTTGCTATTCAAGTAATAACAAAAATGACTGCATTTTTTGTGAATGAAGCTGCAAGTTTTGAAGCCACTTTATGTATCCATGTGAGAAAGCATGGAAGTTAGAAACACACAAAGTCCAACTCGATTTTCCATGTGTAAATACAACTAATTTTGATGTAACTTTTTTTTGGTCTAATTGTTAAAAAAAAAAAATGTAGCCCACCTTACGGCAGCTGTCTCATTTAAAACTAGTAGAAGACACAGTGAAATGTGAGTTGTAGAATGTGTATATTGGTTGTCTCAGAAATATGTTTCCGTTTCATTCTGTTTAATCGTACCAGTCAGGCCTAGCTTTTGTTTTAAAGATAGTACATGGTAAACATTTTAGGATGTGTTTAGATAGATATCGTTAAGTGCCTCATTTGGGTTGGGTTTTTGTTTCAACGTTTTCATTTTACACTTCAGAGCACAAAATAGCATTACATGTTTAGATAGTTTCTAAAGTATTTCTCTTTAGATTAGGATGAATATACTCGTGCACAGGGACGTTTGCTTAACCAATAATATCTCATGTTAAATCGTTAGGAATGATTTGATGATTATTGTCACAATCACATCCATACATGCTTCCAATTTGATCATTTAACCGGTGCTGAATCTTGTAATCATAACATTGAAAATAACAGAAATCAGATGGCTTGTATGTGTAATGTATGAACATATGTAGCTGAAGTCGCATTACTAATAGGTCTCTCTAACATTCATGTTGCCGAACATATATCTTTTACTGCATGAATAGTTGAATATATAAGATAGAATTTAAATTTCCATGAGATAAAGAGAAGTGTCCACATAGAGTATGATAACGTTAATTCCACCTTAATATGCAAATTTTACAATGGGTTTTGGTGTTTTCAAAAGAATATCATGTTCACATAAGAAACACAGTTCTGAATATAGTCCATTCTCTATTATTAGTGAAAGTATAAAGAAATGTATCAAAGATAAGCCTGGTGTTTAAGTTTAGCATTCTGGAGGAGGACTTAGAAAGATAGTCTACCCTGGTACGAGTATGACATTGGGGTTGGTAATGATATATGCCAATGCAGTACAATTTTCCTGGCCCAATGTAAAACTTGATGATTTTATAGCAGAACAAATCGTAAGACAAGATGAGATGTAACCTAGTTACACCAGAGTGCCAGGTTAAAACAAAACAATCTTATGCGTAAAGATCCCTTTCTGAATACTGATTTATTAAAATTGGTAGTCGAGTTTAGAATGGATAGTTTGGTTTATCAAAGTATGTTATTTTCCTTTTGTGTAGCGAGGTCAGTGATGGAAGTAAATATCTGCATCAAGGAAGGAAACACCTATTCTTTTCTTCATATTGACTGCACACCTCACTGTAAAAGAGTGTTGTCACTTCTTTGGCATCTTTCACTTGATGATAATGTATCGAAACCCAAGAAATTGATATGATGCATACATAATGCTGCAAGCAAGTTGTACTTACTATTGGCACGTAGTGGTGACTAGATCTTCTTTCCTTTTTTCGAACACAAAGTAGACATACTGTACGTGCTTCTTTTAAACAGAAATAGTAAGAACCCAAGCAACTTTTGAATGATTTTGAATTTCCCCAGTAGGTTTTTCTGTCTTCAGTTTAAATTGGTATATCGCATAAGGCTGTATTGCACAAGTACAAATAATTTCTGAACAATGTTTGGAACCACTGTCAAAAGTGTCGTTAATATAATACTATGGTAAAGGGAAGAGAAAAGAGTGGTATTTGTATAATGACAATAGCATCAAAATTTGTTCATAGATGAGACATTTTAATGTGTAAAAATGTCACATAATTTCTAAACTTTATTCCCATATCATAATGGATCTGAAATGAATTGCACAGAGCAACTAAAGATGTCATTGCTTAAAATTTGCCCTACATTTCACAAGCTTTCTATATTCCTAATTTTTTTTAATAAATAAAATATAAGCTTATTTCACAATTCTTAGGAGCAGCACTGCCATGAAGTGGGAGTGAGTTTGACTTTTTTCTGGTGGGTATTCAGCAAGTCCACAGCATGTGAGGAAGTCAGCTTGGTAAACAAATAACAACAACAGTCAGAGTACCGGTAGATAGAAATCTTTCACTCAGTTTACTTGATGTATTTTGTTGGTCTTTTTCAACTACCATAATCATTTGGCAGGGTATATTTAATCAATCTAGTTCACTAGGTAGTTATCTTTCCTTCATTTGGTGCTTTAGTAGGAATTATGTTTAAATATGTGTCTTTTATAAAAATGAAGAAAAAAAAATGTCTTGCTGTCAAAGGTGATGATGAGAACACCTGATTAAAAAATTGAGTATTTGCAAAAATTCAATGTTGTATGTAAGCAAGCTAAAAAGAAGGGAAAATCTAATGTATTCTATGGCAAAAGTACTGTAGCTAAACAAATAGATGAACAGTAGGGTTATCATTTTTTTCTTCTTGTTTTTGTACATGTAGAACACAGCATCACTTTATCATTTCTATTTCCTGTATTTTTTTTCGTGCTGTGTACAATTTGTTATGGACAGTGTTCCTATATATCGTGAGATTTTTATGTACATCCTATTTCTTGTCAGTGTGCAATGTGTACATGGAGAAAAAAATAAATTATTATGAACAGAATGATGATTCAATGTGTCTTTTTCTGTGTGTAAATGAATATTATACAAATAATGAATGCTCCACAGTTGAATATAACAAAATAATTTTATGAACAGATTAATTCAGAATTTCCCTGAGGCCACTGGCTGAAGTTGAAATATAATTTCACAAGGGAAATTCTGAAGAATCTGGAGATGAATGATTAAAAGGCAGTATTCATTCAATGTTTGTTATATAAAAAATAATGGCATTTGCGATCTCATGCGTGGCTTTTCTTTCTTCTCGAGTTGACATCCCCCTTAATAAGATTTTTTACATAGCCTTACATGTATTATGTGTGTGGCCAAGAAAATCGGACAATGGGTACGTGCAGGGAAGAGTCGTGCGATGATTGCACAGCATTTGCATGTTTAATACAGAAATGTGGTTCCACACAGATTGATACATTTACAACAAAAGTACTTTTTTTTTATATAGCTGGAAACTTTATTCAAGCTGAAGGGGACAAAATATTCTTACAATGAATAACATTGACACATTTCCTGAAGCATAAAAAATGAGAACAGACTATTGTATAAGAGATAGGAGACTGTAAACTTGCAATTGATCTGGATCAATCGCAACTGTTTATAAGACGGGGCCCTTAAGGTATCATACCTGTTATTTTTGTGATGTAATGAATGTGCAACTTTCAATATTTAAAAAAACAAAAGAAAACATAATTCATTTATACCTTCATGTGTAAGATGGTTCAAGAGGCAAAGGTTTCTAGGGGTTTTGTTATCCTGCTATTTCTAAATCGTATTTCAAGAAACAGGGCAAGCATGTACTTCACATGATAGAAGAATGCAACACTACGAAACCTGTTTAGTTTTGTGAGTAATAAGATCACAGACCAAACAGGGTCACAGACGTCGCAACATCAATTTTTTTCATAAATAAGATCATATATCAGTTTACATTTAGGTATATAATGCTTGATAGGAATTGTAAAAATACACTTTAAACTACAACTCCAGCAAAACCAGCATTGCTCTGCAGTATGACTGATGACATTAGGTAATACTTCCACCAGTGTCCAACTCTGGTGTTCCTTCTGACCTCTGTTTCCCCATTTCAAAAATAGTACAGTGACTACAGTCAAACCTGCTTTATTGACCACCTGTCTGACCACCTGTCTACAAAGACCACATTTTTTGTTTCCCTTGAATATGGTTTCTCATTGAAACATGTACTAAAGGAACCTGTCTACAAATATCACCTGTTTTAATAGAAAGACCACTTTTTTGTGTTTTCCTTGGGTGGTGGCTATAGACAGGTTGACTGTACAAAGATCAGGTGACCCACGTTCCACTCACCACCGAGAGGAATCTACACAGAATGGAAGAACTTCTCTCCAAATCCAGAGCCCTAGAATGTCTAAAAGTAAATGGACTTGGTGAACATGCACCGGAATCCTAATACTTTGCATTGGGCCTCCCAAGTAAATGTTCTGATTCCACGATGAGTCCTCTATTTAAATCAACAGAGTCTACTGTCCATGATGACGATCTCCATCCAAGGGTCACCTCCTGCCTTTGTTGAACTTTTGTTTCTTGTTGCCGCCGGGGTGGGGCTTTGAGGCTGGAATACACATGGCGCCCCCTGCGGCATCCCCTTCAATGATTCCACGAAAGCGAGCCATCTCCACGTTCTTGCGCTTGAGGTTCTCCTTCCTGATGAGACTTGTGCCGCGACCGGGGGAAGTGATCTCTACATTGATTGGTCTTCCATGGAGCATGCTCAGATGCATTGCCAACCCTCTCTGAAAATGAAAGTTGGAAAGAAGGACATGAATATGATGTTTTGACTTGAAGCTATTGCATTTTCAAAATGCGTCATGTATGATGTAAATGACAGCAAACAGCTATCAAAATATGATTACGTTCTAATAAATGAAATTTACTATTATGCTTCTTAAAGCTTATCTGTACTTGTTAATAGGATTAGACCACACTGCAAGGTCACTGGACAGGTGGTTATCTCATTAACTCAGCTCTCAATTAACATAAGAAAAAGAGGATCATGGGAGACCAATGGTCACCGATTAGGCATTGTTTTCTATATAGAGGGAGCAAGTAGCTACAAGTAGGACAGTGTGGCTTTAAGCGAATTCAATGGCATAAAGCGCATGATGGAATCAATAATAAAAAATGGGAATTTAATTTCCCTCCCAGTCGTTTCGATCAAAATGATTTATATTATATTTATATGCACTGCTTCCTATAAAAAACAATGCATTTATTCAAATTCAACTTACCATGTATGATTTGTTGTTCTTGAATTCAATGTAGCCAAATCCTCGAGACTTGCCAGTGTCCTTGTGAGTGGCTAACCTTACAGACTTCAATTCACCTGAAACGTGAAAATGAGAACATGAAACTTTCTATGTTCTAAACAGCCAGAATAAAAAGTTGAATTGTTAACTTTCTAGTGATGGTGTAATATAACACCAATAATGTATCAATTAAAACGTTCAAATTCCAGGAAGGGGAAAAAAAGCTGTGAGAAAAGAGATATGTGAAGGAGCATCCCTCGATTGATTGCTTCTCAGTTCCAAAATTTTACTTTGTAGTTATTGCCAGATCAGATTGAGGCAACAAAATTATAGAAAAGGATCGCTTATAGAAAGTTTCTTCATTTACATACCCATATTTTGTGCAGTATTTGTACTAAAGCCGTGATTTCATTTTATTTCATTTATTTCACTCTCTTTTTAAAAAACATCAAAAGTATATACATGTTTGTTCATGATCAACATAAGATAAAAGGAAGTGGGAAATCATGAAGCCAAAATTGGCTTGATGAGAATGATCCCAAATAAATACTTAGCATAAACAAGATACAAACTTAGTTTATATAAAAAAAACATTGTACATACATTCACAACAACAGAGGACAGAGGAAAGATAAATATAATATAAGATAAGGTAAGGTAAAGACAATTACAGGAAGATATGAATGTGAGGGAATGAGAAATAGCCCTTTCTTTATAATGCAAATTAGTCAGGGACAAAAGGAATGTACCTAAGGAGGAGTGATATGCCCCAGTGAACATACACTCACTGTATGCAGGTAAAAGCTCATACATGCAGTGAGCAGAGATGGGACTGGTTGTAGCTGTGCCTACATGAAGCTGTAATTGATGTCTCATCCTGATATTCTTGATGTATACAATTGATTTTGGACACCTTAATATGTGAGTACAGTATATTATTAACTCTCTAATGTTAAGATTGCTGAGGTGCTTGATTGGATAGATTATGATTTGTGTGAAGAAGAGGGAGATTTAACTTTAATTTACATGAAGGATGCATGCTGGTGGTAATTGAGTTATGCCTATTAATGCTAGAAAAGCGTGGTAGGACATTGCTTTTTGGTAAGCCTTGTATTGTGATTAGTTGGTATGTTTCTATATTGCTTAAGGCTGATAGAATAATTATGGTAGCTCACTCATTTGGAGAATTGTGTTATATATATGTGAAAGTAATAAATAGGGAGTGGCCTTCATTGCAGATCTATTTACTACATGAATTTCATAGGCTGAGGTAAACTCAATATCTATACAATGTACATGTATGAACTAAAATGCATACACTGTATAATAGGAAGATGGAAAGCAGATGTAGCAAGTAATTATTTGTGATCATAATGATGCAATACTTACTGTAGTTTTTGTGTCTTTTAATTTTCTACAGCAACTGAAGTGACTTCACGCAGTCAAGGGTCTTCTACCCTCTTTTGTTTGATTCGATTATCATGAAATAAAGATTGGCCTATCATACCCAATAGAACCGCAACTACTGCTTCGTCTCATTTATGACTTCGAGTCGATACCCTCACATTTGGTAGTACGGATGGGGTGCGGTTTCTCTTCAGATACCTGAGAACTATTGGCTTGGCCAGGTGTGTAGCTAGCAAGGAGTACAAGACAAAAGAGGGTAGGAAGATGACGACCATGGAAGAGATGAGGGAGGAGCTGGAAAAGCTGTCATTGGAGCTGAAAAGTCGGGAAGTCTATTTCCCTCCCAAGGAAAAGAAAATCAGGCCCTTTAGTGGCACTGAAAATATGCTGGTCTCAGATTTTGTGGAGGACATTAGAGCAGGAATTAAACTTCGAAAGCTGACGGGTGAGAGTGCTATTGACTACGTGCTAGCTCACTTGGAAGGATCTGCAAGGCAGGAGGTGCAACATCGCCAAGATAGAGAAAAGAAGGATGCAGAGTCAATAATGAACATCTTATTGGAAGCTTTCGGGGACAAGCTGAATGCTAGTCAACTGATGCGGCAGATATATAACCGAGTACAAAATGAAGATGAGTCTGTGGCACAGTACGCATATGCCTTACTTGCATTTGCGACTCGATTGCAACGTAAACCAGGAGCTCCAGAGTCAAAGAATATCATCAAAGAACAGTTTGGAGATGGTTTGAGTGACCCAGTACTCAGGAGAGAAATGAAGCGGTTGTCTAAAGAAAAGCCAGGATTGTCTTTTCTAGAGGTACGAGACTGGGCGGTGGAGATGGATGAGGGAGAACTTAAGGGCATCAACCCACGCAAAAAGAAATGCACCACCTACCAGGCTGAAGCCACAGCACAGATGGGAAAGATGATAGAGGGGCTCACTGCAGCGATCAATGGCCAAACACAGTTACTTGACAAGATGATAGTACAACAAGGCATCTTCAACTCTCGTCTAAGTCAGTTAGAGGAGAGGCAGGACAATGCCATGAGTCCCAGGAGACCTCCCCTAGACAAGAGTAAGATTGAGTGCCATCGATGCCACCGAATGGGTCATTATGCAAGGGAGTGTGAGAGTCCTCATCCTGGGGGCAATCCACGTACACAGAGGGCTGGACAGTCAAACAGTCAGCAACAGCAACAGGGAAACTGAATACACCCAGGGCTGAGAGCCAAGCCCTGGGTGCCTCCTCAGAGATATTTGGAAGGGGCTCTAGAAATGGAGAGCAAGACAAGCTCATTGGTATTTGCCCCACGAGCATCATAGCTATAAATGGGATGGAACTCACTAGTGTGGTAGACTGTGGGTCTCAAGTCACAACCATCACTTCCGATTGTTTCCAGCGATCATTTCCGCCATCGACTCTGAAGGACTTAAACTGGATTTCTCTTAGTGCAGCAAATGGGACAGATATTAATTACTCTAGATATTGTGAGGCTGATGTGACTATTGCTGGCATTACAGTTCCGGAAAGAGGAATTCTAGTAACAAATACAACACATAAACCAAAACATCCCATTCTGCTTGGAATGAATGTTCTACAAGGATTGCCAGTTGAGACCTTAGCAACCGTAATTGGAGCTGATGCGTCGGTTGTCACAAGCAAGAATTTGATCGACAAGAACAGTACTGTGGGCCTTGTTCGTGTAGGCGAAACTAGGGGCTGTAGAACAGCGATGGGTTGGCGCCCTCTCTGCATTCAACTTTGATGTACAATACAAACCTGGAGCGTCAAACAAGGTAGCTGATGGTTTATCTCGATGCCCCCATGCGTCACCCGACACTGCACAAGAGGCGACATATACTTCTGATGGATGTTGTATGGTAGATGGATGTTGTATGCCAGAGGAACTCCAGCACACTCATGTCTATTCCCAATCTATCCAAGATGAGGAAGAAATGCTGGATAATGAGGAACCCAGGGAACAGTTGGAAGAATTTCAGCTTCTAGACTGGCTGGCTAAGCTCACCAAGGTTCTACAATGGGCTTACCAAAAAGCAGGGGAGAGACTTGAACATGAAGCAGTTTATCGCAAGGCACACTATGACAAATCTGCTAAAGAGAGACCACTGACAGTTGGCACCAGAGTGTACCTAAGGAGCCATCCTCAAGGTATCGCTGATGAGTGGCAATCAACGATATACAAGATTGTATCCCGACCAGGAGAGGGAGCAGTCTATGTTATTGAGAAAGCAGATGGAAGTAGTGGTCCACGGACTGTCAACCGAAGGGAGCTAAAGGTGTGCCCAGTCAGTGAACAATCAGACCCTGTCATTCTCAAAACCAGACAGGGGAGAACACGCAATACCCCCCAAGAGCAGACTGATAGCATTTCTGATGACTCCAGCTCAGCCATTGAAATAGTGGTAAGGGATCTACCAGCTGAGTCCACTGACGAACAGCCTGATTTACATGTCTGGACCCCTGAACCAGAATCCAGTGATGAGGATGACCTCCTTTCCCCACCACCACATCCACGTCGAAGCCTGAGGCCGACTAAAGGGAAACACAGCAATCCTCTTCGTCTACCTCGGTCTGCAGCGACAGCTAACTTCATCGATGGTAATGCCAGAGTAAAGCCAAGTGCACAGAACGAACATAGTGTAGTTTTGATTGACAGACTCCAAAGTGGTATTAATCGCGAGTTACATTGGGATGAAACCTCTACGTCATATTAATAGCAACTCTTACTACCTGATATGGAACTATTACTGGAGAAAGTGGTTGGAATCTTGTGGACGATATCAGCGTTTGTGAACATAAAACTTTAATCGATATTATTGAAGAAAACGGTGGAAATATTGATTGATAAGATGTGTTTGTGAACAAACACATTAATTATAGTTTTTGTTCTTTTCATACAGGTATAGGAAAGAAATGGACTTAAAGTTGGGATTTGGGGAGGAGAATAGTTTTGTTTTGATGTATATCTGGAGAAGTATATGTTTACAAATTTATACTGTACATGTATCTTGGTACCTATGCAACTATATGGAAAGTTTGAGGACAAACTTTGATTTTAGCAGGGGAGATTGTGAGGGAATGAGAAATAGCCCTTTCTTTATAATGCAAATTAGTCAGGGACAAAAGGAATGTACCTAAGGAGGAGCGATATGCCCCAGTGAACATACACTCACTGTATGCAGGTAAAAGCTCATACATGCAGTGAGCAGAGATGGGACTGGCTGTAGCTGTGCCTACATGAAGCTGTAATTGATGTCTCATCCTGATATTCTTGATGTATACAATTGATTTTGGACACCTTAATATGTGAGTACAGTATATTATTAACTCTCTAATGTTAAGATTGCTGAGGTGCTTGATTGGATAGATTATGATTTGTGTGAAGAAGAGGGAGATTTAACTTTAATTTACATGAAGGATGCATGCTGGTGGTAATTGAGTTATGCCTATTAATGCTAGAAAAGCGTGGTAGGACATTGCTTTTTGGTAAGCCTTGTATTGTGATTAGTTGGAGTATGTTTCTATATTGCTTAAGGCTGATAGAATAATTATGGTAGCTCACTCATTTGGAGAATTGTGTTATATATATGTGAAAGTAATAAATAGGGAGTGGCCTTCATTGCAGATCTATTTACTACATGAATTTCATAGGCTGAGGTAAACTCAATATCTATACAATGTACATGTATGAACTAAAATGCATACACTGTATAATAGGAAGATGATCTGGAAAGCAGATGTAGCAAGTAATTATTTGTGATCATAATGATGCAATACTTACTGTAGTTTTTGTGTCTTTTAATTTTCTACAGCAACTGAAGTGACTTCACGCAGTCAAGGGTCTTCTACCCTCTTTTGTTTGATTCGATTATCATGAAATAAAGATTGGCCTATCATACCCAATAGAACCGCAACTACTGCTTCGTCTCATTTATGACTTCGAGTCGATACCCTCACATGAAGAAAGAGAATTTAAGAAGAAGGAAGTTGGTCAAAGCTTTCTCACCAGCTGTAGAGAAGTGCTTGGTGACATCTTCTGTCGTAGCACTGTATGGAATCTGACCAACAAAGAGCACATAAAACTTTGCTTTCTTTCCAGATTTCTTCCCTTTTGTCTCTGTGGTATCCGCACTTTCAGCTTCTACAGGGGGCTTGACTGTCTTGTCAGTAGATTCTATTTTAAGAAGAACAAAATAATTACACAATGGATGGACTATTACGGAAGAAAGCGAAAGGATTGATAAAAACTAATATAAAGGTTAAAAATTACAGTAAGAACAGCCATTCTGAAATACTTCTATAATAATGAAGCTCTGAAAAGTAGTGTTAAAAAACGAGGGGAAAAATCTATGAAATATATATGCATATTGAAGAAAACTATTCGCACATGCATTGGTCTCTTGTCTCTGTCTCTTTTTTTCTCCCTCCCTCCCCCACCCCTTCAAGTAAATTCAGTACTTTTTGTTGACTTGTAATTTTTTACATTTGAGGGAGGGGGGAGGGGGCTGAGGGCCAAATGACAACTTACCTGCTGAATTGTCCTCTTCATTCTGTTGATTCGCCTGATGCTCACCCCACCATCTGAAATACAAGGAGAATTATTTCCATTGGCAACATTTAATAAATAGAATAAACCTCAATTAACATGATTAAAGAGAAACTAGGGTAAAGAATAGTAATTTCATGGTGATAGAGATCATAGAGTAATCATTCATGGGTACAAGTTAAGCCAAAACTCAACTTCTATTTCTAAATACTTTCACAGTTTCACTCATTCAAATGCATTCATTCGATTCAGATTTCACTTTCAAGTTTCACTTTCACGAGTTTCAGTTTGTCCGCTTTGCTTTGCCTTTGGCCTTTGGGCTGCTGCACGCGATAACACTGGCAATCACACCACAGACGCACTGACATAATCTCTCTTCATATTCTACACTAATTTATTTAGATCACTTACTTCCACATGGACAACAACACGTTTAGGCTATAACCAGGTGCAACAAGAAAAGCTTTAGTCAAGATATATTATTACAACACAAAATTCAATATGTGGTGCAAGGCTTAAGTTAATTTAGCATCATCGCGCGTGTCAATGATCATCATTATGAAACCAATGTAGAATATCTCGAGTACCTAAAATACTTATATTTACTTACTGCATTCTACGCTCCTTTCTAGACTTGACTGGTGCTGATTTCGCATCGTTTTCTGCCATTTTATTTAGTGAATGAAGAAATTTTTATTGTGTCGGCCGACGGATCTGGAGCATGCGATTAGCAAATTAGTGACGTCATAACTTACATTTCTCACGCTAATCACATTTGATTAGACCATTTATTTGTACAAATTGTGATTTAGATAAACAATCATGGCTGAAGGACAGCAAGTCGACCTTATGCAGCTCCCACTCCCACAGCTGAATGGCCTCAAAGAACAGCTAGATCAGGTGAACTTTTGTAAATTATACCCAACTACTAGAGCATGAGCCGAGCATTGGCTATTGTGGTCCCACGTATCGACCATCGTGCTGGACCATTGCCATTGAGAATGAGAGGGGAAAATGTATTTGTCTAAATTAAATTAAAGTTAGTAGTCTAGATCTAGATATTTTGTGCTGCGTACGTGTATAAGGTCATTCTTCATTGACAGCATAACAGTAACAAATGAACAAGATAAATATGAATTAGATCTAGGTCTATGAAGTCTTGCTCACACACTTGTTTGTGAGAATTGTTGACGTGAAGTAAAGTCAAGCCGAGTGAGTGACGTGAGAATGAGTGAGTCATGAAAGAGAATCAGCAATGTAGAAAATTAAAAACACAAAATGGATTTGTGAAGTAAACTTATTCATGTAGGGTCTTGTTTAGTTTAGAATTGTAAAGAACAGGGGGCCGGGGAACTACCTTTTGAGAAAGAGCAAAAGAGGAGAACAAGAAGACCCTGCCCCCCCCCCCCCCCCCCAAGACAAAAAAAGATTGAGGGATGAATGAAGATCAAGAGATGGTGAGAAGACGAAGTACATCGGAATTCATATTTTCATCGTACTTACTACTTGGTCATGTTGGTCACACTATTAACGGAATCGATTTATTCTATTTTATGTTGCAGGAGGTAGAAATGATGCAAAATTCTTTGCAGCAACTCAAGATGGCCCAATCTAGGTTTGTGGAATCATCGGATAGCATATCCAAATTAAATAAGGATAATGAAGGTTAGTTGAAAACTAGTTACAAAGTTTAATGTTCATGCAATATGTATGTTCCCTGATGAATTTCGGATATAATCTGTTGTGATGAAATACATGAATAAGACAGTTTAGCATAGCCAATTAGCCCGTAGGATGGGAGTTTATCGAAAAAAATTATGCACAATGGCTCTCTCATGCTTTCTCACATTTGCCCTTGGAAGGTAAGCACAATTAATGAGAAAATTATGAAAACAGAGTACAACATTTCTTTGTACTAGAATCGAACAGACTCTCCAGTTTATCTGCAAGGAATCACAGACCTACCTTTTGATAGTTTAAATCTGCAATTCTTGAACTTGGAATTTTAGGAAAGCTGAACAAAATATTTCAAGTCTTGCTATCTACATGAATGAAATGAATTGATTAATATAACCATAACAGTTTTAAGATGATGTATGTATGATGGTATCCATTTGAGGACATCAACTTTTTTTAAATATCAGGTCAGAAAAATAAACTTCATAGTTCATACACCTTGTGTGACCTCATCATTATCATTTATTACAGTCAGCCTTTTCCCTCTTACGAGGGGTTACTGACTTTCACACCATAATGATACTCCCTCCCTCCACTTCTTCTTGTCTTGAGCATCCTTCTCATTTACACCAACCTTACTGCTTTCTTTCTTCACCATTTCTTTTCATGAAATATTTGGTCTTCCTTCCCCTCTTATGCCACCCACTTCCAGATCCCACACTGTTTCTCTGGCACTTGTGTTCTTTTCATCGGACAGTTTCACACTACACATCTTCCGTATCATGGCTCTTTCTCAAAATACCTTCTACTAGTGATTTCACATTCCAAGTTTCTGAACCATATACCTGTATTTTAGAATTAAGGATAACTTCTTTTGTTTCTTTAAATGAATTTGTATTTATATATTTTATATACTCACTACTCAGAATCTTCAGTACATATACTATTGTCAATTTTGTTGTTGATCTTTTTGTTCATCTTTATTTCTACAGGTAAAGAGATGCTGGTTCCACTAACATCATCTGTATCCTTTATTTTGCTACTTTTCAATGACAGACTTAAAGGCTAAGCCCTTATCATGGCAGAAAACAAAACAAACAATGAACATTTAACATAGAATGCAGACATACAATAGCAGCTGAAAACAGATTTGTTACTGTAGATCATGGTCCAAAACAGATTGCGGCTTACATGAAATTGGTATTTGACAAAGGTTTTGTTAAAGAATAAGCAGTCCGTGGTGGTATCAGTTTCATATAAATATAATTTTCATCCTATTTGTGAAATGCAAGAATATTTCCTTGACCCTAAGCATTCACAGCTCTACGTACCAGGCAAACTACAAGATGTCAACAATGTCTTAATAGATATAGGAACTGGCTACTTTGTTGAAAAGGTAAGTTTTCTACTCAGCAATTACTTTGCATTTATACATGTACATGTATGTTCTTTGGACTCAAATATTTTATAATAGATAAAGCAGGGCAGTTTTAAACTTCTTTAACCCTCACAATGCCCCAAGCCCCAAGGTACAAACATGTCAGAAATATTCACCAGTCTGTAAGAAATTGACTGCAAATAAATTATTGTAATGATTGAAATGGATGGATTTCTGTTCCCACTGATGTACATGGGTTTTGAAAAGCTGACTCCTGAATATGAGCAATTCAAAACATGTCATTTTCCTAGAAAGTATTTTATATAAAAGTATAGCGGTATGTACATTAAATAATAATCAAAATCATTTTGATTAAGTAAGAAAGAAAGATCAAAAGGAAAATATTGATGATACTGAATGTTCTCACTGTCTTTTATTCACAGCCACTAGAGGAAGCTAAGAAGTACTTCAAAAGGAAAGTAGATTTTGTCACAAAACAAATGGAGAAAGTGCAACCAGTACTAATAGAGAAATCAAAGATGAGACAAGGTAAGAAAAATGGGATGAGAGCAAAGGGTTTTTCACAAAGACTAACATCGACTTCAAGTTGAACGTAACTATGGCAGGCCATTTATGCCAGTAGTTCCTCTAACCATTACTGGCATTGGTTTCTCAAGGGACGTATAAATCGTTGTCACAAATCTACAGAATTAAAACATTTTGATAGTTCATTATCTAAAGATCATAATTGATCATAAGTCCAACTTAAAGTTGATCTTAGTCTTTGTGAAACTCTCCCCAGGCATGATAAGCCTTGTTGATTTGATACTTGTTATAATACCAGAGATAGAAAATAGTGTTTTGAGTTAAAATTCTTGGCAATAGAGATGTTTAGACTCCATTAGGATTTACTGGTAAAAGGATGCCAAGATTCAAAAGAAAGTATGGAAAACTATGGATGAAATGTATTTTTGAAAAATAATATCGCTAGTGATATTCATTTGTCTCGCAAAGTATGGTCAAGAAAGGATCTAAAAGATCACGCCGTTTCATGCGCCGCTGCAACACTTCGTCAGGTGATAAAATATAATGTAAGCAAGTATTTTGTTGCAATCTTTCGTTGTATAATATCAGTAAAGTTAATACAATTGAAAAGCACATTCAAGAAATGTTTTTGATAAAGAAAACTTTCACATTTTAAAACTAACTCTCTGCATTAAATCTCAGAAATATCAGTAGAGTCAATACTTAATAGTGATGTAGAGCTTATTAGCCTTGGTTGGTCTTGGTTGTACTCAAATTTATAAATGTACATTTAAAGCCCGTCTGCACTAGTTTGGCCAGGAGGGATTAGACCTCCCTGCAAGGTCACTGACAGGTGGTTATCTCATAAAATCAGCTCTCAATTAACATTAGAAAAGAGAACTATAGGGGGGATCGACAGTCACCGCTTGGGCATTATTTGCTATGTAGAGGGCGCAAGTAGCTATAAGTAGTGCAGTGGGGCTTTAATACATTGATTTTGCTTTCTCTTACAGTTGTGATGGATGTGATGAACATGAAGATTCAAGCTCAGATGTCTCAAATGCAAAACCAGCCAGTAAAGTCATAGGAGATCAAAACAGATGAGCTCATCCTTCATGTATAAATTATTCATTTTTTACAAGATATTACATGTCAGTTTCCCTTAAGATGTTCTGATGCATCCAAGTGTAAGACCATTGAAATGTATTTCTGTAACTTTGCGACATTGGATTAACCTACTTCGCTGTTGATGGTACTGTTGTTTTTACTATGAAAACTTTAAAGGAGTACCGGTAATGTGAAGAGACCAATTTAAGAATACATTCATTTTTATGGATATTTCTTTCCTACTGCGATATTCTTAGTGTAATATTTTTAGGGATGAAATCATATTCACAATACCAATTTCCACCCATGGTTACCATCTATTTCACACACATGTTGTGTATAATAGCATCTTAATGGTTAAAATTTGTAATGTGTATACAGTATTACATGTTTCTATGTCAAGCAAGCCTCTCACAAGGTTTTAGGTCGTAATGAGCAACTTTTTATTTGAGAAGCATGTATCAAATTAATATACTCATTTATTATTTAAGGCACAACTTCTCTACCCCAAAAAATTGCTGTGATAAGCATTTCATTATAAACATCTGAAAATAGAACTCCCTTTTCAGCATGTTGTCTGAATGGAACTTGATACTGATTCTGTTTACATCCTGTGAATGAAAGAATTGTGTATTTATTTTGCCACATGATATATAAGTCCATCTAATTTAAGAGGATAGAAGTTGTGTTTTGGATCCCATTGCTTTACAGCAGTACTGACTTGTTTTGTGATAAATAAAGAACATGTGGAATCTGGGGGCCTAGTTTGTGAAAAGACTTTAAAAATGTGAATTTTTCATTTTTAATTCAAGTATTGAATAGTGGTTTTGAATTGATAATATTTAAAATGATGATTCCATACTGAATAGATCAGATTCTTTCATGTTTGTAATTGAGTGATTTGTTTTCTTCCACTCTAACAAATTCAAATTCAGTTTTCTGATTGGTCATCATCATTGCACATGTGCTAAAATGTGGATGAATAACAGTGCATGCCTACCAGAATAGAATACAGATACATGTATATCATATAATTCATGATTATTTTCATTGAATGAGAGCAGCATTATTACCGGTACAGGGTATATCAAAGTTGTATCTGAAACTTGATTTTCTGTCAGAAAGGTGCCCAAATTTTCCCCACCCTGGGTCACCCCCTCCCAGACTGTCCCCCTATATGGGGGCTTTACACCCTCAAAAGGGCCCACCTTGTATAATGTCTGCACCCTCCCCCCCCCCCCCCCCCTCCCCCTCACTAAAATTCTAGTTACAAGCCTGATTGTGTAAAGAAAGCTATTTTAATGGGGTTATTTCATGAGTTGACGAAAGGGGGAAGATAGCATCATTGAATATCATAAAATTACATTTATCTGCTGCTCTGTATATCTATTGTATTCCAAATTCAAGAGTGTTCAAATTACAACTTTGATCAATGGGTACCGGTAAGTAGTAAGACGTATATGGCATGATGATGATATGTTCATGGGTATTCAATGTGATCACATGAGCTGTTCCATTATCAGCCATTTCAATAATCTTCAATTTTGCATGTATGGACCATTAAAGGTCCATTCACTATTACATCTGTCATCTGAGACGCAAAATTTAAGGATTTTTGCCCAAGCTTCCAATTTGTTTGCACACTTACATGGTAGATTGGCGTGTAATATATTATGTGTACACATGTATCTCTTTTCATTATTCTTTATTTGAAAGAATTGCTGTGCTTTATTTTGTGTTTTTATGACTTCCTGTTTTGTAATGATATTAAAAGAAACAAACTCTTAATTGATTTGATTCTGTTTTTTTTTCTTTCTCTCTCTCTCTCTCTCTTGTCAGTGTTATGGTATTTGGGGTGTATTGATGTGAGTTTGTCAAAAAGATATTTAGAGACAAAATTGTGCAATACAGTCTCTGTGTAAATCTTAATAATTTAGTGTTGAATTGTGTAATGTATAAATTTGTCAAGCACCTTTGAATGTTGAGTGGAGATGAATGTTAACCATTGTGTACACAGTTATCTACAGGGATGATGCTTTGGGCTCGAGGTCTTATGGTGGGTAAATTATGATTTTAAAGAGTTGAAAAGTGACAAAAACTCTTTAATAGGGTTACATATCTTTGTTTAATGGCTAATTTGATTATTAACACAAATACTTTCCTCTATACATTGTAAGAGAAGAACATGAGAGGCTGTTAGGATGACTAAAGTAAGCACTATTTTGAGTAGTTTTCTTGACTTGGGGAGTTAGTGAAATATCCATATCTTTAGTTTTACCATACAAGGTGATTATGAAGAGATAGAGGGAGGGAGGAGGAATCTGAAGGAAAAGAGAGAAAGTGTGAGAGAGAGAGAGAGAGAGAGAGAGAGAGAGAGAGAAGGGAAGGAAAGGGAGTGAGCGAAACGAGAGAGAGAACACAAAAATATTGTTTTATTTGCTGACACAAGCCACCATTGTTTCACCGATTTAAAACACCTAAGCATTTCATATGACATTACATGTTCAAACTATTCTAATTCTTGAAATTCAAAATTTTGCCATGCATTAAAAATTAAAGAAGCATATTTTGACAAATGTCTTCTTGTTATATACAGACCAAAATAAGATGTGATATATATTCTTTTGTTGGATATATCATCATCATGATCTGTCAAAACATCTCATTTGAATATCAATGGGCTCATGGTCATGCAAAGCCAAATATTTTCAGGCATGACGCATTCGCAAATGAAAAGAAGAAAGATCAATATTTAAAATCCCTCGGAAGTGGCGTTATACCACTTTTAAAGTGATATAATAACAGTACCGTTTTCTTTTGATGCTGAACAATCATATATTGCATATCTTATATGCCCTAGCTGTATACCAAGCAAACGAGCTTAGAATATATAATAAATAATGAGTATAAAACTCATAATGAGTCGTTTCCATTAGTGGAGAGGAAAATGAGCTAAATTAAGCGGCTATCATCTGCTATGTAAACAATCCATCTCATTGGGTAGATTCCTAATGCATGTTTCTTACCAACAGCCCAAACTGGGCGCACAGACAATAGAAGATCCCGCATCGCACGTCAGTCGGAACCAGTCTGTGCATGGGTCTCTATAGCGATCAATGTAAACAACTGGTCAGCCGTGAAAAATCAATGGAAAAATGGCCGTGAGTTTCTCCGCGTAGTTCTTGTTCTGAAGTGGGACACTCCAATTTCGGCCGTATTACAAGCTGATAGAGTTGGAAAAGCGACACTTCCTAATCGGAAAGAAACTATTGAACGGATTTTAAAGCTTTAGGAAGTGGTCAACATGGCGGAAAGTGTAAAAGTAGCGGTTCGTTGTCGGCCATTCATATCCTTTTCATGAACGAAGTGATGGCATCCTTCCCCGCCTGAGCTGCGCCATATCCCAGGGCCTGCCTTTCGCACATGATGCAGCAGTTCTGGCAAGGGCGCAGTGCGGTGTCGAGTTGCCTGATTTTTTGTGATTTTTTATAATACTTAATAGGTCTAGTCTAGGTAGAAAAGTGAATGGGGATGGAATACTAAAGACTAGCTAGGTCTATATAGATGCTTTGTTTTCAAAGACTGAAAAGGTCATAAGGTAGAGCTATATTTTAAGCGTACAGTTTAAAATGGGTAGGGAGCTGGACATTGCATGATTGTGCTTCAATGTAGATCTAGGCCTATAGACCTCTATATTATTATTGGCATTGCTTCCATAATCTACCATCTTTGTGAACACAATTGCACAATGTCAATTATATATACCCCCTGTACTGCATGACTGATTACTAATATATGATCAACTAATAATAATATGACAATGAAGTAATTTATTCATATAGTTAAATCCCAGCTCTTTTGGAGAAATTGTGATGATTAATGATAATGATGATATTGATAATACAATGTACTAAACAGTACTTCTACTGTTTTAGTACTTGTACTACATCTGCTAATGATAATGATTGTATTCAGCACAAATTTGGATCTGAGACAGTCATATGAAGAATATTGCAGTAGGCCTATAACTTAATTGTGTCCCAATTTAGCATTTGTATGAAAATCAACGAAATGAATAAATCAATGAATGAAGTTTGATGTTCATAATATATAAAGTTTGACCTTAATTCCGGTGCACAACTCCAGAGAAAAGGCTCGCAATGCCAAGCTCATTATCGACATGAATGGGAATACCACCACTATCTCTGATCCAGAAGCCCCAAACGAGGAACCACGCAAATTCAACTTTGATTACAGTTATTGGTCACATGATGGATACACAGTGCCGGCTACCGATGATGGTTATCTTGAAGCATCCAACAAAAAATACTGCGATCAGGTAAAGATTTGGTCTATACTGAATCTGGTGTAGCTTGGGTACAGCATTCAGGGGGGCAGTGGCGTTATAGGGGGGGGGGGGGGGGGGGAGGTGCTCTGGTTGTATGAGATTGATATAATACAGATGACTGGGGAAGGATGTTGCAGAGGGTCATATAATCTCTTCTCTTCCCCACCCCTCCATTTTCTTGCATTTTTTTCTGATTTTTTTTCTTTTTCTCTTCTTTTTGCTTCTTCCTCTACCATCTCTATTAGGTTCAGGATTGGAAAATGTTTCAGGTTTTTTTTCAAATTAATTTTTAAATTTAATTGATGATTATATATTACCAATTGATTTGATTTCAGTTGATTAAAATTGTGATGATCCAAGCCTCTCATCTTTGTTGTCTATTAACGCTTTTATGTACCGGTACATCATTTTACAAGATTTTCATGTTCTCCTCTTGCAGAAACGAGTGTTTGAGGATCTTGGTAGAGGTGTTTTGGCCAATGCCTGGCAAGGTTACAACTCTTGTCTGTTTGCCTATGGACAAACTGGCTCAGGCAAATCCTACTCTATGGTGGGATATGGAGAAAACAAAGGTACACACAAGTTAATGTTGTTGTTTTAGTTTTAATGGCGTGTATCATTCATTTATGAATATTTACGCTGAATTCAAGTTGCATCTATGGCTGTTGCCAAATAGTCTCTGTATAGTAATTATTGGTGAAAAGAGAAAGACTTTAGAATGTATTAGGAAAATTTGATTTTAATTTGGTTTTACTACAAGAGTACATATTTTAATTTTTAGAATGGAGAACCTTTTAGAAAAGGAATTGTTTCTCATTAAAGTTGAGTATCTTGACAGAAAAGAAGTATGGGAATTTTTCAAGTTGGATTCAGAGGATTGAAGGCGACGTAAAGTAAAGATAATTTTACCACAAATACAATAAAGAACTACCCCAAAAGATTATATATGCTAAATTCATTGCATAAATACCTTGAAAAGACTTTGGTCATGTGAATTCAGGAATTTTGAAAGATGTAATCCTGCCAAATATTGTCAGGATTGTATAATAATCTTTCTGTTTCCAATTTTAACTCTAATGGTATTCGTAACATCAACCATGGAGCCCGTGCTCTGCACCTAAACCATAACCTGAAAATAACCAACAACCCAAGCCCTAACCAGTCAATGATGAACTGTAGCTCAGAGAAAATGTTCTGGAGCAAGTATTGGCTCTCTGGTTTTGCCTGTCACAGCAAAGATCAGTAAACATCATTCTGACAAATTGACAAAATAAAACAAAAATGTCAGAATCAAGCCCCAAGAGGCTATTTAAACTGATGATGTTATTTCTCTCTGTTGTCTAGGCATTGTACCCATCTTCTGTGATAAGATCAGTAAACATCATTATGACAAATTGACAAAATAAAAGTTAAATGTAAGAATTGCAAGACCCAAGATAGACAAGCTATTGAAACTGATAATGTTATTTCTCTCTGTTGTCTAGGCATTGTACCCATCTTCTGTGATAAGATCTTTCAAGAGATAGACCAGAAGAAGTCTGAAGGTACGAAGGCGGAGTACGAGGTCTCTTACAGCATGTTAGAGATCTACAATGAGCAGGTCCGAGACCTCCTCAATCCTGCATCCAAGAAGAAGGGTGGTCTCAAGATCAGAGAGCATCCAAAGAAAGGTTTCTATGGTAAGTAGGGGGTGTTTGTGTTCTGCAAAGAAAGACTGATGGCAGTTTAGTTAATAGTTTTCTTGGATACCTGAGCCCTGTCTTACAAAGAGTTGATAACAATCTAAACTTATTTGTGATTGATATCAATCACAACTATGTACAGAAGAGATGTGAGACTGCTAATTTGCGATTGATTTGGATTAATCGCAACTCTTTGTAAGACGGGGCCCTGATCAATACTTTTTTTAACAGAGACAGAAATGTTGTCAAGTATAGCCACAATTGTGCTTTAAATTGCCACTGATATATCATCTGAAAATGTAATGTCCCATTAATATGAAGAGTTTATTGATGGCTGCTAAAAATCAGAGCTCACAGAGTGGAGATAGTTACGTCACTGCACTGACAGTCATGCTCGTTCATTCATTCATGCAGGTCATATTCATGCAGCACCAAAGTAGTTCCTTCCATAGAGATTGTATTTGAGACGAACTATTGAGAGCTCCACAAATTGAGCTTAGAGTGCACACACATGCCTGTGTCATAAATCTCTTTCTCTCAGTATATTACTACTAATGTCGAACCTGCTGTAGTGACCACCTTGATACAAAGACCACATTTTTTGTTTCCCTTGAAAATGGTTTCTAATTGAAACATGTTCTAAAGGAACCTATACATAAAGACCACTTTTCTTGTCTCCCTTGGGTGGCCATTATGGACAGGTTTCACTGTACAATTACAGATACCAGAAGATGATCCTCTTGTGGAAATATACTGTTCTCTGAAATTGGACCCTATAATTATCTCATTCTACAGTATCCTCGTACTTAGTAATAGAAGATCAACTTTAATAAGAATCGACTGAGCATTGATGCAAAAGTACCTTTATTTACTACCTTCAGTGGAGTCACTTCGCCAGACACCCGTGCAGAGCTACGTCGAGATCCAGGCGCGTATGGATGAAGGAGTGCGCAACCGAACTGTAGCCGCCACCCAGATGAATGCCACCAGTAGTCGAGCTCATACCATCATGAGCATCATCTTCACACAGAAGAGCGTCAACGATGCTGGACAGGAGATGGCTAAGACCTCGGTCGCCAATCTTGTCGATTTGGCCGGAAGGTGTGTAAACTTATCAAAGCTTACAGCCAATCTGTACTAGTTTGGCCAGGGGGGATTAAACCACCAAGTGTGGTCACTGACATGTGGCTATCTCATCTACTCAGCTCTCAATTAACATAAGAAAAAGAGGATCATGGGGGACCAACAGGCACTGCTTAGGCATTGTTTTCTATATAGAGGGAGCAAGTATATGTAGCTACAAGTAGTACAGTGGGGCGCCTTAAATTTTGAGCAGTCACTGTAAAAGATTTGAACATGATACTTAATTTGTTTTATTTTAATTCAGGAAATATAAGCCCAGGAAATTTGTTTGATTGAAGTTGGATGTGCTGCAACGTATCATGATCATCGCCTGTGGGCCCTTCTTCATAAATCAATAACAAATGCTAAATTTCTATTACATTTTCTATCAACCAATCCAATGCCACAATTTCAGTAGCTTATAACAGTTATTGTAGCGTGTTATTGATGACAAGTTTTATGAAACAGGGCCCTGGTTTTCAAAGCTACACTAACTCCACTTTTTTAAAGAAACAACTAACGAGGTCAATTAAAATATTTTACCTGTCAGTTATGCTATTGTGAGGAGTAAATACATACAAGTTAGTAAACTCGTAATTTACTATAACAAAAGTTGTGTTTTGCTCAATAACACAGCAGCAAACTAGTTTAAAAACCAAACAAGCTTTTTTTTCAGTATCAGTGAGGAAAGAAAAGCTGTATTACACAGATGGTCAAAATTTTCTTTCCTCTATCTACACCATCAGTGAGAGAGCTGAGTCAACAGGAGCTACTGGTGATCGGTTGAAGGAAGGAGCTGCTATCAACCAGTCGTTGTCATCACTTGGTAATGTCATATCGGCTCTGGCAGACAAATCAAAAGGCAAAAATGTCAAAGGTGAGTTACTGTTGATTCATTTAATGCCTTTTTTTAAAAGGTAAACTTATATTTATGGTTGTGTAGTGGAATTTTGAGAAAATTTTTGCCTTTTGGGGCATATCAGTACAGGATCGCATCAATTCATCAGTAGAGCACAGAGCTAAGAATGTCAAATTCTTGGGGCTGTTTAAAAAAAAAAAAATCTTTACATTTTTGAGGGGGTCAAGTTTACATTAAATTATTTGTAGGCATATTTTCCAGTAAAATCATGAATGTAGATTTCATGGAAACGCATTCCGGTAGTTCATGTACACGTCGAGTAATTCATGCATCTTTTGTCTGTTTTCATGTTTAGTTCCATTTCGTGATTCCGCACTGACGAAGCTGTTGAAGAATGCCCTGGGTGGAAACAGTAAGACAATCATGGTTGCTGCCCTCAGTCCTGCAGATATCAACTACGATGAAACTCTCTCCACATTGAGATACGGTGAGTAGCTAGGCTACATTGTGGAGCCACAGGGGTGTTTACGTTGTCTTAAAATATACAAGTAAACTCCTTTGTGGCTTTAAAGCCTGTCTGCACTAGTTTGGCCAGGAGGAATTAGACCCTTAACATAACAAAAAGGGGATCATTGGGAACCAACAGGTACCGCTTAGGCATTGTTTGCTATATAGAGGGCGCAAGTAGCTACAAATAGTGCAGTCCTGCTTCAAACAGATGTTGTGTACTGCCCACTTTAAAGAAGGGAAATATACAGTCAGATATGTAGTTTCTCTGATTGTTTTTCTATTCAATGTGTAAAGTACTTTAAGTAAATGTAAATTATCTGTTTCAGAATTAAATTATAATGGATTATTTTGTCTTGACAAATTCATGAAAAAATAAAAATCAGAAGCAAAATATAGAACTACATGTATGTTTTGATAGTCCTCTGTGCAGACACCCTTTGTATAAATATAAATTTATAACCCAGTTATAAATTTCAATCGTTTATTCCTCGACCTTTGACCTTCAGCTGATCGCGCCAAGCAGATCAAGACCATTGCCGTCGTGAACGAGGACCCGACCGAGAAACTGATCCGAGAACTGAAAGAGGAGAATGCTCGTCTCATGGATGCAATAAAGGCAGGAGGCATCGTGGCTGCCGCCCCTAGTGATCAAGAAACAGCAGGAATGACAGAAGAAGGTATCAGACTCAAACAATTACTTTCCATAATTTTGATTCTTTTTTTCTTTTTTTCTTTTTTTTGATTTTTGATTTTTGATTTTTTTTTTAAATAATTTATTAAAAGTTTAGTTAGGTAAATAGTTTTTGCTGTATAGCCATATTTGATATTTAGTATTCAAGTACTGGTGTATGCACTGAAAAATCATTTGAGTACCTTATTTTTCTTCTAATTTTCATAAAAAGTAATTCTGTTGTGTTTTCAGATCTTTTTTTAAAGCATAGTTAGGTAAATAGTTTTTGTTGTTTAGCCATAGCCATATTTGATATTTAGTATTCAAGCACTGGTGAGAGCACTGAAAAATCATTTGAGTACCTTATTTTTCTTCTGATTTTCATGAAAAACAATTCTGTTGTGTATTTTCAGATCTAGAGATAGTGCGTGCCCTTTTTATGCCTCCGTTACGAAGTAGCCGGAGGCATTATGTTTTCGGGTTGTCCGTCCGTCCGTCCGTCCGTCCGTCCGTCCGTCCGTACGTCTGTACGTACGTCTGTACGTACGTCCCGTTCTCGTGATCACGTTATCTGAAGAACGGATCGATGGATTCCTACCAAACTTTGGTCATATATGTATCTAGCAAAGTCGATGAACTGATTAGATTTTGGGGTCACGAGGTCAAAGGTCAAAGGTCACAGGGCTCATTATGTATGCAAAAACAGCTCGTGATCGCGTTATCTGAAGAACCGATTGATAGATTCCTGCCAAACTTTGGTCATGTATGTATCTTGTAGAGTTGATGAACTGATTAGATTTTGGGGTCACGAGGTCAAAGGTCAAAGGTCACAGGGCTCATTATGTATGCAAAACGGCTCGTGATCGCGTTATCTGAAGAACCGATAGATGGATTCCTGCCAAACTTTGGTCATGTATGTATCTTGCAGAGCCAATGAACTGATTAGATTTTGGGGTCACGAGGTCAAAGGTCACAGGGCTCATTATGTATGCAAAAACAGCTTGTGATCGCGTTATCTCAAGAACCGATTGATGGATTCCTGCCAAACTTAGGTCATGTATGTTACTTGCAGAGCCGATGAACTTATTAGATTTTGGGTAACGAGGTCAAAGGTCACAGCGCCCATTATGTATGCAAAAACAGCTTGTGATCGCGTTATCATTAGAACAGATTGATGGATTCCTGCCAAACTTAGATCATTTATGTATCTTGCAGAGCCAATGAACTGTGTAGATTCTTGGTTCATAAGGTCCAAGGTCATGGGCTCATTATGTATGCAAAAATAGCTTGTGAACGCATTCTCATTAGAACTGACAGATGGATTACTATTTAACTCTGGATATCTTGCAGAGCCAATGAGCTGAGTAGATATTAGGATCATGAGGTCAAAGTTCAAAGGGTCATATATGTATATGAGAAATTGTTTGTAATCACGATATTCTGAGAACCTGTTAATGGATTACAATTGAACTTGAATTTGAAAAATTTCTTCTGTTTTTGTTTGTAAAATTGCTCTATGACGGAGGCATCATTTTCGACTGCGCGCAGTCGAATTCCATCTAGTTTAGATCTCCTTTTAGTAATCTTTTCATTCATATTGATAGCATCTCTCATTAATGCCTTGATTTGTTTATTAAAAATCAAAGAGAAATACATTATTTCGGATTTGGTTATTGTTTAGAAACATGTTTTTTCTTGACATTTAATACTATACCTTTTTTCTTGTGGTTCTATTTTACACTTTTACATGATGTACATTACATCACAGAAATAGCAGAAGGTAATTCATATGATTTTGATTGTATGAATGTGAAAAAATTGCGGCACTAACAAATAAAAATGTTGTTTCTGTGTGTGCAACATTTCCTTAATTTTAGGCCTCCATATTTCTTTCATCTGCCTTCTCTTTATTAAATCAAATGTCTTTATTCCCTTCACTTCTATTCCAACCCCATCTCCACTCCAAAAGAAAAAGGCCTCCTGTATGATTCACAGATTTCAATTGGTTTCCTGAAAAAAAAATTCCCAATTTTCTTTTCTTTGCCTGATTTGTTTTTCTTCGTGTGTGTGATTTGATCATGATTTTTGTTTTCTTCCTTAAATGGACAGTCCCTGAGATCGATGTAAATCCAGTTAAAATTTGCTGTATGTCCATGATTTGCCTGAATGCCTTGCACAAGCGCACAACTTTTTTTAAACTCAACTCCCACTAAAACCTTTTTATTTTCAACCCTGATTCTGTGACATCTTGCAGATTGTGATTGTGAATTTCAATCCTGTGATCTCTGCATTCATTCATTTTATAGTGGAATTTGAAGTTGATTGCAAAGTTCTCCATATTCCTTTCCCATCTATCCTCTCTTCATAAAATCAAATGCCTTTAAGTTTATACCCTTCACTTCCGTTTCCACCCCATCCCAACCCCATCCCCACTCCTCTTAAAACAAAAGCTTCTGTAAAATTCTGTGACATCCTCTAGATTTTGATTGTGAATTTCAATCCTGTGATCTCTGCATTCATTTATTTAATAGTGGAGTTTGAAGTTGATTGTCATACTGGCATTACTACAAAAGTCTCCATATTCCTTTCACATCTATCCTGTCTTCATAAATTCAAATGCCTTCATGCCCTTCACTTCCGTTTCCACCCCATTCCCACTCCTCTTAAGAAAAAGGCTTCTGTATAATTCTGTGACATCTTCCAGATTTTGATTGTGAATTTCAATCCTTGATATCTGCATTAATTCATTTAATAGTGGAGTTTGAAGTTGATTGTCAGACTGGCATTATTACAAAGATTTAAAAGATTATCAATCTGTCGTCATTAGTGACTCTTCATATTATTTCTATTCTATTATGGTTTATCAATTCTCATACAGGTGCTTGTGTATACATCATGTCTACTATTATGATGCCTGTATCATTTTCTTTCTTGGCTGTTTGTAAAATCTGTTTTTATTTACTAAATTTTGTATGAATGCATTCATTTTTGTGTGTGCATGGCTCTGTGTAAACAAAAATCTTCCTTTTTTGACTCTTGCATACATGTGAGTTCATATCTCTTTCATCTTAGAAAAATTCAGATGTGCACAAAAAACAACTCATAATAAGATTAATGGATAATATCCAATATTTCAACTCTACATTTATTTGCAATGTTTCATGAGATTTTTTGGGGTTAATATTAAATCTGCCACAATTATATAATAAACCTTTCTCATAGCCAAGCAAATGCAATTATGTTTTTGTAGGAGCTTCTTTAAATATTTTGACATGGAAATGAAACAAGTTTTTTGAAGCAGACCTGAAGTGACCCCTAATTGACCCCAATACTAATGAGGAAATGAAAGATGATGGGTTCAACTCCAGCCGAGATGGATGGCTGAAGCTTTGGTTAAGTGTTAACGAGCCTCTCCCTTTTTTCCGTAAATGTTGACTTGGGTAACATAGAAAAAATACTCAGTCCCTCTGACAGGATGTTAAATGTAGGTCCCATGTGTAAGTTTACACTTTCTTAATGCTGAGAAGCATAGCACTCCTTGTGAAGAGAAATGGGTGAATCTAGGTGTATAGGGTGTACTTGGCTGCATTCCCCCAATCAGTTGTACTGGGAGGAGAGACCCAATTAGAGCCCTCGTTGTTGAGTTTACTTTCCTTTCCTAGGCAGAGATGAAGAAATCATAAAAGTATAATATTTTTCTTTTTTTCTTTTTCAATTCTCATTTATTTCATTCTCATTTATTTCATTCTCGATTAAAAATTGATACATTGATACAAAAGATACAAAATATTTCATAAACAAATTTAGAAAATGAAATTATGAAGTACATTTGTTCAAGCGTAGTTTCCAAAGCATTCTGGCATAATGTAAAGCAAAGATAACAAAAACAAAATAATAATAATTTTTGTTTTGCTCTCGCAGAGAAGGATCGTCTGAAGCAAGAGATGGAGGAGGAGATGGCTGCTCGGCTTTCAGACAATGAGAAGGAGATGGAAGAGATGAAGAAGACTTGGGAGGATAAGCTCAGACAAGCTCAGGTATGTTTGTTTTTTTAAAATCATCTTGGCTTTTCATTTAACAATCCAGAAGCACCCACCGAATTTTGTATGTCTTGGATCTTGAATTTATTTCCTCCTAAAAACTCTGAAGAGAGTTTTGACTGGAGATGTTATTGTCATTGTGGATATATAAAGGTGAACACAAACTAAGCATGCGTTCCATTGCCGTTTTCCCTATATATATCAAGGCTTTTGAACAGTGATTATTCAAAGTTTTTATGCGGCAGACTAAATTGCATCACACAGGTTAATTTCAAAGAGAAAAGCATGTGCGACTCATTCAAATGATTATGAATGTTTTCGTTATTAATCTTATGTCGTTTACTGGATAAAGAAATTGCTTCTGGTTCTGGGAAAGAGAAAGAAAGAATGGTTGAAATCTTGATGAAAATATTCCTCAGTGGATACTTTTCAAAAAACAATTCTCTAGAGGTGTCTAGGTCAAGTGGATATTGGCAAGACATTGATGTATACATTTGCCACTTTCCACCCAGGTGTTAAATGGGTACCCGGTAGGATGCAAAAGTTATTGTGATAAGCCAGTGTGCCGTGTAAAAATGACACCTGGCTGGAATGCTCCCCAGGGAGTGGAGAATGTGCATATATTGTGTGCGGGTAAGCCTGAATCCGATGACTGGGGTAATAATATATATCTGTTAAGCGCTTTGAGAAGGCCTGCAGTCCTGAAAAGCGCTATATAAGACTGAACTATTATTATTATTATTATGAATCTGTTTGGATGTTTATATAGGCTTCAAACGTAGGAGATGATTCTGAGAGGGCTAAGAAAGAAGCGAGGAAGAACACGCCTCATCTTTTCAACCTTAACATTGACCCCGCCCTCTCTGGTATGATTGTGCACATCCTCGCCCCGGGCACTTACAACGTTGGCAGTGACAAGGCAGAAAATAAACCTCAGATTGTGCTCAATGGACTTAGGTAAGTCTATTTTATAATCCTCAAAAGCAGAGCTAGTTTTAAAATCTATAATGGTAATTCAAATTTATGCTATTGATTTAATATTATACTTGTTTATTGATTGACCAGATTGATTATACAAAGAAAAGATAAAAATGTGATTATATGAAAATTTGATCAAGTTTTTTATTCTAATAAAAAAAAAAAAAAATTTAAATTGTGCATCTTAGATAAATGGTGACATACAACCAAATTACTATTTTAATTTTTTAGTCTGATGCAAAAATGTGAAATATATTTTTTACATGGAATACTATGACATTAAAGTTATCATTAAATTGACTTTTTTTTTAGTATACGCCTAGTAGGAAATTCAAATTCAGTAATAAATTTAAGCACATTGTTGTATAGAAATATATAGAAATCAAAATAACAAGGAATGCAAATAAGTTGGAATAAAGATGAAATATATTTAACAGATTGACTAGTAGTTGACCTAATTATTATGAGAATTAAAAGTCAAACCCAAGGTCTAAACAGAATGAAAGTAGTAAGAGTGGCAATGTAAACAATATTTCAAAGAACATGCAATGATGTATGACCTGTGGATTTCTCATTACAGTATCCAGAAGGAGCATGCTGTCATAACGAACGAAGGAGGTAAAGCCTTTATCGAAAAGGTCAGCCCTATGGCCAAACTTCTAGTGAATGGTGATCCCATAACATCCAAGATGGAACTGGATCATAATGATAGGTATAGTGCAAAGAACTTAGCCCTTTCACAAATTAATCAAGATAATGTTGATTTATAGATGTATGTATTAATTTTAAAAGCTTTCAGAATATGTAAAGGCATTTATTTAGAAGTGTTGTGTCAGCTTAGAATCAAAATGAAGGGTTTAAGTCAGCATCTCAACATCGATTGAGTGCCCAACTAGATCTCAGCCGACAAATAATATTTTCTGAACAACATAGTAAACTGCATATTCTTAAACCACACCTGATACAGTATTAGATATGATATTAAGTTAAATCTGTATTGAAAGACTACCTTTTGATGAGAGTGCCTTCTGAGTTCATGCAAGTACAGTTAGCTACTTGTAAAAAAAAAAAATCCTCATTTTTTTCATAACTCAAGAATGAAAGATGGTCTGGTTGAATTAGGGCCTTTGTTGAATACTTAGAGAGCTTTGATATGTCCCGTTCGAAAAAACATAAATTGGAACAAATTAATTTGCACATACTACAAAAATTACCAAACACGGTAAGTGGATGACAATTAATTTAGTTGTTAAATATGTATAAATACTTCTGTAGAACATTTCAAATTGCTGAGAAGGAAAGAAATATGAACAGTTTTATTGATAAAATCTCCATCCATCTCTCCTTCCTATGTTCTCCTAGGGTGATGTTTGGATCCAATCATCTCTATGTCTTCAAGCATCCTGCTCTAAAGAAGGCTGATCCTAAAAAATATGGCGTAGTGACGTATGAGATGGCACAGCAAGAGATCGCGGAGAAGAATGGCTTTGATATGTCCTCCAAGAAAACAGGAGGTATGCATACATGTTTCTCGATTAATCATTTTATATTCCTTGTGACATGATTATTATGATTACATAATACAATATATCACTTTGCTTTTACCTGATGAGCAAAGGAATTGCTTGGTAAATTCTTCCAAGGACAGTCTGTTGTTTTTGTTTCACAATTGCGCCTTCAGCATTTGATTTTAAGTGGATTCGGCTCTTTACAAAACTCACATATCATTATTATTATTATTATTATCATCACTATTATTAAAGGTAATACAAATGAAAATCTTGGAATATGCAGTTCTGATCTATAATTTCCAAACGGGAATAGAAAATCGGTCGATTTTAGTCAAGAAACATTTTTTTTAAGCTAAAGCAATACCAACCTTGAGAGGGCTTTACAACAAAGAGTTTATTATTCACAATTTCATCACTGAAGACTCGATTTCTACCGCGACAACGTTCATTGAATACTGTAGGATGGCATATGCTTCCAATATGTTCATTTGAACCAAATTCATGACCCCATACCAAAACTTTGTATTAACTTTAATGAAACTGAAAATCAGTACTTATAATTGCCATTAAAAGTAGGTGGGTCTGAGGGCATATGATGGTAAAATGTGTAGAAGAAGAAAAAAAATACAAATTCTGAATTTCTGACTGATGGGCGAGAATATATGAATGAGAAGAGTGGAAAATTATCACTGCAAAGAATGTAATTTTCATACATTTTTTTTTTTTGGGGGGGGGGGAGGGAGGGAGTAAAAAGTACACAAATTAGTGATTTAAAACTAAGAAAAATGCCATGTGCTATTGAAATATTATTTGTGATATGGGTCATCAACACATTTTACAAGAGTTTGATATAAAACATTTTTAGTTTATTATTGAATCTGAAATGATACAACTCTGATATTTCTTGATCTCACCTTGCAGAGGATTTGCTACTTCAGGAGGAGTTGGTGGAGATGATTCCGATGGTGGAGGAAGCTAACGCAATCAGTGAAGAACTTGATAGGAAGGTCAAGTTTGAGATTGTCGTCATGTCACCAAAAGCCAGAGGGCTTGCTCATGGTCGTACAGAGGTAAATTAATACAGACATGTTGTCACAATGCTTGATGACCTCAGGATATTAATGTGTTTGTGTGGAATATAGACTGCAATAGAGTGTGTCAAGATTTCTAGTAATCGCATTTTCAAAAGAAAATATTGTCCACTATGTGACTCTGAGTCATCTCTAGTTATTTTTCAAGTGCGCTAGTTCCTTTGACTGAAGAAACCGTATTAACTGTATTTGGTCGTCTCTTTGAATATTACAGTATAATTTGCCTGTGAAAATAGTTGATTGTTTACAGATTTGTCTCAGAATGAGGAAAATACATCTCTGAAGTTTAAGAATATTGATTGATGTTTACCTATGGAACAGCAAATGTTTATATTCAAAAGAAAAGGAAAGAATGTTATTCATACTGTATTAAAGATACCTCTGAAGTCGTAGATCTCGTCACTAAAGGAGTACACATCCAAGGGATTCCATGATATTGCCACCACACTTTATACAATCCTGCTTCCAATAACCATATGATGATCAACATGCATATTCAGAAGATGAATGGTTCCTTCGACCAATGATTTCTTATCAGAATGTATTCTACAGGCTATGATTTACATATTTTATACCCGGTTTACAATGATTCTATTAACTCATCCTGTCTTGTTTCCTGCTAGGTCTGTGTGAAGCTACGTAACCTGCAGAATGAGCTGGAGTACATCTGGTCTAGGGATAAGTTTGTTAGGCGCAAGTACCTCATGCAGGAGATGTACGAGAACTTTGCCGATGGATCTGACTGGCAACTTCCAGAGGTAAGTTTAAAAAAATTGCTTTTTCCGACATGTAGAGGATCTTGTGTAATTCTTTGATATTTGGTAAATTGACTCTTTTGAAAATATTTTTTTCCATGGAAAGTGATCAGTAATAATAAAACGTGTAAAACTGTGCTCTTTCTGACATGTAGAGGATCTTGTGAAATTCTTTGATATTTGAATAAAATGCATTTAACCCTTTCAGTGTCTCTAAGTTTTAAAAACATTTATCATAGAGTGGAAAAGCTTGAGAGGCAGTATGAGTTTTATTGGCCATGAAGTCGTTATTCTTATCACACAAATGATGCTTTCTTGTTTTGTCAGTGGATTCATTCGACTGTATTGTAACAGTAGATGTATTGTGGATACGTTACACATTTCACTACATTGCATATATATGTCATATGTATTGTAATTTGTAGGTTTATTTGCATTTTTTTCATTTTTTTATTTTTTAAACATATGTTATTGTGTATCATTGTATTTTGTTTGTTATAGCGCTTAGAAACTTTGGTGGTAAGCACCGTTTTTATTATTATTATAATTTTAATTTTGATTCTTTCTTGTGTTCTACAGGAGAAGGATCCGTTCACAGAGCCCTTGAATACAAACATCCAGATCGGGGTGGTCAATGTATATCTCCAGAGTATGGCCTACATGGTGAGTTAGATAGTAATTCATTTACAAATTAATAAAAAATCACCTTTTCTTCAAATGATCACTTGATGTTAGTCTAAATGGCAATATTTAGGTTTAGTTTACTATCTTTGTGATATTTATTGATTTCTGTTACATCATAATTCATTTTTTGTTTTGTTTTTGAATTATTCTCTTATTCATCATCATCATCGTTTATTAAAGACAGCATTTTCCGTCTTACAAGGGGTCACTGACTTAAGTGCCATGACGACACTCCCTCCCTCCGCTTCTTCTTATCTCGGGCATCCTGCTCATTTAGACCAACTTTATTTCACCATATCTTTCCATGAAATAATTGGTCTGCCTTTCTCTCCGACATCCACTTTCAGATACCACACACTTTTCACAGATTCATTCACATGACCCATTCATCGCAATCCACTTCTCTTTACCATCATTGAAAATTTAACTTAGTTTGAAGGAAAAGACCAAAAACTTTCAAACCTTTATTGGGTAATTCTATGCTATGTATGTCACACAACTTGCCTTTTATTTAGGTATTACATACGAAATGTTTTTTTCTTGTATCGCTACCAATCTTCAGTACAGTCACATCAAGTGATTTTTTTTTAGATTCTTTGATGAAACAAATGAATAAAAGACATATGTCCTAAGGGACACATTGCCCTGAATGGCCCTATTCTTGTTCATAAACAAATAGACAGTGCGAATCTTATTGAAAGATCTCTTTTATGGAAAGGCAATGTCTGAATCCAATCTGATTTACTGTATTTCAGATCGAAACCAGAGAATCTCTGGAGATCAGCGATTACCGTGGCAAGCAGCAAGGTCTGCTCGACGTCGAGATCATACCATGTGACGATAAGGGGAAAGAACTGACAGAGGCGGACGACGTCTTCGTAGACGACCCCAAGGATCTGATCAGTCGCTGCGTAAACTTTGTCATCAAGATTAAAACGGTGACAGGTGTTCCAAACAGATTTAAGGTAACTCTATCTCATTCGATTGAATGAATCTCATATTTAGAATTGATAATATTAAGAATAGAGGGTTCTTGTATAGCGCTCATGTCTGTCAGACTGTACACTCCTGGCGCTCCACAATTCATGCATTACTCTTGTTCCTAGATGAATTATTATTATTAACTTTAGTACAAGAAATGATGTGGGAAAGTAAAAGGTTCCATTCTATTTTTCTAAATGAGACGGGGGAAAAAGATTACAAATTCATTATTTCATCCCTTTTACTACAAAGTTAACTACATTTTCAGAGATGCAGTTTTGTTTTTTAATAATGTCTCTTCCAGTGCAATTATTTGGTAGAAGCAAACTAAACAATGTAGAGCCAGATGATATACAGACAAACCTGCTTTAGTAACCACCTGTCTACAAAGACCACATTTTTTGTTTTCCTTTGAAAATGGTTTCTCATTGAAACAGGTACTAAAGGAACCTGTATACAAAGACCACCTGCCTATAAAGACTATTTTTCTTGTCTCCCTTGGGTGGTCTTTATAGACAGGTTTCACTGTATAAGACTAACACCAGGGAGTCATAGAAACATTGGATCATACTCTTCTCTCTTTCCAGGACATTTACTGCAACTACAAGATGTACCTCGAGAGCGAGGAGAACAAGACGGACTGCAAGGACAGCGCCGGCATGTCTGACTTTGCCTTCCGCAAGTTCTACAACTTCCAGGTCGCGACCTCCCAGCTGGTGGACTACCTCCAGAACGGGATGCTGACGATCTCGGTGTGGGGTCGTCAGGAGCCGAAGACTTCGTCCAGGACTAAGAACCTCAACACGGCCCAGATCATGATGTCGGAGACCCTGGCCAAGGGATCCAGTTCGGCATCGGTGGCTACCATGGAGACCGTGAGTGTTCTTTCATCTTTTCTCATACAGGAAATAATTTTTTTTTTTTTCTGGGCCCCGTTGCACAAAACTTACCATTGAGGGTAACTTTGCCATCAATGGTAACTACCATGGAAACCTTGATTTTGATTGGCTGTTGAGCCCTGTTACCATGGTAGTTGCCATTGATGGCAAAGTTACCGTCAATGGTAATTTTACGCAACGGGGCCCCGTGTCTTAACCTTGGGATCGAAAGAAGAGACTGTGTATTTATATTTATCATTTATACTAGACTAAAACATTTTAGTGTAGATAGATTCAACAGCTGAAGGAAGTGTAGGAAATATAGATTAGAGGTACATTTCTTTGCATATATAATCATGTACAACTGTTGATGTCTTTCAAATTTTGTTTGCTTTTCTTGTTTTGTTTAGAATGTTGCTTGTACTCTAATTTGTACCATGTATATGTTGTACCGCTTTTTGTGGTGCAACCTGCCAATGACATATTTGTAATTTGTACTACCGGTACTCGTAATGGATCTGGTTAATCAATGTTCACTTCAATGTTCATGTTGTGTTTGACTACCGGTATTTCTTTTGAATAAAGATGACACATGTTTTTCAAAAGTCCATCTGTACTGTGTGGAATAGCCTATTATAGGAAGGATATATATACCCTCGAAGTCACAGAATCTTTATTAAAGAATGAAACATAAGATTTTCTAATTTTAACCAGTTCAGAACTCACTTGAATTGTGGTAGGGGTAACTGTAATGAAGTTTGAAATAAAAAGACATTTTAGAACTTTTGTAGAAACTTTGTATAAAAAGAGTGTAGGTCAACATTAATCTTAGGTACTTCTGTCTAAGCATATACAAGTTCTTTGAGTTGAGAAGCTAGCATTGATTTTGTTTTTCTTTACCATGCGACAGTCTGGAGAAGGAGGAAGTGTAAGTTCCACATTAATAGTCCAGGCATAATTTGATATGACCTCCCACTAATTGCAACAGAAAATTTCTCAACTGTTTTGTGCTCTTGGAGGTGTCCATTATAACATACCAAAAGTCTTAAGGAATCCGGGTGGGGGAAAGTGCCATGACGGCCATTTTTTCAAAATGGCCGCCATGTATAACTACTGTTGTACAATTCTGGGGATTACTTTTTAACAGCACCTCATTTCACCATGTATAAGGTGTCATATGAAAGACAATTACATTTCCTTCAAGATGATACCTCATTCAATAGGTTTCGAGATGATTTGCTTATCAATTTTGAGCCAAAAGTGTGATTTTTTACCATTTTTTCCAAAAATGTGAATTGCGCCAAAATACATATTTCTCCATATTTATTTGATTATTGTGGTAACCGACTTGAAACTTGCTGAAAAACTGTTCAGCATCCTGGTTGATATCATATCCAAATTTCAAGTGTATTACTCTTCAAACTAAAAAGTTATAGCGCTCTAAAGTTGAAACTTTGTTATGAGCTAAAATGGCAAATTTGGTTGCTAAGGGCTATCTTCTCCTTAGCAACGGTAACATATTGGCGTGAGAAATAGAATATATCACGAGAAACTGCTATCACCAAGCAGATGACTACTTTTATAGGAAGTATGATGTCCAATGATGCATTTTTATCCTATTTTAATGATAAATATGGCTTAGTTCCCGTTGCTATGGTAATAATATGCCTAGCAACCGATATAAAACACATATTTTTGTTGTAAATCTAATATTTCCCATATCTCTGCTTCTAAATAACATAGAGTTTTGATTTTAAGTGATAAACATACATTTCCAGGGACAAGGAATCAAATTAATTACATTTTAATGAGCTAAACCTAGCCAAAAAGCCGAAACGGCAGCCATTTTCCAAAATGGCCGCCATAAACCTGATATTTCGCAATATCTCCGCTTCTAAATGACTTAGGGCTTTGATTTTCAGTGCTAAATATACATTTTCTGGGCCCAGAAATCCTTTGAAACACATTTCAATGAGCTAAACCTGATCAAAAAGCATTATTCTGAGGATGTGTCAACTATATACCATGACATGCCGTATGCCTGATGGACAACGTACATGTATAGGTCATAATTATTCAAGGACAATATCTTGGAATCCTGTGATGAAAGGAAGGATGCCTGGGCAGGAACAGTCAAAGCCCGTGTCCTCAATGTGCATGACCTTCATGCTGCAGATGCAGTGTACCACCAGGTCTGCAGTGTTAACTAATGCTGTGATGTCTCATGGAACAGACATACCTGATTTCAGTTCGGAGTTTGTCCAGTATGCTGCAGACAATGTAGACCACAACATCCGTACCCTTGATGGTAACAACACATTCCATGGCATGGGGATGATTGCTGCCATAACCCCAGCCACCAAGACCAGCAGACCTACCCTCAGGGCGCAGGTCACCTCCAGCGATATCTCCACGGTGGGACGAATTGCTATCCATTACCACAAAGAAGAGAGCCGCGGTACGACAACACTGGCATACCAGAAGGTGGTCAACATGAAGGCAAAGGACCCAACAGCAGAACTTGATCTCCTGTGGAAGACATCCGTTATGTTGACCTCACCAAGACCGGCATGGTCTGGACTGATGCAGCTTGTGCATCATGGTGACCACCCCGGGAAATCATCGGTGATGTTTCTCCCAATGATCGACATGAATCCCAGCGATGTCACTTGCATCTATTCCACACTGAAGTATGTGTGTGAGCATTCTTGTCCCCATGGTGTTACGCCCATCATCACCTTTGACCAACCACTATGGTGGCTAGCCCTCATGATCATCGAGACTGAGCTCACAGGAAGTGTTTTGAATGACATGCTTTTGCACCTGGGAGGCTTTCACACAGAAATGAGTTTCTTGGGAAGCAATCTATGCAGATAACGCGGTGGTACACAGGATGTCAAGCAAGGCTATTGCACGATCAATACGAGGACATCTACTTGTTGATGCAGCACTGCATGTGAACGCCTTGATTTTGTCAGACGCACTTGGTGTGCCACTCCCTAAACCATCTGCAGATCCACATGAAGTGGAGGAGACCAATGAGGCAACAGTGTCACCAGATGATGAGCCTACGACAAACGAAACTTGAAACACTGATCTTGATGAAAGTGCTGCCCTCTACAAGAATCTGATGGAAGGTTCTGTGTCTGCAGAGGAGTTCTGCCAAGCTGATGTTTTAACCAGAATCAAGAAGCTCCTCCAGGCCCAAACTGAATCCTTGAAGTCCTCTAGGACCGCCACACTTTGGCTACAGTACATGGAGATGGTTGACATACTACGGAAGTTTATTAGAGCAGAGCGTATTGGCAACTGGGCGCTGCACCTTGAAGCTGTGTCAGAAATGTTGCCCTACCTGGCAGCCTCTGGGCTCAACCTCTACACCAAATCAATCTGCCTCTATGTGCAGCAAATGAGCAAGCTCAAGGATGAACATCCAGATGTGTACCAACGATTTGAAGAAGGGTTCAATGTTGTCAGAAGAAGTGATCGTCTATGGGCTGGTCTGTCCGTAGATCTCACCATCGAACAGGTCCTAATGAGGAGTATGAAGACCAGCAGTGGCCTGACGAGAGGGCGAGGCATGACAGAGCAACAGCGTCTCATATGGCTGCTCTCCATGCCTGCCTGTGCTAAAGCATAGACGTAAGTCAACAATGCTATGCAACAGCTCACAGGTGTCAACTATTACACTGGTAAACAAAACAAGGACATGAGAAATGCTAGACAAGCAAGTGACATAAAAGACACACATGAAGTTATCAGCTGTCTGAAAGAGAGAACACCCTTCAGCTCAGATCCGGGCTTGCGCAGCATTTCGACAGGGGTACATGCAACCAGCAAAGTCAATGTGGATTCAGCAAAGTCAATGTGGATTCAGCAAAAACTGTTGGAACAGCAATCCTGACCAACATGGATGGACAATTGCTGCTGACTACACATTCAAGAGGAAGGATCAGGCCATCACCTTGGCTTTGAAATCGGCAGTAAAGATTGATGATGAGGCAGTACAAGTGGATCCCTGGCTGCTTTTCCAGCGACTGACAATTGCTGCAAAAGCTACAGACTGGGCTCTAGAGTCTGTGTTCAAATATGAGCTGTGCAGTTACCCACCAGATCTGTTTGATTCCACACTGCTGCTCCGACAGCCACAGAAGCCAGTGCTAGCAGATTCTATCTGGACACTTCTGACAAAGGATGCACCAGGAATCACAGACCAAGTCCACTACGTGTTGGATGGTGGGGCACTAGTTCAGCGCATTCCATGGGCACGTGGCTCAATAAACAAATGTATCTGCACGCAATACACAGAGTATATCCCAAAGAAGTATGGACAGGCAACAGTCGTGTTTGATGGATATGATGGTACATCAACAAAGGGCACAGCTCACCAAAGACGTGCAAGAGGGAATGCTGGATTAACGGTGACATTTGATGAAGATATGCAGGCTACAATGAAGAACAAGACAAATAAGCAGCACTTCATCAACATGCTCAGCACCAAACTATGGGCAAAAAACTGCCAGACACATCATGCTGCAGGTGACGCTGATCTCCTCATAGTGCAGCAAGCAGTGGAGTCTGCAGCCACCACTGATACTGTGCTGATCGGAGATGACACAGATCTACTCATCCTGCTCATCTACCACACCAACCTCGAGTCATGTGACCTGTTCTTCCAACCCGAGCCAAAGAAGAATGTGAAGAAACCGCGTGTCTGGAACTTGAAGTCTGTCAAACAGCAGTTAGGCCCCGATGTATCACAGCACATTTTCGTCATGCACGCTCTCCTGGGATGTGATACTTCTTCCCGCGTGCATGGCTTTGACAAGGGAGCTTCCCTTCACAAATTCAAAACCTGTGCGCACTTCCGTTAACAAGCAATTGTGTTTGACAGACCGACAGCGTCCACCGATGATGTTGTAGATTAAAGCAGGAGAGAAAGCCTTGGCATGCCTGTACAATGGGAAGCCTGCAGAGTCACTCAACGTGGCGCGACATAAGCGGTTCTGCTAGAAGGTCGCTTCCAGCATTTCTCATGTGCAACCCCAAAGTCTACCGCCCACATCAGCAGCAGCGAAACACCACAGCCTTCGTGTCTACTACCAGGTCCGGCAGTGGAAGGGCATTGCAGCTGATGAGCTACGACCAGATGACTGGGGTTGGCGGAAAAGCAGTGGAGGAGTCGTTCCCGTACAGACAGACTTGCCACCAGCTCCGGAAGAGCTCCTCAAGATGATCCGCTGCAACTGCCAGACAGACTGCAGCAGTCTGAAGTTCACCTGCAAGAAGCAGAGCATAGAGAGCTCAGCTGCATGTGGCAACTGTAGAGGGTCAGAATGCACGAACTCAACCCAAGTTGCATGTGACAGTGATGACAATGAATAGACTTTTTGAGGAAGATTGATGGATCGAAGATGGTAGTCTGAGGCTATGGTAACTGCATGCAGTATTATAATAATTATGACCTATACATGTACGTTGTCCATCAGGCATGCGGCATGCCATGATATAGTTGACACATCCTCAGAATAATGCTTTTTGGTCAGGTTTAGCTTATTGAAATGTGTGTCATTGGATTCCTAGCCCAAGAAAATGTACGTTTTGCACTAAAATTCTAAGCCTTTAGAAGCAAAAATATTGGGAATTATCAGGTTTATGGCTGCCATTTCAGCTTTTTTGTCAGGTTTAGCTCATTGAAATGTGTTTCAAAGGATTTCTGGGCCCAGAAAATGTATATTTAGCACTGAAAATCAAAGCCCTAAGTCATTTAGAAGCGGAGATATTGCGAAATATCAGGTTTATGGCGGCCATTTTGGAAAATGGCTGCCGTTTCGGCTTTTTGGCTAGGTTTAGCTCATTAAAATTTAATTAATTTGATTCCTTGTCTCTGGAAATGTATGTTTATCACTTAAAATCAAAACTCTATGTTATTTAGAAGCAGAGATATGGGAAATATTAGATTTACAACAAAAATATGTGTTTTATATCGGTTACTAGGCATATTATTACCATAGCAACGGGAACTAAGCCATATTTATCATTAAAATAGGATAAAAATGCATCATTGGACATCATACTTTCTATAAAAGTAGTCATCTGCTTGGTGATAGCAGTTTCTCGTGATATATTCTATTTCTCACGCCAATATGTTACCGTTGCTAAGGAGAAGATAGCCCTTAGCAACCAAATTTGCCATTTTGGCTCATAATAAATTTCAACTTTAGAGCGCTATAACTTTTTAGTTTGAAGAGTAATACACTTGAAATTTGGATATGATATCAACCAGGATGCTGAACAGTTTTTCAGCAAGTTTCAAGTCGGTTACCACAATAATCAAATAAATATGGAGAAATATGTATTTTGGCGCAATTCACATTTTTGGAAAAAATGGTAAAAAATCACACTTTTGGCTCAAAATTGATAAGCAAATCATCCCGAAACCTATTGAATGAGGTATCTTCTTGTGGAAAATGTAATTGTCTTTCATATGACACCTTATGCATGGTAAAATGAGGTGCTGTTAAAAAGTAATCCCCAGAAATGTACAACAGTAGTTATACATGGCGGCCATTTTGTAAAATGGCCGCCACGGAACTTTCCCCCACCAGGATTCCTTAAGACTTTTGATATGTTATAGAGGACATATTTCTGGGTATAAAACAGCTGACAGACTTTCTGTTGCAATTAGTGGGAGGTTGACCCCTTTTTTTTCACGAAATGCCTGGACTATAAGCAATCCTGCCACAGCCGCACTACCACTACACCTCTTAATTTCTCTTTTTATCTTTTTGGGCTGCAGATTGTTTTTTTTGTTGTTAAAACTGGTATCGGACATTAAGAACATATGAAGAGTTTCATTCCAAAAGGAGCTAAATCCACTTTGGGTACTTCTGAGTAAATCGCCTTTTTTTATTTCTCCACTTTTCCTTTAGCCATGGACCTTAATGTTGTTATATATTTTAAAGGTGTCACCCTGGGCCAATAATATATGATAAGAACAAATCTACCAGTTTTTCCTGATTTTTAATAAATTTTTAGAATTTTGTTTTTCGTGGATTTAGCTCCTTTTGGAATGAAACATGATATTGTACCTGAAAAATTTCATATTTCCTCAATAAAGTCACTGAAATTTATTCAAATTGAGTAGCTAACCTTTCCTTTTAAATATTAATAGTGAAATCACAACTAAAAATACCTTTTGAAAAGAAAGTAAACAACATATCACACTTTCATTCCAAAAGGAGCTAAATCCGTTTCATTCCAAAAGGAGCTAAATCCATGTTTCATTCCAAAAGGAGCTAAATCCACAAAATCCTAAAATTTAGTAAATATCAGAAATAACTGGTAGTTTTTTTTTCTTATCATATATTATTGGTCCAGGGTGACATCTTTAACATAAATAACAATATTAAGGTCCATGGCTAAAGGGAAAGTGGAGAAATAAAAAAGGTGATTTACTCAGAAGTGCCCAAAGTGGATTTAGCTCCTTTTGGAATGAAACCGATTTGGATTTAGCTCCTTTTGGAATGAAACATGATATTGTACCTAAATTTTTTCATACTTCCTGGTGAAATTTTCGAATGTGATATAGTGCATTTTGTCCCCATGTAGGAAATCATTATTTTAAGACAAATAACTCCATTTTGATAAAATATGGATTTAGCTCCTTTTGGAATCAAGCTCTTCATATGTGCATCGCATGGGCAACTAATAACTGTCTTTAAAATGCTAATTGCATGTGTGTTTTCTGTAAAAACTCTAAGATTCTAAATCTTTTCATAATTATGGCATAATTGAATTTTCAGTTCAATGAGTTGTCTTTTTGTCTTGTTCAAATGAAGCCCAGGTGTTATTCCTGAACCTTAATAGTTTCACAATATTAAAAATCACAAATGCACAAGTTTATTTTGGGCATTATTGTGGTCTCCTTGCTTTTTTCTTTCTGATGGAACTAATTGATAAGTAGTTTCCGAGTGACCTGTATCTTGTTGTTGGATGCTGCACTGTGCGATTAATGCCAACATGCCAAGATTCTTGCTGTTTCAAATAAATTGCCTCACTAACATTCTATTTTGCACAACAACTTCTTTTTGCATAATTTGATTGAATGACAAATAGATTTCTGTGTGTTTGCAAGTAAATCATTCCAAGAAGAGCCTTTGAATATAAAGGGTAATTAATTAAGTCACAAAGGATGTATCTGTTAACTGATTATAAAGCTTACATATTCATACATACCTGCCAAGTGCCAACCCTTCTGAATTATCTGGTATTTTCAGCTTTTCTGGATTTTTAGGCCCTAAAAATTTGGAATATTCAGATTTTTCAAAAATTCTGAAAGACTATTTTTTAATTATTTTTTTTTAAAACAAAATTTAGCTTAATTGTTTTATCATGTTCCACAATTTGTGAGCGTATTGTGTGCGTTGAATGGCTCACGATCAAGCAGCCAATTTGTATTCACTTTTTTGTACAAATTTACCGCATGTTGCCAGTTACACTGCTGCTGCATACATGGCCATGGTAAGGCCATGCAAACCCTGCTAGAAATTCCTAATTCTTATTTTCAAATGTTGGCAGGTATGTTTATATGATATCATAGATTTTACCTACTTGTACATGTATCTTGCATTTTACAAATGAATTGCTGTTTGGAAAGAAAGGTACTATCTGCTTGTAGTGTTACCTGGTGATGGTTGATAAGTACTCCATATACACATGTATTTCAAAAGTGTTGATTTTATTTTCTGGATTGTGTGAGAATAGAATTATAAGGGTATTTAATTTTGAATTTGCAAACCTGTGGGTTATCTCATAACTTCATTTTTATTTTTATTTTTTTAGTAGAGGAGATCAAAATGCGACCATCTCTTTTTGCTCTCAAAACCTTCCAAACAAATCCACATCACATACACAAAGATTAGGTGATGGTCGATGTGTCTGAAATTTTAACATTGCCTGCTTCAGAAGACTGAATATTTGTTTGCTTTTATGTATTTGATGAACATTTGTTTAAGCTCAAATATTGATGGGAAATTGTTTCTGCTTTCTATTCTGATTTCAGGCTGTTGATTCCAATAAGGTCGCCCATCATTTCCAACTGGCCATCTTCAAGAAGAAGCAGGAACGCATGGAAATGAAAATGGTAAGATTGTATTCTCCTTCTGCCATATGTATCACATTGCATTAAATTTTTCATTTGTCATGTGAACTGGATACTATGGTGTATCAGTACTGTGCTCAATACGATCATAAACAATTCTTCATACGCAATAGAACATGGCCTCAAATTCTGTCTACCGGTAATTCAATTATATATCAATGTTTCTGCTTGCATCGTGATGTAAATCATGATATACAGCATCTATCTGAATTCTTAATTTCATAAATTTCAGTTGGTAAAATGTATAGTGATTTGGTCAACCAGAAATTTCAAATGTTGGACTTCTCTTTCAGTAGTCAGATTGGCTGGAAGTTCCTTGACTGATCTTATAGGAAGGGAGTTTTTTCTCTTCAATTTTAAAGTGACTCAGTAACATTGCCTCAGATTCTGAAACGAAATCCTGGATTTAGCTCATGCTGCAATCACAATTATAAACCTTTAGGTCAGTCAGGAATCCCATGACTTTTACAAGCCGAGCGCCTGTCTGATTATCAAGATATTTATGATTGGAAATCAAAATTTCATTTTCGTTTTCCTAACAGTTTTTATAACACTAGTCTATTGAGGAAAATGAGTATGGTTAAACCATTCACTCAAAGTTTTTTACTTTTTTGAGGCACTTCATGATCATTTCGAAGTGCAATTTTTCTAGGGCTTCAATATTACACCATATCATTGACACTGATAACACGTAGGGCCATGCATCTCAGATTTAACATATTGTTAAACGAAGCCTTTAAGGCTATTTCTCTACAATTTTTAACCATTCCCTTTTGTTGAATCTTAACAGAACCAGATGAAGAAGATGCTGGAGGTTGCCGAGAGGAACGGTAAGGAACGTATCCAGACGGAGGTGATCAAGCAGTTATTGATAGCATCCAATAACCAGATAGCAGATAAGATCATCGCTAGGATACCCAAGGACCAGGGAGGCGGAACGAGCAGTAATGGTGGCGGTCATGCTCCAAGTAAGTTCATCACTTCCTTTTTTACCGAAAAATATGCTTAAAAGATATGTTTTACCTTGAAAGATCAACAAAAGGCAGAAATTTGACGTGGAATATTACTTTTGATGTTCTTTATACCAAATTTGTATAGGAAATTGTCTTAATCCTTAGTTTCTTTCCTTTTCTTCCATTTGTTATATTTTTCATGCTCATTTCTCATTCTGTCTTTCTGTCCCTTTTCTTTTCTGTTTTGCTTCCACTATTTGTCTCTTGATTCTTCTCTCTCTCTCTTCCCTGTCTCTCTTCCCAATCTCTCTCTCTCTCTCTCTCTCTCTCTCCGTCTATGTCTGTCCTGTTTACTCTTCTCCCAACCCCCCCCCCCCCCCCCCTCCCCATTTTCATGTATTATCCTTTTTATTTCCTTATAATATTTTTGTTCCCTCTTCTCACCAACTACAGAAGGAGAGACCAGCTCATCTGTCTGCACTATTATGTAAAATGGGGGTACTACTTATATTGACCTCACACCAGAAGGGAGCTAGTCCAGAGTCATGCAGCTAAACCACAACGTGAAAAACCAAAGATATTCTAAGCATCATTATTTAATGTACTATGGAAAACTATGAAATTGCTTCTGTATGATAATTGATATAGAGTGTTTTTTCATTTTTGAGGAAGAGGAAAGATTAATTGACCCACACTTGTGCTAAGCTTGATTTAAAAATATGCAATTTCTAGAATGTTTTGCTTTTGATAGTCAAGAATTCTTCTGTTTGCTGATTTTGACATTCAAAGAATATGTATCACAAGCCTGACAAAGTGCCTGCATATGAAGTGGAAAAGTAGCCAATCTTTTTGATAAATGTCAATTTTGGGATGAAAAAAAATTGGTCTGGAATTAATCTTGATCTTGATGATTGATTAAAGGGAAAGATCAAGGCAGATCACCATTGAAGATTAACATACCTTATACAGACAGTTGCTCTAAAATATGAATGTATTCTGGACAAGAAATGTAGGCATTGATACAAATCTATCCTCCTTTGAAATCCACAACTTGTAGACTTATGAATTTATGGGCATTTTGATTCAGTATTTATCATGATATAAGCAAGGGTGTACAGACAACGATAGTTGCAGACAATTTTATAAATTTGATTAGAATTGAACTACGTACATTTTCTATGATATTGAAGTCTTGTGCTTTCGACATGTAGAATATAGCTATTGATATTTTCCACTCGCATTGCTTTACACATGCTCACGCTATCATGTATATACCAATTAAAATGATTCATCTACTATGTGTGTCAATCACTTATTGACTTGAGGATGAAAAGAAAAGGGGGACAAAAATTATATATATATATTGTATCAAACATTGCCTCAGTTTTATATGTTTGTTACTAAAAAGGGGAAGAGAAAAGGTAGGATGTTGACAATTTAATTTAATTTTGACTTTCACCTGTCTATGTATGATAACTCACACTATTTCACCTTGATTATCATGTATATATACATGTAGTATATACATGTATATTTCTTTCTTGAAATCACCTTGGGCATTCTATGGGTGCAAATAATTTGCCTTTTATAGATTTTTATGTACTTCTACTACATTCCTCTTTTATTTTTTTAAAGGAATGATGCAATTTGTATGTGATTCTGTAAAAAAATAATATATGTATATATATATTGTAAGTATATTATGTGCACTGGTGAAGTATGTAGGTTTCTCCCTCGTTTTGATTTGCAGTAATTAGGTTTCCTCAGTTAAAAATAGCCTAAGATCTTTTGTTAATGACAACAAATCAAATCTTCATGGATATAAGTAAAATAATAATTACATGAAAAGAAATTCTTAGTGTTATTGGACTACAACATGTCAATAGTATATTGAAATCTCAAATTGACGATTTAGTAGGATGTTTGTAACACAATTTTCCAGTTACAACAGTTCATTCCTTATCAGTTTAATTCCTTTTATGAAATCAGGTTATAACAAATGTTTGATTACATTAATGGGGTAAGAATGGCAATATTTCATCTGCCTGTATATCAGTGTAAAGCTCAACACTCACTTTAATCTTATAGTGTACGATGGGCTTCACAGAAATGTAAGTGATCATCGGATTCATGAATTTTATAGCCTGAAAAGGAGTGCAAACTGCAAAGGGATTGGTTTTGCTACTTGACCTTGCTGACATAAAATGTATCAAATTGTGTAGTTTAAGTCATTTAGACTATTAGAGTGATTGTGATGTCCAAGATATTTATCATTTAAAACGTGTGTTCAGACTAAAAGTGTATTAGATATTTGTGCAGTGCATTCAAGACTGATCAAAGTACGATTAATGGCGATTTACTATCTGGGAGTTCATGATGACTGTTTATTGCAATTATTTAGGGATTCAAAAGAAATTGAGTTGAAGTCGTAAAAAATCGGCGGGGGGGGGGGGGGGGTTGAGGGGGAGACTAATTGTTCACTGTAACAAATTTCTAACCCAATCACATGATAATCATGTCTATTGAAGTGATGAAAAAAGGGGAAAAAGAGGGAGGAAAATATTGCATGTTTGTATATTATATTTTTGTAGATTATTGCTACTTCAAGTCTTTCATGTGTGTTGTATAAATCTTTATGATATATAGTGATATGTATGTGTGAAAACAAAGCATTGAAATGAATATAAATCAAGTAAGCAATTTACACTTCAGAAAATTTGCCACATATTTTTAATTTGTAGCAAAATCACCATAACAAATTGGCAACAAGTTTATACAAGTTTATACATGTAAACGGTGAAAAGATAAAACAAGCAAAATTCTACAATGTGTACAGAAAGAGCAAATACAATAAAAACACAAAGCATTTTTTTTTCTTTCTAAAGCTGTTGTGTAAATCGACAAAATGGTCTCTTTTGTCCTTATTTTTGTATGACTGTATTCTAAACAGTTGTCTTCATTTAAACAATGTATCATAACTAATCTGGTATTGCACTCTTTTATAAACACAACATACTAACATGTCTGCTTGTAATGAATATTATCTGCAGGGTATATGATAGTGAGATACATATATATTTCACCCAAGAATTGCTCATACGAAGTTTCTTTTGTTTTCCAAGTTGGAAAATGAAGCCTACATATATATAAAACGTTGATAACATAGAAGTAACATATAAAATACCACTCTTATTGTACACAAACATACAAACATCAACTAATGCTTTTGTCTAAAGAAAAACAAAATTGGTTCGACTATCCCCCCTCCCCAGTTGTTTTATCATTCTTCAACAAGCTGCGACGTTTTAATTTTGAACTCCTACCACAGAACTGATGTCCTGTTCTTGTTGTTTTCACAATTATTTGGGTTTTCGTTCTGATAGAAACATACGGCAGTCATGTATATACCTCCAGTAACTTTCAACACCCTTTCAAAGTCTTGAATAGCACACAATCAACAGAAGAAATATAAACCCAATAAAAACGGTTGTGATAACGAAATGGAAGCTAGATGTAAACCAATGTCCCGCTGACCTGTCCTAATTCATCTTGGTACGGCAATCAAAAATAAGAAAAATATCCGATGTGTTCTCCGAGGAAATACCAACTTGATGTTTCATCCCCCTCCCCTTACCCTGCCATTCCAGCTAGTAACACTCGGCCAGAAGATCGTACATTATTTTCTTCACAAATGCTGTCCACGAGGAGGAAATAAAAGTCAAAGAGAAAAAGATATTGACACCAAAGGTTCGATAAATTAAAATCAATGTACAATATGAAAAATGAATATGAATTTATGACGGGTCATTCTTGAAATGGCATGAAACATCGCTTTCGGCCCCAGAATGCAATGATTTCTTGAAAGGATGTGATAAACCACAATCGGTGAACAAGCAAAATCGATGTGGGCATATCGGAAGCTCATCAAATGAACGCTTTATGAAACACATCAAGAGCAGCATCGATGGATGTTTATCATGAAATGATGAAAAAGATGACAAAACGGGGGATCTTGGAATCGAGCAAATGAATGATTTAAAAATACTGGTACGCTTCTGAATCATATCTCTTATGATACACCTATACCACTGTTGACATAATAATGAGTTATAGGATCAAAGCTTGTACTTATTCCATCAACTCGGATTCTGAAACTCAGGCATGATGAACGAACAGCGGAGAGAATTAAACGGCTTGAAATGAAAATGATCATGATGAAAAACGACGTCCCCATTCTCCATGGACGCTGTGAATCGGATAACATCTGAAGAATATGAAGTTGATGATAATGGTGGTGGTGGTGGTGGTGATGGAGGTGGTGATGATAGTGAGAAAGAAGATGGCGGATTGATGGAATCGGTCGTTACGCCCCCAAAACTGACAATGACGATATTGATGAGTTCAACGTCTCGTCCATGAACGTGATTTCAACTCGGTTAATACCCCTCCATTACGTTGGTCATCATTTTCTTGACAATATCTGTTCAATGAAGATGCAATGAAAGTAAAAAAGTGGAGAAGGCGAAGAATTTTCAAAAATGTCATGTTCTCACTTTCCACATGCAAACCATTTGTGACGGTGCAGTGGTCTGCCTAACATTCCGTATTGGCATACATTTGTCATGCATTTTGATTTCATACTGATCATTCAATGAAACATTCACAAGATATTCTTTTACAGATTCATTATCGCAATTTGTAATGCGGTAAAATATCAATGCGAAATGCGGGGCAAAATGCCTACATGCTCGATTCCACTATGAAATTAAACAACGAACTCTTGTACTCATAATTCGAAGTCGTATTCAATCAAATGTTTTGGTGAAAATTTCATGATAAAATGGCTGTGTTTAGAGACATCGTAGATAATTCCTTAGCTACAAACCTCTGATATATATTACATTATTGTAATGGATTGCCAATAATTTCAATAAATAAAAGAACCTTGGACTTACCATTGCTAGCATAGAACACATATATTTCCAGACTAACAGAGTATATCATTATGTAAACGTGTATGGTATGTTCTTGTTTAAAGTTGAGTGAAGGCTTTGCTGGGCAGGGCCAGGGGGTGGTGAAAGAATGGAAAAATTCTGTTGGCAAATTCACAATTATTGTCGGCATATGTGGGGAAATTTTTACTTCTCTTTCATTGCTTGTTGAAAACTTCGTCATAACCGGTAAATCGGTAAATTCTGTATCTTCCTCCCCAGCACGTTAGAATTTGTTGGAAAGCTTGTCAAAGAATTTCGGCCAGAAACTCCCCCATAATAACGACGCCCCCTGATGTGTGCTTTCTTTAGAACCCGTGTTACATTTAGATTAGAATGTGTCTGTCAATACTGAGAAGATTAATGCAAATGGTTATCTTGTGTATCAAAGTTTTAAAACTGAAAGGAAAAAAAGGTTATTCGTATACGGATCCATTAATGTGTTTGGGAGTTGCACTATTCGTGAGTATCCGGCATAAACGTATTTTTCTCTTTCATATAATAATAATAATAATCTTTCATTGCAAAATTTTATAGCTATAACACTTAGCGCCCGCCCGCCCCCCCCCCCTCCACTCTCCATTCTAATGAAAAAAAGAAAAAACGAGAGAGAGAGAGAGAGAGAGAGAGAGAGAGAGAGAGAGAGAGAGAGATAACCCGTTCTCCCACACCCACTAACCACTCTGTCGCCAAGTTCTTGCGCAATTTTATCCATCTAATATACCTGGGGGTGTTTCACAAAGATCCTAAGTCGAACTTAACTCTAAGTTGAACTTAAACATTACGGAGATTCATTTGTAGCCTGAAAATAGAATATATTCAAAAGCGAAAATTCAAGTAAACTATTTTAGACTTTTCATAAATTTCACATCAAGAACATGAAATCTCCTTGATTTGAATCAACATTTTAGGCCTTTTAAAATAACTGGTACAAAAGATGATAACGGCTACCCATAATTGTTAAGTCAAACTTCGAGTTAAGTTCGACTTCGGATCTTTTTGAAACACCCCCCCCCCCCTGGTGTCCAAAAGTGCTAACCAGCCCCCTCCCCTCCCTTGATGACAGGACCCTGCCCTACGCCTCTACAACAACACTTCAATGCCTCTCAAAATTCAATGAATCGGTTTGTCTATTTATTATCATTTGCGTATATAGCGTTGCCGCTGGTCCAGTCAATGGGGGGGGGGGGGGGGCTAGTATTACTTTATATATTCACCCCCTTCTCATTAATACATGGTCATGACTCTCGTTTTCAGTATTTAATTAAGTTCTTGATTTTCCTCATTATATGTATCATGCATGTGGTGGTTTTATTGCTTCAAATTTAGCATGCAGGCAAATATAAATTTGAGCTTACAACCAACCGCGGGGTTTGTTGTATCCATTTATAGCATTTTAAGTAATTAACCCGTTTAAGGAAATGTAATTAAAAGTTCCCTAATATTTTCCGGAGTGGTGCCACCCCCCTTCACTATCGGGGACCAACCGGTTTCGTCTACTCATTTGTTCAAGGTTCTTTCATATCTTTGGGTAAATCGAGTAGGCCTAATGTTGTTTTGGTTGTTTTTTTGTTTTTTTTTACTTATTTGTAAATAAATATAATGATCATCAAAGAACAAAGATAAGGAAGACATGCTTTTACACTTCAGAGAATATGCCACAAATCGATTCGTTTATTTTGTAGCAACTTAACTGTCACAAATTGGCAACAATTTTATACAATAGCAATACTCTGTACACTCTGTACAAGTAAACCATAAATAAATGAAAACAAATACAGATTCTGTAATGAATAAATAAAGAATAAAAACAAGATGCAAATAAAGAGAAAAGCGACAAGCACATACTCTAAAGAATGATAAAATGAAACAGTGTAACTTCTTGCATAAGTTTGCCCGAGCTATTTGCCTTTTGTAAGCCATGCAATTTCTATTACATTCTACCTTGTTTTATTGCATTCTGTCATTACATATTATAACTGCCATTTGTGAAAGTTGTATGTTGAGTATCATTTTTAACAGGAAATCACTTCTAAAAATCATAATGTATTTGAAAGAAACATCACTCATTCACTCTTGTTGTTTAAATAACATGAATATAATCATATTTTCTTTTCTTTTTTCACCAAATCAATTGTTGTTTTGTTGTTTTAAAGAGTTAACACGTATATTACTATTTGGTAAATGCCTATTTACTGAAAATGCGTTTACATCTAGAGTTTTGTCACATTATATACAAACATTTAGAACTTTCTATTTCATACAAAAAGGCTTTTTTTTCTCTGTGTAGGTCCTGTAATTGATTTTTGTTTCCCCGGGGGCAATTGTTTGCCTGCACGGCATCATTTATAAAGGACCTAGTTGATTTCGCGTTCCTAAAATGTCATGAATACATATCGTATCGGAAGCTGACCGAGATTCTTACTGGCATGCCATTCAACAACAAAATTGACTGAAAAATGATTAAAAATTCTGATAGCAAAATGCAACAGCAATATCAAGATAAAAATGAACATATCGGCATTACCTCTAAAATTGTATGAATAGCAATACAATGATATTTTAAATATTTGATACGAAACATATACGTATGAATAAGTCAATATCAATATTCCTTATCTAGGTATTGCATATTGCAAATAATGTGTAAGGCCACATGTGTAATTGCATATCATAAACGAATGACAAGGCTGATGAAACATGCCAAGACCGGTACCTCTATTTTATCAGATATAATTGACAATTTATGAATTCTGAAAGCCGTGCAGATGAATATAAACATCAGAAATGCATTCTATGGACTTTATAATATAGTTCACAAATTTATTCAAGCGTTATATACTTCTCCTATACAATCATTACTTCAATCGACCCGAAAGATTGCGCAAAGCTTGCCCGACAAAGCAACAATTACTGTATGCAATCTGTATCATGATTATCTGAATACAATAACAACGGGCGAATGCAATAATTCATCTCTAAGCACTTTGGAAAGAAGCCTAAATAACTTTTTGAGTAGATTTGTGAACTGTCGACTAAGAATTGTAATTTTTACTTAATGGACGAGCAGCCAAAAAGAAGAAAAAAAAGGTTGCAAGTTCGAGGAATCATGCTCAAAACCAATGTTCCTTTGCATTCTCAATGCTTGTTTGGAGGGGAATGCAAAAACTCATTTAAAAAAGTTGATGATGAGAACGATGGAATCGTTTCTTTATGACCCAAGTCAGATAATGACGACGATGGTGACGTCAGATTCCGTTGCATGCACGTGACTTCGGGTCGATATTTACTCCTGCTCAAAATGATTCGTCAACAACTTTGCGGCCAATTCTGCTCCAGGAGAAAACGTACAATAAAACGCACATACGTATACATACAAAAGAAAAATAAAAAAATATTATACATGCTCATATAATCATGAAGACATGCCATGATCAATAATATATGATTGATTTTATTTACTCATCATTAAATGTTTGCAAATCTAGATTTTTTACATTCATTTTACATTCTTTTCTAAATTTTGCTGACAGCGACGCTTATATCATCTCAAATATTTCATTTCATTGTATAAACAATTTACATGCTGAAGGAAAACTTTATTTGTTTTCACTTGGGAATATAAACATGCCATTTCGAAAGGTGCAGCATCCTTTTAATGATCACAATGCATGTGACAATATTTTGTCTTTTCCTGCTCAAACGTGCAATGATTTCAAGATGCAAATTTAGGATCGTTCATAGAGGAACATCTCATCAGTCAAATGAAGGAACAATGAATTGATGGTGGAAATGAATGAAATAGTTTTTCATAGTATACATCAATAACTTATTTCTATAATCGTCAACAAAAACAACAACAAAAACAAATCTTGCGATTTAATTTAATATGAATTCAAACAATCGACCGATGCCATAAATAGTCGCAACCTGTTCCGTCATAAACCTTTCCTAATGATTATTGTTTAATTCATTTGGTTGAAAGTGGCCAGCCTTCTAGATTATGATTTATTTTTCTCATATACAGATTAGTGGAATGTATTGTTATCTGATTTCATTTGTTCCCTCTCAAATTTAGATTCACACAACAAACAAATTGCAGGAAGAATACTATTGATCACAAACTAAAAAATGTCCATCTTATCTTAGAACACCATATATCAAGTATGTGACTGAACTGATTCAGCCACCATTTTTTCCTATACTGAATGTGAGAGTAATTCAAGTACAGTGAAACCTGTCTATAAAGACCATCCAAAGGAGACAAGAAAAGTGGTCTTTATAGGCAGTTGGTCTTTATGTACAGGTTCCTTTAGTACATGTTTCAATAAGAAACCATTTTCAAGGGAAACAAAAAAAATGTGGTCTTTGTAGACAGGTTTGACTGTATATATATGCTTGTTAGCTTGAACGTTTTGTCAAGAGCAAAGAATGCCTAGCCACTCCTTGATCGGTCAGGTTTGTGTTATGGATAAAGATGCACCACTGGTGTATCTGAATGCATTGGCAAACTTTGACTGATGATTATCATAATCAGGGATATAGAAAGGGGAGAAAGTAATGTTTGTTTGTTCTTACCGTCGATTTGGATCATTCCCTTCTTGTCTTCCATTCCCTTGATGATTACATCAACCTCAGCTTCTTCCAACCTCTCTCCTGGGTGCACAAAATAATAATAGTTCATTTGTCATTTTGAACGAATTGAGTACCATGGGAGGAGGGTAGTATTACCACCATCATCCACCACCACCATCATCATCGACATCACGACCATCATCATCGACATCATCACCGTCATCATCTTAATAATAATAATCATCACCACCACCATCATCACCTTCACCATCATCATCATCATCATAATCATCATCATCATCGACATCATTAATATCATCATCACCACCATCATCATCACCATTACCATCACCAGCATCACCATTATCATCATCATCATCATCATCGACATCATTTTTATCATCAGCTTCATCATCACCATCGTCATCGACATATTACTATCATCAGTACCATCATAGTCATCATCATCATCAGAATCATCATAATTATCATCACCAATACCATCATCATCGTCGTCATTAATAATTACCTAGCGTCGAGAGTACGTGACGGATTTCTCCGCAGTTGACAGTGGAGCTGTTGTCCTTGTCGAATACTTTCAAACCCTCAACGAAGTCATTCTCGTTACCGAACTTCCCCGCTGTGACATCCTTCATCATGGGTAAGAAGGTCTCCCAGTCGACGCGATCGTCTAAAATGAAATAATATAGGAATGTCTGTGACAACAATATTCATGATTTCGCATTTCTTAAATTTGTTGTTCATTGTGTTCCCTTCCGGTCTATAACACAATGGCAAAGGCTTTCGATTAATGAATCAAAGGACAATTATTTTAAGTACCCTATTGCATATCCCAAATAAACCATATTTCGGATTTCGTACAATATTCGTACATTTCAGAAGTTTATGAAAAGGGCTATTACAATTGACTTGGGTGAATTTTTCGAAAGTTTTTCCAACGGTGTTCTAATTCTTTATTTATTTTTGAAAGATTGGCTTTGGATCACTTTACACAAACCCATTGACGGGGGGGGGGGGGTCGCCCCTGCTTTATGTATATTCTGCTCATTTAAACATTCCGACTGAAAAGTTAATTGCAAAGTCATATATTGTGTTTACTAAGTATCTTTTTCAAGATAACACGAAGACTGCTGTTTCTTTGAAAGAAGAAATTGATATTTTCCCCCCATTGAAACTTTAAAATGCTGGTGGAAACACAATGTAAAAAATAAACTAAACTTTAAAGCCTATGTGCATTAGTTTGGCCAGGAGGAAGTAGACCTCCTTGCATGGTCACTGACAGGGCGTTATCTCATCAAATCAGCTCTCTATTAACATACGAAAAAGGGGATCATGGGGGACCAATGGTCACCGATTAGGCATTGTTTGCTACATAGAGGGCGCAAGTAAGTAGTGCAGTGGGGCTTTAAATGAATCATCAGAACTTACACTCATCACGGTCGGGGCCGATGACCTTCTTGATGGCCTTCTCTGTCGGGTTCCACAGCAACGACCTCATCACGTGACCAATGTGGGGCACAGCAATCTTGCTGTCACCTTTCCTGTCCCACATCATGAAGGTGTCCTTGTACTCTACAAGAAAAGATGGTGGTTTTATTTGACTTGAATTGATTTGATTTGTTTTTATTTTTCCACTCAAATACCCCAAAATTAAAATGATATATAACCATACAGTATTACAATACATAATTGAACAAATGAATAATACAAGTAATGAGGCGTTGTGGCGTGCGCCTGTAATCCAGCTAAAATTGGAAGTTATAAACTGATTCAGCAGAGGACTATGGTTCGAAACGCTGATAAGTATGTACGTAATGAAATAAGTTTACAGAGTACATTTAAGTTTGAGAATAAGACAAAATATTTTATATTGCTTGATTTAACTGAGAAGAGTTTAAACATTTAATAGAAGGTTCTCCAAAGTTTTGGATGACCTTTGGAAACAAATGGGGGTGGGAGGGGGCAATTTTCTTTTTTTTATACTGGATGTGCACTAAAAATTATGCTATAATTATGTTCGATTTGGCCGAAGGGGAGCGGGTGCCACATGCCCCATCCGCTACTGGGTGTATAAAAACGACTGACCAACGATACGACTTTGGAGCAAAAAAAGCAAAGTTGAGCGATGTGGAAGGTAAATTAGAGTGAGTGAATGAGTGAGAGAAAAGAGAGAGAGAGAGAGAGGGAGAGAGACAGAGACAGAGAGACAGAGAGTGAGAAAGAGGATAGAGAATAAGGGATAGATAAGGGAACATACAATTAAAAAGAGACCAAGTAGGACTCAAGATAGCTCACAGAGAGTGAGAGAAAGAGAGAGGGGGAGAGGAGGAAAGAAAAAGAGAAACAAACAAACAAACAAACAAACAAAAAGAAGAGGTGCATGACATAAGGAAAATCACACATTATGAAGATCCAGGGGTTATATTAACATCAAACGTGACAAGACTACACTTAACTTACAACATTGATGATTGCGTGATTATACCCTTTTAAAGTACTAACATTACGACAAGGAATAATTATTTCTTTATCATGTGTGGAAAACTTGGAGCTTTGACAAATAATTTTTTTTTTACTCAAACAACACTTTCAGGTGGGCCGAATATATTTTTAGTTTATGTGTTACGTTGGTTTATGAATGCAAAATACTGAAGTGAGATCTAAATGTCGAGGCTTTTTTCTTCCAATACACGCAGAGTGGAAAAGGTTTAGATTTCTAACTCTCATCCATCATATCCCATCTCAAAAGAAGAAGAAGAAAAAAGACTCCCTACAAGTTTTACGCTTATGACTAATATATTTTCCTATGTCTGGGCAAAATCAACACATTTAAGCATCTAAGTAAACTAAACGTAAAATGAAGTATTTATTAAAGGGCACTATAATGAGCATTAATGTGAGAACCAAGTATGTTTCACTACGGTTGTCTAATCTAACCTTACACACCCAGTAAAACGATTCTCTTTAAGATATACAGATGGAAAATTGTTATCTCAATCTCAAACATGATGTCCTTATCGACGAGGCGCTAATCAGCTTACAAGCAAACCAACTTGTCAAGCATAACGTCATAAGTAAACGACACGCCGCCAGCTAGCTAGAGACACAACACGCACCGCCAAATTTGGTAAAGGTGACTTTGCGATGCACTGCGCCTGCGCCATGGATCATGCCTCGGTTTAGGATGTTTCGCATTCCAACTGTGGTGGCTTTCACGTCGTTGGCGGGGTCAGCGGTATCCCGAAAAAGGCTCGCCTGGTATTTTTTTCGAGCTGGCCTGCTGAAATCTTCGAGCTGCATATGCCACCGTATGTCAACCCTAATGGTTAGACAACAGACTCTATTTGAATTATGTTTCTCGCATTAGATTTTGAATGGACATGATTTCAAAGCTACATGCAAGCATTTTCACAGCTGCACTCAGTCGCTTGCCTTATGTGTTTGGGTAGGCATCGAGAGGATATTTGTATATTAGTTCTAGTGGGGCCAACGAAAGTTTATGTCGCTTGAAACACATGTATTATATTATAGAAGGTAAAAATTAGCATCATTTAAAGGTACTATGTCCCATTTACAGCCGACATCAAATTATGTAGAACTGTAAACGTTAACAGTGTCCTAGTATTCAAATTATGCAAGGAAACCCGTTTACTTTTTAAACTTCACTGTCAGACATGACTTTTTTTTTAGACATGTTTTTATTTGATAATAACATACATAAAACGAGCTGTAAAGGGTAGGCCTGCATGAACATTTGTCTAGCTATTTGTATTTGTCATTAAAAGGATTGCAATCCCTAAAGTCGATTCGACAACTAATGTTATAGGTTCTCTTTCTCTTTCTCCTTTGTAAAGTTTACATCCCTCTATTTTTCTACTTCTTCCACCACATAACATTTATTCCCTATTCTGTTTCGTTTAAATTCAAAGAAAAAGATTTTAAAATATGCTTTGGCTGTCAAGTCATTGGCCTGCGAATGGGACATAATACCTTTAAAAGGGAATTACTGAAACGCGCACCCGTCAATATAGCTTGTGCTTGAGAACTTTCACAAAAGCTTCTGATAGCAATAACGCATAATATAAAATAACTGCGTATAAACGCATGATAATTTTACATGATCAAACACAATGAAAAGTAAAATTCTTTAAGATAGATAAGCATCCTCTTAGTTCTACCAGTATTCTGAGCAGCTTATATTCCATTGTGTCATAACGTGCAATAGTTTAAAAGGTGTATTCTCTACTTTTCTCTTTGAATAATGACTAGTAATTTTCACACCTACCCCGTTTGTTCTCTTTCTCTTTCTCCTTTGTGAAGTTTACACACCTCTTTTTTTTCCCCTTCTATTTCTTCCACCACATAATTAATATGTTTCGTTTAATTCAAAGAAAAAGATTTTAAAATACGATTTGGCCGTAAAGTCATGGAAATTGCGTTCGGATATGCCATGAAGGCGAACATAATTTTCACTGAAGATTAAAAGGCGAGCATATTTTGTCCTAAGTAGAAACCTGTTTAGCTCCAGACTTCAGCTATAATACAAATTTACTCTTTCCAAATAGATTTCAACCTTTTTATCTCCCCCACGAGCATCGTAGCTCGTCCTTTAAACAAACACAAAACGTCTTCATAAGGTGTTCTATTGCATGGACCAACACGTATTTAGGAAGTTTATGTCCTTCTTCATTGTTAGATTAGCGATGACTCAATATGACATCAAAAGGGTCAAAAATAGAGGGACAAAACACACAAAACATCAACAACACGGGTGTATATAAGTCCTGTGCACATGATATAGAGACTTAAAGTGATAAAATAATAATGTATAAAGGAGAATAAAATCACGACGAAAATCAGAAGTAACAGAAGTTATTCCATCAGTAAAATTCTTTTTCAGCCAAAATAGATTGAGAGAACGAGAAGAAACAAGCATTGTAAAGATTAATAATCCAAAAAAAGATAAAGAGAAATAAGAATCAGCATCAGCGCTATTAGCTCGACACTTGTATAAGATATAGAAATGAAGGCAATTACAGATTAATTAATATAATGTATTTAGTCAGATCAATTATTTGATAATAAAAGAAAGTAGGCGAATGGTATTGGGGAAAATGGATAAGACGAAAAGACAGCGAAGGAAAAGAAGTTGGAACAAAAAGTGGAGTAAGAAATGATCATGAGAAGGAAGATAAAGAAAGTGGACTTGTTGGCAAAGATAAATGAAGAAAGAAAACATACGAAGGGAAACTTTAAGTTAAGAAACATTGAGAAAAAAAAGTTTTAAACTCTAAAAAGGTCATGCAGGTCATTGAAATGAATGATGGACAGTAAAGGAAGAAGATGAAGAGAGCATTGAAGGCTGGATTACGTCAACTTGAAACCGTATGACGTCACAATCAAACTGATAGTCCTATCTTGTTGCAATGGACTATTTCCGCTGGCTATCCTATCGTATCTTTTTATAAAGGTGTTCATAATTTTTTTGTTGCACGTATTTTGCGAAAATTTGTGTTTTATTTCATGCCAGCATTTCAAATTCATTTTAGTTCCTACAGATCAACGAGACGACAGTTCGAAATAGTGCGCACCATTCACAGTCAACTAATACATGTAGTACTCACCCTGCATGTTGGCGTCTGAGAATTTGGGATTCTGAAATAAAAACGAATTTAAGTGAAAATAGTAATACGTCAAATATTGGTGATCGAATTACACAGTCGATGCGTCTGAAGAGCGAACCACACCCCACCCGCCACTCTATTCCATACCAACCCACCCCACCCCGACGAAACCCTCTCACACGCACACGCACAAGAATATGGACACACTCAAATCAAATCAAATCCCGTCAATGAAAAATCAGATATTCATCTAAATGTTACACATAATCTCTAAAAGTTTGACAAATTAATATTGAACAAAAATGAAAGATGGTACTTCTTTTCCCAAACCATCGTTGATTATATCATGTATCGTTGATGGGAGCAGTAGGCCTAATTCGATAAAGCACTGGAGGGACGAGTGGTAAATTATTGTAAGATGAGTCCCTTCATTTGTCCTGAGTTAATAGGCTTATTTGTTTATTAAATTTAACCTGATTATTTATCTAAAATAAAACATTTGCATACACATCGAAGATTGATGCAAATATGCCTACTATGGCAATGAGCATACATAGACTCAGGACTTGAAGAAATTATAAATCTGTATTTGCTCGCTAGAGATTATAGGCATTCAGTCAAAGTCCAACGAAATATATCGACATAATTTGGCCACATTTCAATGTATAAAACATTGACATAAATGTGCCTTGATGCATAATATTAAACTCAATATGAGCCATAAATGCATTTCACAAATCAACAGGGCTAAAGTCGCCAAAGTTTTGGATTCTTGTTCGAGACTTCGAGAAGAACAATTCTATTGTATGAACGCCATTGTTCCCTTCCAAAACAGAGAAAGAAACAAAACAAATCATGTGACGTCGAATGTTCACCATAACGACAGTAATAGAAGATTGATACAAGAAATTACAGGCATAAATACCAACTTACCATTTTGGAAAGTTTTGTGTCTGCTCTTATTCCGAGAAGAAGTCAGAAAGGATGCTGTGCTTTGTCTGATGCTGCCAAACCCGTAAAGAAACGAATCGACCAAATAGTCAAGGTATATGGGTATACGAAATCCGAACCAGCTCAGTAACTGAACGATATACCACCCTCACTGCGCAGGCGTAATGAGATGCAGACTATGCCAGGAATGCCCATTCCATTGCACGGGGGCAGATAAGAATGGATGTTGAGGGAGAGAAAGATGGTGATGGAGAGATAGAGATGGAGAGAGAAGAAGAAAGAAGAGTTTATTGTTATATATGTATATGGTGATAGTATGATTGAAAGAGAGAAAAGTGGAAACAGGGGCGACCCCTAGCAGGTCTTTGGGTATATCATGTAGGCCTACATCCTACAACCATTGGTAATGATGCATGAGAGCTTATACTGAAAACTAAACGAGTCCTTGGAGAACAAAATTTGCATCATCCTATTGCAGAATTAAATTTATCTAAAATGGAATCACATAGGTTAACAAAAAAAGAAATTCTGAATATATACCTCTCTTTAGCATAAAACAATTCTTTTGCTTTTACTTTGATATCAGAGAGAAAAGGAAGTAGGAATAGTGAAGCTATATAGAATGTCTGACATGAAATGCAAAATAATAAAATGTTTACTTTCTTTCGAAAGAATGTCTGCAGAGTGCCCTGCACAGGCCTCAGATGATACGAAGTCAGTAGTGTATTGTGGCGTATTCTTGTGGTGTATCACGTGCCCCCCCTTCCGATCGAATGGTGAAAAATAACTAAATATGGAGAGGAAAATGGAGAAGAATCCATGGAGTTAAACTGTTAAGGGCCCCTCCCCATGTTGCCAGTAGCCCCTCTTGTGGCCCCTTCTGGTGTATAATTGCACGTGCGCCCTCCCGATCGAGTGGCTAAAAAGAACTAAAGAAGAAGAAGAAAAGGTAGAGGAATCGATGACGTAAGAATGGTGCCCCCCCCCCCCCCATGTTGCCATACAGTGGCCCCTCAGTGTACGGACCTATAGGCTACGCCACTGCATCACTGGTGCAGTAGAGCTGATCTGTGCATGTGAAAATTAATGTAGGGCCCATGTACTGCAACTTCTGAGAATGATGTAAGTGATCAGGCTATGACCTCGGTGACATTTTGAATATAATGACGTTGAGACGATGACAGGAACACAGTTAATGAGCAGGCCCCATGCCGCAATGCTATAAATTATAGAATTAACTTACTCGATGAGCATCATGCATGCGACAGTAACTTCCGAGGCATAACTATAATTATAAACCATGCTTCATAAATACAAATCAAAGGACGTGGGACAGAAAATACGAAAGGGTTTCAATCTTTTATTTTTTTAGTGTCATATTAAAAATAAAAATGTAAAATAAAACACCGCAAAGTTTTTTTTTTAATTGTGGAGGGGAGCGAGAGTTCCATTCCCTCTGCTCTGAGTATTATATGTCTTCATGGACAAGTTTACATTTTTCATGCTTATAATGATCAATTGCAATTACTGTGTACTGTAGTATGAAAATAACATCAACGAAATCATTAATCATACAATACATCAGCATGAACAAAACATAATATAAAAACACTTCATAAGCTCAAATTAAAATATCCAGGGGGGGGGGGACAGTAATATTCAAGCATGAATTATAATAGAAGAATCGAGGGACAGGAGACGAATGAATGAATGAGAGAGAGAGAGAGAGAGACCGTGAGAGAGGGATAAAGTTGGCTGGGGGGGGGGGGGGGATTGAAAAAAAGGATTTGAAAATTATGGGGGACAGTTATAAATGTAGGCCCGTCCTGAATAGCGGAGTTTTAACATGTAATTATTTTGTGGGGGTTTCTTTACATAGGCATGTTAGTTTTGTCGCTAACTTTGTCCAAAAGCGTCCATACATGGACGTCCGACCAACGCGTAGAATTAGTATTGCATTAATTGGACCAATTGACATATTCTTTTGGTAGCTGGACTATAGGTACTCAAATTTTCAGCGGAATTCTAATTATTATTTCAAATTGATTTTGCTGATCTTCTTTCTGTGGTCGACATGCAGGCCTAATATACCCCCTTTGCACAGAGAATTAAGGTTGACAAAATTATCTCAATATATGGGATTGTCTTAGAATATCAACTTTAAAGAAATTCCCATACCAGACAGTTATTTCTAGCTATATAGACTTCGCCAAATTATATAGATTTTACGATGTCCATGAAGGGATAATATGTCAATTTTTTTCATTTTTTAAATGCTAGTCATTGTGATGTCATGATATTATATATAGAAAATAAATGCTCGCTGCTGTTTACTTGCTGTCTCTTGAAACAAGAAAATAGAAGATAAAACATGATTACTAGCAGACTACAATCATCTATTGACACAAATGTATCGTTATGCGTCACATGATGGCGCTACACTAAAATAATATTGTCAATGATTTAATAATAGCCCTTGTCGGCACGGGGGTTTCCGTAGTGTAGTGGTTATCACGTGAGTCTAACACACTCAAGGTCCCCGGTTCGAGCCCGGGCGGAAACTTGTTTTGCTTTTTAACTTTTGTCTTTTCCCTTATTCTTATATCTCCCCCTATATGATAATTGATATTTCTTGCATTTCCATAGAACCACTTGGTAGATTAAATGTGAAATACATTTAACTTGCACAATGAGTTGCTCTCACTGAACCTTTTTTTAAAAGGATCAGAATGCAGAAGAAAAAGAAAAATTTCAAACTCATGAAGAGAACATGAATTGATTTGTGAAAACCAAAATAATTGTTTTATTGAGAACAGATGGGATCATTCAACTAACCGACTTGACAAGGGATGAACAGTGTTTTCATCTATTTTGATAGATATCTGAGCTATCGCCCCCTCATATGATATAACTTAAAAGAGTTTTACTCACATGTGTGTACATGGAAGGTATGTCATGTCATTATCTTCCATGCACACACTATATACCATTAAATAGAACATCGTTTGCACAAAATACATTGTTTTACAGGTCCAAAACTGTGGAATTCTCTTTCAAATGATATTATATAATTCAATAGAAATGTTCAAGAGACTTTAAGTTTTCTTCTGAATAGTGTCTAGGCTATTGCATTCCCCAATCAAATATAATTTGTAGTGTGACTTTATGCAACTTTGATGTTTGTGTAACTTTGATTGTTTCTTTTTATGTATTTATTTATCATTGTTTTGTGTTTAAAAATGATTTTTTTTTTATTACTGAATCAGTTATTGTTATAGCTTTTTCTTTCTCATAAAATAATAATTCATAATAATTACTTTTACAGAGAGGCCTACACCCTACAAGCTCTGCTTTTTAGTCGGCTCTCCTTCCCTTTCAATTTCATGTTTTTGTAATGTATTGTATTGTGTAAATGGATCTATATGTATATTAATATGTGAATATGTAAAAATGTACCATCATTGTAAATATGAAAAATTGAAAGAGGAAAAAAATGAATTGAATTGACTATATACCAGTAAAATTTAATATGTATGGTTTATATACATTTTAATCTACCAGTACATATCTTTATAGGTTATTCTTCTCATGTATACCATAGTGTTATACTGTAGATTTTTATCTGATTAACATACATTTTATATTTCTAAGAAGTGATGTCATGTGACAGAAGAGTGAATGTAACTTTGACAAAAAGGTTACTGTACCATAGTCACTCATATTACTGAATACAGTACACTTGATAAGTATGATTTAGTTATGTTATACATACATGCTTACCATGCATATAGGTTTACTAGTATATATGTACAGTATTTTATTTGTATTAACTTTGTAGAAATATATTATTATGTGTGAATAAATTTGAATACCAGTGAAGATGTATAGTCACATAGCCAAACATAAACACATGCACTACACAAGTTTTAATCTGTTTACCAATAGTATACATGTTTGTGTGTTGGCTTGAAATGCTGAATATGAACTAATTTCATATGCTGAATATACCAATATGCCAACTTGTAAATATTTAGTGGAAAAAAAGGAAGGTTCTGTCAGATTCCAATGTCTGATCAATTTTCAACTCATTGCAGTAATATGAAATATATCAAATTCACAATAAATTTTCTATAGGGTTTAACTGAAAGCAGCACTTACAATAAACTCTGGTGTCTTCTTGGCTTTCACATGTATATGTTTTATTCGAATGACAGAAATGTAAAAACATTTAAGTACATGGCATAAATGAATTAGTACAAACTCTTACCGAAATAATGTCTCTGTTAGAATTAGATTTAAAGAATTATAACACAAAATTAACCTCTAAAACAGTTCAATAAACAAAACATCTACAAGCATAATAAAACTAACAGCAATGGAGGTACACATCATGTGATATAGCAGCATTTAAACAATGAGAGAGTTGCATACAGATAGCATTCTTTTTCTCATGTAGGTAAATCTAAATGCTATAGATAATTTGGTAATGTAGTTTGAATAAAGATAGACTGTGATACATTTCTCTGCCATTTCTGTGTCCATTGTGGTAACAAAACAGAAAAGTAGTTGCATTTCTTTGGACGGTGTGATTCATTGCAGTTCCTGAAACCTGACATTCTAAAATCAAATTTCATTTTAAATAATGGAAAGAGAACAAAACATAATTTAAACAAGTACAAAACTGAACTACATCCATAGATCCATTCTAAGCAACTAGATTGAAGACTGACCTTTTCTACATATCGTCCATATTTTCACGAAGTGACGGTAGTGAGGAAAATCGTCACGCAAAGTGAATGCAATTTTTTTTCACTACCGTCACTTCGTGAAAACAGCGACGATATGAACTACAGTAAGTTTATAAATCCAATAACAGCACCTTAAATCATTATCATCTCACAGGAGTAGTAGAAGACATTTTTATTCTAAATACATTATAAAGTATAACATTCTGTTGGAGCCAGAGGCAAGTAAACTCAAATTGTTGCACACGGAGCTAACACCATTCTGGTTATGAACAGATGATATATCATAAATACATGTACCTCATTTTGTAATGCTACTTATAAAACTATTTTCTACATGTTATATTCAATTTCTATATTTACAAACTATAACACCAAACAGATTGCATAATGTATATCAATACAAAAATAACATCATAAGTACATGAACAATATTGCTTTGGAATATCAATGGCAATGTTATCATTTGAAAAGCACATTTTCTGCAATCATTGATCAACTATATTATAGCGGGTACGAAAGAAAATACTGCTGTAGAATACCTTTCAGCTTATGCAATTAAATGTTGCCATTATCCTGTTGATGTTTTGTTTAACACTAGAAGTGTGAAGAAAACCTGGCAGTACTGAGAAAACAAAAGATTCCTGCTTTCATGCAAAAAGTTTGTCAACCTTTAGAAATTGTTAATCTGTCCAGAATACACTACAGGCCAAAATACATTTGTTCATTACCAAAATACATTTGTTCATTACCAAAATACATTTGTTTATTACCAAAATACATTTGTTCATTACCAAAATACATTTGTTCATTACCAAATTTCATTTGTTAATTACCAAAATACATTTGTTAATTACCAAAATACATTTGTTAATCACCAAAATACATTTGTTCATCTGTATATTTCACATATTCAATGAATTGCTTTAATATTCAAAGAAACATGTTTACTTGTCTTCAGCCTTTTTTTTTAAATACCACATTTAAACATTCTGGCAGTTAATATCAGAACATTAATAACTAGATGGAACTTCGACTGCGCGCAGTCGAAATGATGCCTCCGTCATAGAGCAATTTACAAACCAAAACAGAAGAAATTTTTCAAATTCAAGTTCAATTGTAATCCATTAACAGGTTCTCAGAATATTGTGATTACAAGCAATTTCTCATATACATATATGACCCTTTGATCTTTGACCTCATGACCCTAACATCTACTCAGTTCATTGGCTCTGCAAGATGTCCAAAGTTAAATAGTAATCCATCTGTCAGTTCTAATGAGAATGCGTTCACAAGCTATTTTTGCATACATAATGAGCCCATGACCTTTGACCTTTGACCTCATGACCAAAGAATCTACTCGGTTCATTGGCTCTGCAAGATGCATACATGATCTAAGTTTGGCAGGAATCCATCAATCTGTTCTAATGATAATGCGATCACAAGCTATTTTTGCATACATTTAGCCGCATGACCTTTGACCTTGACCTCATGACCCCAAAATCTAATCAGTTCATCGGCTTCGCAAGTAACATACATGACCTAAGTTTGGCAGGAATCCTTCAATCGGTTCTTGAGATAACGCGATCACGAGCAGTTTTTGCATACATAATGAGCCCTGTGACCTTTGACCTTTGACCTTGTGACCCCAAAATCTATTCAGTTCATCGGCTCTGCAAGATACATACATGACCAAAGTTTGGCAGGAATCCATCAATCGGTTCTTTGGATAACGCGATCACGAGCTGTTTTTGCATACATAATGAGCCCTGTGACCTTTGACCTTTGACCTCGTGACCCAAAAATCTAATCAGTTCATCGGCTCTGCAGGATACATACATGACCAAAGTTTGGCAGGAATCCATCAATCGGTTCTTTGGATAACGCGATCACGAGCTGTTTTTGCATACATAATGAGCCCTGTGACCTTTGACCTTTGACCTCGTGACCCCAAAATCTAATCAGTTCATCGGCTCTGCAAGATACATACATGACCAAAGTTTGGCAGGTATCCATCAATCGGTTCTTCAGATAACGCGATCACGAGAACGGGACGTACGGACGGACGGACGGACAACCAGAAAACATAATGCCTCCGGCTACTTCGTAACGGAGGCATAAAAACAGGGGTCTTCAATATCTATGACTCAATGTATCATTTCATAAACAAGAAACAGGATTCACATACAATTCTTACATAATGAAAGCTACATGGATGGTAGGGTAATAAGATTTCCCAGAAAATCATGTTCCTATTATTATACCTTATAGATCTTATTTTGTATCTTATACACTGGAGTTTAACACCATTTAAAAGCACCGTGTGAATTGATTCTTGTAAGAAGATAATCCCACACCAAGTACAATGTTACATTTATTCCATATCAACTATCAAATGATTCTGACGATGAGTAATGAATAATGAATCTTATTTTTCTGTATTTTCATCTCCTTCACAAAAACACAACACTGAATAGCTTGAATAATAATTATGACTGCAAATACCTTTATTTGCAAGGATTAAAATGCAGCAAACATTCTTATCCACATCCTACCATGTACTACTGTAATGTCATCATTCATGGTGAAATATATGAAGCATTACATTATTATTCCATTTGTCCTTAATGCCCTGATAAAAAGACCAATACCAACACAATATGGACAAAAAGGGTAACATGAGAATCCCTTAATGCCAAACCTGGAAGACAATACTGAGAGTGACAATAGCACACAAAAGGCACAACCCTTTCACAACAATCATTCCACATTTTGTAATTTGGCTTAATAGCTTTTTATTCATGGCAAAAGTTTCTGCACACTATGTGTCTACTTTTGTTGCATAGCCATATTGCATTCGACGTCATAAATGGAAAATAAGTCTTAAAAATCCATAAAGATGAAGTTGAGTTCTGGTCATGCGATCGCATTGTGAAAGAAACAGTGTGGAATCGACCAGAAAAGGTTGATCATCTAGCATATAAGAATGTGTGTGTATTGCAAGGTTTTAGAATCATCAAAATGATAAGAAATTTGGCCAAGTCTTGGTAAAGTTACAAACACTGTACACAGAAAGATGTATATGGGACTACACGAAAAACGTGGCGTAAAAATCCTACCATGGAGTTTTACGATGTTACATGACATATTTAGAATATGAAGGCATTTGAAGAGCCATGCTTTTCAGGGAACATGTCTTATCTGATGTTCTTCCACACTTGCATAAGAAGAATGATAACGCTCACAAATTATTTGTCACCTCTTCCCAGAACTCAACCTTCTCTTTAAATTGACATGTTGAGAAGTTCAAAATCATTGTTTTTCTATCAAATTTGTACTTTTTCAACTTTTTGAAATCTATTACCTATGAATATTGTTTTCAAAGACATTACATTTTGTCAGAGCAATGTAGCATTAAAACAACAATATTACTGTTGCCAATTTGAAGAACAATGTGATCAATTTAGCCCTTTAACAAAAATCCTGGTCCTGTAAGGGTTAGTAGACGACCGCCCATACTGACGGTGGGTCACAGTCTGTAGGTTCTCCATCACCACAGAATCTATTGTACGTCATCTTGGTGTCGAACCCAAGCAGCTGCCTTTCCTCAAAAATACGGAACGTGAAAGTGGATTGGCCGGTGCCTATGAAGTATCTGAAGTACAAAAAAAATAGATAATTTGAAGATGGAATCAATCTAAATCAATGGAAATGATTTGCTCAGCTACTCTACAACAATTGCAGTCATCAAACGTCAAGTACCTTAGCCAAGTACCTCTGTGTTATTCTAAATTGAAGTTCGACTAATTTAATAGCAGGAATATACTTGTACACTAATAAGCGGTGTAAACAAAGGACAGTAGTTACTGCAACGTGCATTGGGGGCATTGATTTTCATAATTCTATATAATTGACATAAAAACGTGAAAGTGGATTGTGCCTATGAATTATCTGAAGTACGAAGAAAATTGGACAATTAAAAGATGAAGGATTTTAAACACAGTGCACTACAATTATCTCTACACCAATTGTAGTCATCAAATGTCAAGTACCTTAGCCAAGGCCTCTGTGTTATTCTGAATTGAAACTCTACTAATAGCAAGGAATATACTTGTACACTTATAAGCATTGTATTCAAACAAAAGGACACTAATTACTGCAACATGCATGGGAAGGGGGGTTAAGTTTTATAATTCTATAATTGTTCACATAAACAATGACACTGTAAGAGAAATAAATGCTACTCAAGAGTAAACTACCGGTAACTAAACAGAAAGAGAAAGAACTTGAATCACATCTTCGTTAACTGCCATACATATACATCACAAGCCTGAGGTAATTTCTCTCATTTTCCAAATAGAATATAAATTTGACATGCTAGATTGAAGAAAAATGAGATTTTGTTACATTAAATTTGAAAACATTTCACAAATTATTCTCCTGCAAAATAAGTGAACATTAGAGAATTCATTAAAGGAGAGGAGTATTTGTTCCTGGACATACAATTTCTAATCCAATTTCTTCTCAAAACTTTTGAAATAACTCCAGCGTAAGAGATATATATATATACCAACCTTGCATGAGCACAGATCCATTGGTCTATAATAGCAACACCACCATCCATGAATCTATCATGAACAGTCCTGGGAGGTATATAGTTATACACCTCATATCCCTTTAGATGTACTTTTAACTGGTCAATTTCTGCGGAGAGAAAGTACATGTCAAAACATCCACAGTGATTATAAAGACCAAATGTCGTGTGGCAGATCTGTAGTTGCCTCAACTAGGAAAGGTATTTCAAGAAAACACATAATGCAACAGGATGTCTGGATTTATTGACATACAAATATTGAATGGTTCTGAGTAAGATGGTATAACTATGTTATGAGGTGATAGGTGCAGCTGTACATAGCAAAGTTGAAAGGAATGGTGTACTGTTCACTGAACTAAATATACTTTTCCATAGGTGGAAAGAAAAACATTTCTTATTTTTTGTATGCAACTCCATTATTATGAATAGAAGGGGAATCTAGATTGCTGTCAAAGATTTTTTTTTCTTCTAGTTTTTAAAGATTGTCATGACCTTGCTCATTAATTCAAGCTTCAAAGCATACAGGCATCCAATGTACAAAAACAAGAGATGGATTAAATCTTTAAATGTGTACCGGTAGTCTCCCATCACGTGATGAGAATGAATATCAGTATCGGACATTGTATACCGGTACCCAGTGAATATGACATGTATAAACAACCGGTACTTCAAATACAGTGACACTCATTACATACATTTCTATACAAATTGGTTGCTTCTGCATTGACCTTGCCTGGTTTTGTTTTACCCCTTAAAATAGAAAAAGAATTATAAACAGTACATGTATACATCATTGTCAGAGGTAAGAATGACATACCACTAGCTGGGGCATCTGTTGCAACAAAGACCTTCTTGAGCTTGAGTTCCTTGAGCTTCTTTTTAATATGTGTGGCTGCCTTGGGTAAAGATGCCACTTCTTTTCTGTTATTTCTTGCAAAATCTTGTCTCCGAAGATGAACGGCAATGTATGGCCCACCTTTGGCACTTCCTGCAGTTGGCTAGGATACAAAGATTGGTTGTTCTTAAGAGTCAGGTATTAAATATTCTGTATCTACATAGCTGAAATTGGAGGTACACAACAAACCAGTTCCGTAGTCAATACAGATTTATATCAGGTTGGACAGGATTTGATTTTGGTATAAGATGCATTTTCCATAGACATCAGACCAAGGGTTCAGTATTTAAGGGGTGGAGTTTTGTCCCTTTTTTAAACTTATTTTAAAACTTTTTAACCAATAGTTGAATTGCAAGCTAAGTTTACACATTTCATCACCAACTATTATCTATTTCAACTATATAAAAAAAAGGCAAAAAATGAGTAATTTACTTGATTTCACCTTTTTTTTTTAAATCAATACAAATTATTCAATCACCTGTGATTAAACTTTCAGCTGTGTAAATTGCATTGTTACAAGCAGGGGCAAATCCAGGGGGGCTGGGGGGACACCCTCCCCTGGCCACAAAAATAGGCCACAAAAAAAACTAAATGTCTTTTGTTGTTATTGCTCAAAGGGGGTAGGGGGGTGTCAAGTAATTTTTTATTATAGAGCTCTATTACCGGGCATGGTGGATCAGTGGTTAGAGCGCCCGCCTCGTGAACGGGAGGTCGTGAGTTCGAACCCCGACCGAGTCATACCAAAGACTTATAACAATGGGACCTTCTGCCTTCTAGCTAGGTGCTCAGCATATTAGATTGGAGAAGGGTAGTAATAACATATTATGTTATGCAGGGCCCACTGGAATAACTAAAGTGGCTACCCTGGGTAAATTAGGGTTATTATTATTATTATTATTATACCCCCCCCCCCCCCCCCCCCCCTGTTGAGCTTAATCGGCCAACTGGTTGAGTCGCCGCTAAATATTTTCTCATGAATTGGGCCCCCTTTCTCGCCGTCAGCTGGATCCACCCCTGGTTACAAGACATGTTTCCCACAATTCAGTCTCATCTGGCCATAGATGTCAACCCCTCATGGTACATTAATTTTCTTTTTAAGTATGTAAATATAAATTGGAAATTAAAAAGATACAGAATATTAATATTTCAAATTGGTGGCTGTAAGTAGCTGCTACAATATCTCTCAATTAAAAAAAAACAAGGGTTCAGTTCGATATAAAAGAAGAATATACATATATTCTATTCTCTACCAACAAATTTCTAGTTTTCACCTCGTTCCTCTTACCTTCATTTCTCTCCAGTCATCCAGAATAGGAGTTTTATCTTTACTGTCGCTGGAATCCAGATAGGTTCTACGAAACTCATCACCAATGTCTCTGAGAGGTTTGGCAAACCGTAGACTTCTTCTTGCCTTCATGGAAACAAAATATCACAATTATATCAATTACATCAAAATGCTGAATAGAATTCTCATATTGAAATACTCAATATAGACTCTTGTACTTGGGGGCCGGAAGAGATCATTAATTGCACTCTCAATTCATAAAAAAATAAAAACATACATTTTTTCTTCATTTATTAAATTAAGTTTCTTCATCTAGCTGTCAAGTGTTTTATCTGTTTTAATATCCTCAAGATTATATTGGAAATAGGGGCAAGGGATATGTACCAGTATGATTTGCATTAGGTTTGCATGCTACATGGTTGAAAAATTATTGCAATACATGTATTTGGCATAATAAGCCAATTAATCACAACAAATTACAAATTGTTGTCATGGAGCATAGCAGATGCGCAAGTTAGACAGAGAGGATGAAGGACAAAGGTGTCACAGTTTCTCCTCTTACTGCAAATGACACCAAGCAGGATTAGAAATATCATGAGGAAAATATTCAAAAGATTTAAAGTAAAGAATTAAACTCAGGTAGAAGTGCACACATTGTTAGTCATTAGAAAACACTGAAAGGCCACTTTCAAATTGAATAATGGTAATAAAAAATGGAGAAATTAGTTTTGATAAAGGGTTAGCAGTGTTAAACAGAACAATACACATGGACATAAGACATACAAACTATGTAAACAACTAATTTGCAGGCGATGAATTCAAGTGGCTTGGAAAAGAGGAATTGACAATTTTCAGATTTTCTCTATTTCAATTTTCTGTATTTAGACAAATTAGAAAAATAAGAAATCAGAGGAAAAGATTAAGACTAAGTTCACCTTACAGATTGAAATATTTAGAGCAATCACTAGAAAGTAGGCTATAAACATTTTAAATGTCAAAAAGATACCTGTAATAGTAATTAGGATTAGTTGTGACAAGAACTAGTATTAAAATTTATGTCAAACATGCATTTTCTTGTCACAGCCCTTCAAACTTAAGCACAAGTTAAGTAAGTAGTGCATAACATTATGGCATTAAAGCTAATCTGGAGCTCTGGTATGAGAATCATATTTTGAGAGAAAATCAATATGATTTATTCTGGATCATTTATCCTGCAGTAGATTGGTTGTTTGAACCAGTGAAATAAAAACATACACACAAAAAATTACTGGGCATCATCTTCGATAAAAACCACAACTCCCATTTTCACATAGTGACCTGTGTTAAGCACATGGTGTCGGGCCTACTTATCTGTATTTCATGATCTTTCTATGCTCATTACTCAGCCACTGTACATTTTCTACCAAAATTGTTTGGCACATGTCATTTATTTGTAATCTTGAACATTCAGTGTAAGTTTTGTTGGATTCTTTGAGAATTTACTTTCTTAATTTACCAGAACTCAAGTTTATCTTTAAAGGGCAAGTCCACTCCAAAAATAACATAATTATAATAGAACAAGAAAAATCAGACAAACCAATCAAAAAATGTTTGAGCAAAATTAAATCAGATAACTAATAAGAAAGTTATAAATTTGTCATGACATGAGAATCACAAGACAAATTGGCAACTCACTCATGAGTCTGTGACGTCATTGCCTCACTATCCACTAATTGTTTTCATAATACTGATAATATAACTTTCCAATTCTCCCTCTAAGAATCTTATTTCCTCACACCAGCATTTAGGTTATATTGATAGTTATATGTTTTTGTGTGGATGCACTAATATAGAGTCATTTTTTTCAGTTACCGGTAAGTCATGAAAAGTGTGAATTTTGATAAACTATTTATATGAAAATCAAAGATTATGAACAAACAATATTCAGAAAATAACATAAATTCTTAAAATTTCATAACAAATTTTGTGAAATGTCAAGCACGCACTATGATACAAATCATATAACCTGATCAAGGGCATGGGGAAATCAAGTTTTTTGGAGGAAATCAAGTTTTTTTGGGGAAATCAAGTTTTAGGGGATAAAAAGGAAAATTAATGGAATACAAATATATAAAGCAAATGATAAATAGTGAGGCAATCACATCACAAACCGATACCAAACCAAATTGGCAATTTGTGTAGTAATTTTCTAAGTTCCATAGTTTTTCATACTTTAAAAAAAAATCATAACTTCCTTATTTGTTATCCGATTTTTCTCAAATTTATTTTGCTGTTTCTCTTGTTTTTCTGCATCTACTAAAAGCAAATTATTTTTGGAGTGGACTTAATAGCTTTTAAACTGGAATCAATTATGTAAGTGGGTTAGTGGAGTACAACTCTGATCTGCACATCAAAATTGACTGGAGTGAATCTTCAGAGATGTGATAGGGAATATTAAACAGGGAAGAATTTCTGAGAACAAGTAAAGCAGGGAGATGTGAATTTTTTTACAAGCAACTACCAACTACTCAACTATAGAACTAGTCCTTAAAATGAATAAATTACAGTTATCCTCCTACAGTAGAAATTATAGAAATATTCATGTAAACATAGAAATCTATAACAGATTTTATATAATAGAAAATCATGTAATATACATAATTGGCTTCTTGCCAACAAAGTGCCTTGAAAGTTGAAACATACTCTTGAAACAATTGTTTGGATAGTACTTTGTGAGCACAAGAAAAGAGTCAAATAGAACATTACAAGAACAAAAATGATATGCCTTACTTACATATTTTCATCATTATAAAGTGCTGTATTTAATTACTTGAAGACTAAGTGGTATTAATTCCAAATAAGTGTAAGTTATTACCTTCTCTGAATATATGAATATATATATAAATCTTAGGCCTACTGGCTCTGGATTTTAAATAAAAACTTATGATGGCTGTTTTTCAAATGGTGAATATATGAATTTCGGGATTATTATCATAAATCTACATACTGGTATATATATTTTTTGAATAATTCATTTATTAATATAATTATTATTGTCATTATTTTCTTCTTCTTTTTTTGGGGGGGGGGGGGAGGGAGGGTTTATCACAGGCTGTCTTTCTTTGCAATAATCTATTAGAACTGAATGGTTACAAAAAAGCAAAACTATATTTATTTTAATATATCTCAACCCATCTAGAGTTCTAGACATAGGTTAGATAAAATTGAGAAATCATCTAATTAATGCCTCAGGCCATCAAATTAGGCATATTTCCATATCTCAAATCTAGCAAGAACTTACATTCCAGTATTCAACTTGTCCATAGTAATCATGAAGAACTTCTTCACAGCGAGACAAAAGAACAGATCTATTAGAAGGATTGATTTACAGATAATGTTGGATTATAGAAAGAAAGGAAAGGACAATGTGACAAGAAAGTGTACAGAAATGTTGTTACTAGATAATGAAGAAAATACAAAGGAAATAAATAAGATGATGGTTTGGTATTATAAACTACAGAGAGTAAATAGCAATAAAGAAGGAAAATCAGCCATCATATTTCTTTATCTGAAAAGATTCCTGATCCATTTTTTCTTATGAATCATTAACTAAATCTCTTCCAGGTTCCAGAAATGAATAATAGAAACTAAATGTCTCAAAAGAAGACCAAAAAATATATCTTGTAACTTGTGACCAAAAATGAATAACTTATCAACTGATTTAATATGTTTGGGTTGAATAGACCTATTAGAAGATGTCCTTTTGTTTTTGAGAAAGTTATTGATAAAGAAAGATGTTAACAGACAGGAAGGTATGTAGGTAGGTAGAGAGATAGAGAGAGAAAGGGAGAGAGACAGAGAGAGGAAGCATCTTATGTAGTTCCTATTTTTGTTACCTGTGACCGATCATGGTAAAAATAATATATCAAATAGACTTGCAGTAATAGCTTAAAATTATGTCACAGTTTCAAATATGTTATGAGGAGATGAACATTAAAAGGAGCTTGAAAATTTCAAGAAACTACTCTTTTAAAGCACAGAATATAAAACCAATACTGCACAAAGCGACAGGCAATCAATAACAGTAATACAAGAAATAGAAGTAAAGCATTTAATGGCAATTGGAACAGGAATACTTGTAAGTAGTGTGACTCTTAAGAAGATGATTCCTTTTACATGATGCATAACTATTACAGTTAAACTTTTGTTTTTGAAAGTTAAAGGAATAACCTGATGCAAACTAAAGATTCAATAAGATATTTTCAAGGTGTCATACCTATAGTCATAGGTAGTCACAGCAAATTCACTTTAAGAAGAATATCAAAACACTTCAGAATGAACAATTATTTCTTCATCTATTTATGATAACTTATTAATTAAAAAGGTATACATTTTACAGTATCCAACCTATACTACTATTTAGTTTCCTGGAAATTGTATACATTTTACTGTTATGTATTTTATAATGAATGTATTACCAAAATGTTTCTCTTTTAAGTTTTTAAACAAGGATGGTTGAGAAAAAGCTAAACAAGAGAAAGGTTAGTAACCTCATTTACCTGGTCATATGTTCAACAACAAATGTATGAAATTATGCTATGATTGATACACAGATGTTCATAATCTATGTTAACACTTTAAGAATGAGTTGAAGATTAAAATAATCAACATTGTTAGAGACAAAACACTTAAAAAATGTAATGATGCTATATTGGTTTCTACTAATACTATATCATTTTACATACATGACGAGGAGTAATCTATATCTACTTCTATGTACATGTGGTAATTTTCAATAGTCCCGTCTTGATAAGTTAATATGAACTTGTTAAATATACCCAATATTTCGTCGCTGTTTTCACGAAGTGACGGTAGTGAAAAAAAATTGCATTCACTTTGCATTACGATTTTCCTCACTACCGTCACTTCGTGAAAACAAGGACGATATGATACCAAGTCACATAGGTAGCATAGTAGCATCAATTTCTATTTTCTATGAGAGGGAATGAGCTAGTCAGAGTGAAAGTGATGAGCAAAGGTGTTGTTGAATGCCTAAGAGTTAAATAACACAAGCAAGACCAAGAAGTGAAAGAAAAAGGAAGTGACCACAAAACCCAACACAGAAGGGAAAACATTTTGAGCACTTTTGTCTCGAGCGACTTACTTCCCAATAATCTGACCTGCCAAATGTATCATGGAGTACAGTTTCGGCTCGGTCAATCATAACTGATCTGAAGACCAAAACACACACAAAAGAAATGTTTCCTGAACTCACCTATTTGGATATGCCATTGCAAGTATAGCTCAGATTCCTGGTTGTTCTGTGACTAATATTATGACATATGCCTTCAAAATGTACTTTCAAACAGGTTGCATGAGGGGCTAATTTGTTCCAAACATATATTTCTTCCTGCAATTATGCTTACACTGATGGTATTAAAGATCACGAGTTCATCTAAAACGGCCCAATTTCCATTATACGAGTGAATACTTCCCAACTTCACAGAGTTATTAATCTTGAAATATTGGTCATACATCATATTATACTACAACATTTTCATCCATTCACAAGGCGTAAAATTTCCCTGCATCACATAAACTTGTTGATGATTCCCTTTGAAGAATCTAATGCACCTGTACATACTGCTGAGGGCAGTCTTGGGCAGTTAAGGTGCTAAAGGGTTGAACTACTTTTACTGAAAATTTGAGGGAAAGAAAGCTGACATCAATATTTTTTTTTAATTCTTCAATCTGGAGAGAAAAAAAAGGAGAGATTGGTCTGAGGTATAACTCACCTAGCAGTAATATTCTTTGTGAGGAAGGGGGCGAGGTCTCCAGCCGAGCCCTGAATTGACAGACACCTGAAGTTTCTAGCGTAAGCTTCTGAGTAACCCCAGTACCAGCCTCTGTACTTCCCTTCCCCATTCTTCTGGTAAGTGGGTGGGTCATTGCACTCTCTTTCGTGCATCCTCTCTTCCCATTTACCATTGGTCCACCCTTCTTTGTAACTCTGAAGATAAACATGCTCGTCAATCGCTCCCTCACCTGTAACTGTAATATTAAACATGATTTCAATCATAAAAGGTTAAAAATACACAAGAATGTTTTATTTTTTCACATTAATTCAATTTCATGCAGCATTGTTGGATCGGTGTATTGAGCGCTATATAAAAAACCGGATTATTATTATTATTATTGTACTATTAAATCTCTAGGTATTATAATATAATGATGATAATAAGAATGGTGATAATAATATTAATAATGGTCATTGATACTGCCCTATACACTAAGAAATACCATAGCGCTTACAACATAGGAAAAAGACGAGCTCTGTGGAAAAGTTGCGTTTTTTTTTAATGTTGACATATTTTCTATTGTTCTAATTGATGCATTATAATCTTCAACAATTAAGCTGATTATAAGATGAATTTACAATTAGTATTTTTGAATATTCTTTGTGACTTCTACTTGAATATGTAAAGGCAGTTTGAAGTTTTCATAGAATGACCCATCACATTTTATAGGAAATCACTTTGCATTGAGATAAAAATATACCTGTGTGTAATCATGGTCTACTATTTCTTTAATTTGGTTTAGTAACCAACAGCACGCAAATCCAGTAACCTTCTAGTGTAATGATATAAAAGAGATCATATCAGTTGGTAAAAATTTATATTTTGGTATATTTTGTTACAGGGAAAAAATTAATGTTTATTTTTCGGGGGCTACTTTTCAAGCTTGCCTGCATGAAAATACCATTCTAAAATTTGTTTTGCATTGAACTCTATGCAAATTTACAGGGGCTCTTTTCTGATTTTCGGGGGCTCTTTTAGGCATTTCGGGGGCTAATTCGCCCCGAGCCCCCGTGTATTTTTTTCACTGTTTTGTTAAGAAAGAGTGCATAACAGACTGGTTAAGTTCTTTGGCTAAAAGTAGCTTGGCACTAGCTTTCGATAAATATGTCTCTTTTGATGCTGCCCTGAATCAAAAGTGCTCCTTACTCTTCATATAATCTTCAAATTCAACGACAGGAACATGGCGATTCAAACTCTCCACATCGAAAAAGGTTGACCACGGTATTCGAACTTGCTGCATGTTCCTTGACTTCCAATGGTAGAGTCTGCCCCAAGGCGGAAGCACAAGGACCCAGTTGTCTCTCTCTTGGAGCTTCTTTACCAGGTTTGCTATTCTCATGTAGACATCCCGTCTCAGATTGAATCCCTCCCCTGGATTCACATCGTACAACAGGAACCTGCATCAAGTATATTTATCACAAATTTTTTATGTTACATCCATATAAAAAACACTCATGATTCTTACTTTCTGTGGGTCTCATTTCATTTCAAGTTTACCGGTCAATAAATGTCTGCACTTATCCAGAAATGAAATTGTGTTAACTTGGTATAAAGTATTTCAGTTCAGGCAGACTCTGTATTTGGAAGTTTTCCATAATCAATCAGAAATTATACTGTGAAATTGGAAGATACTGCGTAAAGTAATCTACCGTAATGCGGATCTGACGGTAGACAACTTCACACAGGCGTGCACCCACCCGCAATCCACAATATGTATGCAATTGTATCGTCGAGCGGTTTGTCGTGAAACCTGCGAGAAAGTGTATACTAATATCAACGTTTTTCAAAAAAATACTCCCCCCAAAAAAGAAAATTGACACAAAACAGGTAAGAAGCGCGAAGCATAACAAATTTATAAACATTATTTGAACAATTGATGAATATTTACTTCATTTAAATCATTACTCCACGCCGGAGTTACGGGTCAAAGTCTGAATATGATTCTGAACTAGCGCCAGAAATTAATGCCATGAACAGTCTATCAATTTTCACCGCCATTATTGTCATTGAAATACATGTAGGCCTTCACATGACACGTTTCTCAATAACATGGGACTGAACAACCTGAATGACGTGTTACCTTTGAGGTTTTGCTTGTCCCATTTTCATATTAAGCTGTCCTCCTGGTGCGAAAAGGAGATCATCCTCTAAGGTTTCACTACGGACTTGAATAGTGACGATGAAAAGAATTAGACAAGAGATTTGGACGCTTTTCCACGTCAACGTCCACGAAGCAGAAGCAGCCATGTTTCGAATACAATTCGAATATCTAGCTATCGATATCCTTATCACTTCGTCTAGCCCCCACCCCCGCTTGCGACTTTGCGTTTTACACCCTGGCCTGGACATTTTCCCGGTAAATAGCAATGAAACTGCTTGAATGAGTCTAGTCTACGCTCCTCGATCGCCAAATCGAATCGTACATGCACAGACGTACGTCGATGCAGCATTTATACACACCGTACGCAGCTGCAATACTGAAGATTAAGGGAGAAGATATAGGATTTCAAGTTCAGAACAACAAGTTGTTTGCTTTCACTTTTACTACATATTTCTTCTTTATATAACTATTTATACATACACATACTCCTGTATCTTTTGTATTACTTCTCTGACATTGAAGGATTAGATTACCTTCACGAAAAAAAAAAGTATATGAATGTAAAGCAGTAAATAAAGTGCAAATGAATTCATGTAAAACTGGTGTATAATTTCCTTTATATGTTATGTGTCTGTACATTACACTAGACAAAGTGATGAATGGAAAAAGAGAGAAAGAGAGGTCTTATAAACAAATATCATGAATTTAAATGAGAAAGAGAGAAAGGGAGAGAGAGACAGAGGTCTTAGAAACAAATATGAATTCAAGAAGTGAGAAAGAGAGGGGGTCTTAGAAACAAATATCATGAATTGAGAGCTAGAGAGAGAGAGGTCTTAGAAACAAATATCAAGAAATGAGAAAGAGAGGGGGGGGGGTCTTAGAAACAAATATGAAGAGAGAGAGAGAGGCCTTAGACACAAATATGAAGAGGGGGTTAATGAGAGAGAAAGAAAGAGGGGTCTGAGAAATACATACGAGAGAGAGAGTGGGTCGAGAGAGAGAGGTCTTAGAAAACAAATATGAATAGAGATGGGGGGGGGGGGCGGGGGAGAAATGGGTCTTAGAAAACAAATATGAAGAGAGATGAGGGGGGGGGGGGGAGGTCTTAGAAAACAAATATGAAGGGAGAGGGGTCAAGAGAATTAGAGAAATTAGGTCTTAGAAACAAATGACATGAATTTAAAAAATGAAAGACGTGATCCCACAATAATAGAAAATGGTACGAGTGCAATATTTAAATCACAGTTTATGTATTACATTACCATTACACATATTATGTCGAGTGTAGTCTGTGTATGTGTCGATATGTGTACACGTGTGTTAGGGGGGGGGGGTCCGAATCAGCAAATGGTTTGAAAGTAGGCTACACGTAAAAAATTGAAACCCTGAAGAAGGCGGAATTAAACCACAAAAACCATAATATTATTTGGTTTCTCTCTTTCCTTACTTTGATTAATTCCTTCTCTAATTTCTCTCTTTCTTTCAAGTTAGTTTTTGTTTTCTCTCTCTGCTTATGACATTCTTTGTTTCCTCTCTGTTCTTTAATTATTTATTGTTTTTCTCTATTTCCTTCTGTTGTTATTCGTTGTTTTTCTCTCACTCGTACGTCTCGATACAAAAGTACATGTACCGCGTACCGCGACACTGGACATATAGGACGTACGTTGAGCATTGCAGAAGAGCTACGTGCGCGCGCAATATCTTGTCATGGATAGACTTTTCCCAGTCGGTTCCTTGAAATTTATTGGGAAAAGGTCCAGGCCAGGGTGTAAAACGCAAAGTCGCCCCCCGCTTCCCGTACCGTACTATCCCCTTCCCCCTGCTCCTCCACGTCCATAGTCCATACACGAAACTCCAGGGGGAGGGGGGGGGGGGTCCTAGATTTTCCGATATGGAGAGGCGGGCGTAGGGGCGGCAAATTAGCCACCAGGGATCATAATGCACAAAAGAATACAATTAGGGGCATGGGAGACCTAGGGATGCGACCCCCCCCCCCCAACAAAACAACAACAACAAAAAAGAGAGAGAAAAGAAAGGCTACATAGATTATACCATCTGCCGACAAATGCGCAAATGCCAAGTAAGATAAAGGATCCTCAAGTCATAGAAGTATGATAATGGTAAAGGTCAATACTAAAATTTTCCCTGCTTGATCCAAGCTCCTACCTTGAAGTATTTGGGGGACTGTAACTGACCCCAACTCTCCAGTTTATCGCTCTATGCAGGGCAAACTCTTATTATTCTCTCATCACCATTTTACGTTTAACAGTAACCAACATAGCCTAGACTTACGAGGGTGAGTGGGGGGGGGGTCGTGTTGATTGGTAATACCTTTTGTCTATCCTATGCAGTATAATTTTGTGACAAAATTTAGGAACTGAAATTGTGTTATTCTGCCAATTATGAGATATCAGCCCCTTGGCGAAAGTGTACCAGGCAGTCAGTGTGCATACAAACACCACTCCATCTACTCTTCATCTAATCTATTATACACATTTTCCATATCCCTATGTATTTCTTTTCTTTTTCCTATTCCTTTCTCCCCCGCACACACCGATTCGGCCCTTTAAGACGGGCTTAATTCACTTGATATTATAATACTCACTGCATTATTACATACACCTACTAGGCACATGTGGGTGCAGTTGCATGGTGCCCCCACCCGCCCCGGAAAAAAAAACTAAAAATTAAATCCGGGTGTAATTTACCCTTTTTAGGACTTATAACTCACAATAGTAGATTTTATCAAAGGCCCCTCCATGTTTCACTCGTCTTTTTAGTTCAGAAAACAAGAAAAGAGAGAGAGAGAGAGAGAGAGAGAGAGAGGAGAGGGGGGGGGGCAACTAAGCTTATTTAATCTGTTAGGAAAGATAATTGCCCAATAAAAATAACTCATCCCCGGCTATTACATCGGGAACAGTCCATACCTTAGGAAATCCAATTACAATAAATAATATTCATTGATCATCGACCAGTTTGGAGCTACCATAATAATCCTCAGAATGGTTTCGTAATAAAGGCTAAGTATTATATCGTCTTTTAAATATTGAATCTCTATACTCTGTTTATTCAAGAATGGTCAATCCCAAAATGATTGAGATGCTTCACAACTATATTTTGTTTTCTTCTGTAAAAAAAAAAGAATGCTAACTTCTCACTTACGTTGGCGACCCTCTTTTCCTACTTGGATCCATTTTGAATTATAAGGCTCAATTCAAAACCTGTAATACAGAACCAATCAAGGGATCCAGCGACCAGTGGCCAAAATGACACCATTATCTAGTCACGACGCTAATTCCATATGCAATAAGCAAAAAGCCCTGGACACTTTTAAATTCAATCCCCTGAGAAATACAGAAATTAAGATGCATTATAATAAATTAATCAATCCATTTAAGGTAAGCCACGCCATATTACGACATGACTGCACACATTTCAAATTGCAAAACTATGAATAATATATTCAGCACTATTAAATAATTCATCTCAAAAACCTTTTGAAGCAAAATGTTAGTACCATGGTACAGATACATGTATTTTGCAATGTGATATTGCTCCTTCTTGGGGGAAGAGGCATTTTGTTAAAAGGTCTATGATATACATTGTGCCGGTGGCGTCGGGTACTTTGATGTGTTCCTTGTAATAGGCTCTAAAAAAAGATAAAAATAATGCTTCTTAGAGACCAATGATTTTAAGACAAGAAGCAATGCATAATTTTTGGGTCGGCAATCTTGATTTTTCTTGAAACAGAGCATCCAATATACCTGAGAGCAATGTGTACCCTTTCAGAACAAATAGATAGATAAAAGAAATAACTGAATGGAGCTTTATGCCAAAGCTCACATGTCTTTCATTTTTTTTTTAACTACTAGATATGATTCCTCTCGGGAAGTAGGTGCAATTTATAGGTATAATATTAAACCCATATTAGAATGGTTTCTATTGTTTGTACATATTTGATGCTTTTAGTAGACTTTAATGTGAAAGACCTTTTATATTCCCTCGAGTTGTATATGAGAAAATACCTGGCCATCATTGTTTGCATATTTAAAAGTAGTTTATTGGAAAATCTTTGGAAGGGACTATAACAAGTGAATAAGAAATGGAACGCAAACTGAACATTTATTTTTATTTTTTCTTCAGAGGTAAGTGTTTTAAAATCTTGAAAGCAATCGCGACCATTTGCACTTGTTGTTCTTGTATTATTTCCTCCATCAATATAGGGAAGCGATATAAAAGACAAGAGAGAAAGAAAGAGAGAGAGAGAGAGAGAAAAAAAAGGGAGAGTGATGAGGAAAACGTGATATAATCATCCCCTCTGGCACCCTCCCTTCATGACTGCCTCACTCTCTCGCATTTTATCCACTAGTTTGACCAAAGCCCCCACCAAACAAACAAAATGCTAGCTGCATATTTATGTACGCATTTTGGCTGTCGGTATTGCCATCGAGTGTCTCTTGTTTTGTGATTTCGTTTGTTTTGTTGTAATTTTCTATCTTCAGGGGTAGTACTATGTTTTATTCAAGGATATTTTTATTTCATGTATAAATAATTGTTTGATTTTAAAAAGAAATTGTTTTAAGAAGAAGACTAAGTAGGCCTACGTATAATTGAATGTTGTTCTTCTGTATATTGTTTTGGATGAAAAGGAAAATTCAGTTTTGACTTGCAACTGATTTAACTTCTGAATGATGTATAATGTGCATTTACTTTGTTTGGATTTTTACTACTTGTGTTTGAACAAAAAATAACTGGAAGGATGCAATCGGGCTGGCTGCGTACCAGGTCAGTTCGGGGCGTGTATCGGACCCCGACATAGCGAAATTTGAGAATTTTTGATCGGTTTGTTGTCGATCTGTTGTCGGTCTTTCCTGTGTGACTGCATTATCAGCTTTGTCGAAATGTCGTAATTACTGTGTATTTTGTGAACGTGCATTACATTGATGTGACCTATGTACCATAGAATGCACCTTTGATAACTCATTTTTCCTCAGCCGGTGTGTTCTTTTTTTCCTGGAATATGATTCCAGCAATGCCGTGGAGAATCTCTGTCGCCTTTAGGAGCAGTGGAAGCCTATATATCCTTTTACTTAAGATATTTTCCTTATTAAAACCCCCCCCCCCAAAAAAAAAAAACCTAAATATGTAATGATATACAGCTTTTAAATACACATTATCGGCTTTGTACTATACACGAGTTAGGTATGAAAAGTGGATGAACCCCATCAATTGCATCGTTGAGATACCGACTTTCAGAACCCCCTTTACAGCTCACATGACTCTGTATCTATTTAAAACGTTTCGACGAAAAAGGCATTTTGAAATATCCGGCATCTATTCTGTAATTTTATTTATAATTAGGTGATATTGCCTGCAAGTACCTGCATTTCGCTTTATTAGGCTATTATGTTTGGTAATTGCCCATGTCTAGCTGCTGAGAGGTCGAACGGCGATCGAGCGGTAGAAATTTTTAGGAAATGATAATACTTGAGAGGGTTTTAAGCACAACCAATATCCAGATTATTGACCCATAAACAAATGCATTACCCTTGAGGGAAGCCTATGGATATTTCCCTGGAAATCATCATCTCTTCCGGGAGGGGAGAGGGTGGGGGATGTAGCCTAAGTGTGAAATAGCTCTGCTTTTCCCCTACATAGTTCTTTTTAACCAGTGACAATTTTCGTGTGTTTTTTCTTCCTCATAACCCTTCTCCTTTTCTTTCTCTCTCTCTCTCTCTCTCTCTCACCATGCTCACCCCCTCAATTTTCTTCTTCCCACCTCACCATTTTTCAACTTGGCTCTTTTTTCTCTCGGGCTTTATTATACTTCCCGCTTTAAATCCAACTTTTTTTTATCATCTTTGATGGAAAGAACCGAATCACAAAACTAGCGATCAAAGAGGAAATACAGCAACACCGTTCACACTTCTTTCGCATCGTGTTCATACTGTTCTCACATTGTGTTCACACTTTGTTCATCCTGTTGTGATTTTAGAGAGCATTAGGGAGCATTATACTACATAGTGTAACATAATGTGACACATTTTGAACACACAGAGTTATAGAGCACGTGCACCACACTGTAACCACAGAGATAATTAAAGAGCACGTGCACCATAGTGTGGCACAGTACATGCAACACACTGTGAATGTAGAGAGAATTAAAGAGCACGTGCATCATAGTGTGGCACAGTGTGTGCACCACAGTGTGACACAGAGAGAATTAAAGAGCATGCACGTGCACGACAGTGTGGCACAATAGATGTAACACACTGTGAACACTAAGAGAATTAAAGAGCATGTGAACCAAAGTGTGACCACAGTGTTGATTTGCAACACTTTTATTGACTAAGGGAGAAAAAAACACGTCAGTCTAACTGTGGGACACGCCTGGTATAAAGACTATAGGCTACGGACAAAATAAATGCACTTAAACCTCAATATTAACTTCAATATTCACGTTTATACATTTTCTCCCTGATATATACATAGCACATTGTATACAATATATCACTTTTTGTATTATTGTTATCCTTTTTTGTTAGAATTAACAGCATTACTTTACGATATGAAGAATAAATTTCTAAATTTCATTTCAAGCAACATTACAGCACTGTCTTAAACAACTGACAAGGAGAGCGAATTTTCAATGTGACAGAAACAGAAATATCAAGATGTCTTGAACGTTATTATCGAAAACATGAGCATGCACATGGACATTCATGACTTTCAATCAATCAATTTGTCGAATTGTCGGTTTGTCTATTCCCGACATGACTGAAACAAGACATGACAGCCAAATCAACACTTTGTTCTGATTGTCATTTGGTTGATATAAATCTGCTGCTTTTGACAATTAACACGTTTTAAACAGTCTCATTACATTGTAAATCTCATTTGAATGAGTTATGGGTATGTTTTCGCACGTTTTCGATAACAGGTTTTGCAATGAAATTCTTGTATTATTTCTAGTCTAGGAAATGGCATGCTTAAAAACATTAACACAGAACGCATATTTATGGATTACTCAAAATAACAATCAGGTTGTTTAGTGTTCAAGCAGAGTATGACCTTAATATTTGATCATTCGTGTCTATACCCAAGATCTTGTAAATTAACGCGTATGGATAGATTACATGGCGCCAAATGGAGACTAAATTTAACTTAATTTAACCAAGCTTGCGTGTTTGGTTTGGGTAATCTAGTATTTAAACCGAGATAATAATTGAATTCTACACCTATTCGCTCTTACTAAGTGGGTACAAATCGACAGTGAAGGTTCCTGATTCAGTGATAATATCTGAAAGCTAGGCACAAACACACATACTGCCCACACAGTCTCCTATCATGATCTCAGTCCCCCTATCGGTCAAGTTGATGCTGAAGGGTAAACATGTAGGGAGGTGGTGAAAGTAACGATGGCGATTGAACCCAATCAACCCCCCTTTTTTTAACCTTTCTTAACAAAATTTTATTAATTATTGTACGTTTTGACACTAAAGATATTTTGACTATTCAGACAAATTTGCATTTCTAATAATTCAATAGTTTAAAGCTAATCTTGAGCGCTGGTATGGGAATCGTTTTTTTTTTGAGAGAAAATTGCTCTGATTTATTCTGGATTCCTTATCCTGCAGTAAATTGGTTGTTTGAACCAGTGAAATAGAAACAAACGCACAAAAAACTTTCCGGGCATCATCTTCGATAACCAAAACCCCCACAACTCTCATTTTCACATAGTGACCGGCGTTAATCACGTGGAGCGGGACCTACTTACCCGGATATATTTCTATGCTCATTACTCAACCACTATACATTTTCTGCCAAAATTGTTTGGCACATTTCATTTATTTGTAATCTTGAACATTCAGTATAAGTTTGGTTGGATTATGTGAGAATATATTTTTATATTTACCCGAACTTAAGTTTATCTGTGTAACTATATAAATATACATTTTAGATTGTATGTTGGTATTTTTTCTCACCTTCTAATTGCCACAGTTTTATAAAAGATACAAATTACAATTCAAATAAACTCTACCACTGAGCCATCGCACCTTTGCGCATTTAATTTGTATATCAATTTCTTTCTTGACAGCTCTTGATCACCCTTCTCATGATGCTAACGAATTTGAACCGGACCTTTTCTTTGCGTAATCAATATGAAATGGTTATGTTACATTTTAGTTCATAAGTCGTTTAACTATTGAACTCAATCTTGAAATATCGTTCTATAAACTTTTCTTTCAAAAGACTGCATATCAGAATGTAATGAAAGGGGGCTGGGTATATGCCAAACTCTAACTTCTCTTCACTTTCCATACAATGTGATTTTGCTTAAGTGATTTATGCTTATATCATCTTTAGCTGTGACATCTGACAACGGCATTTCTCTGCCCTTGCATTCGTCGTGTTTGATATCACGTCTCGCTACGAATCACTGGGGGAAAAATGGACTAAGATCTCCTTTTTATCAAGTGCCGTGCCGTTGATATTAATATCCTCCGTTGACCGGAAGACTTTGCTCATTTTACCTTTGAAAGCTAGAGTTTATTAGTATAGGCCTATCCAGAAGCAAAGTGGACAACCCCTATCTGACACAAGCATCTTCTACGATGGAATACGGTGATTCTTTTTGTAATGATTTAAAGAAGCCGCCTGGCTGATTGACTACGACAAGAAGCATGTACTAACGGGTAAATATCCCCTATATAGCATCAAGGTTTGTGTTTAATCCAACGACGGATAACTATCTCGACAAAAAACCTGACACTGATTTTGAAAACAATCATAGTTTAACACATACTCGGTATTTTATAGCTTCTGCATTCAAAAATATTCACAATCACAATACGACATGGTTTAAACGTTCTAGTCCATCTCTGCTTTTTGTTCAGTCCTCAAGCAACCGTCGCGATCGACTAGCCACAAGATCTGCAAGTCGTTGCATAAGGCTTGCTCTCCTCCTTGCTCGACTGTCCTGCAAAATCATCTCCCCGTCGCCATCCACAATCTGACTCCGTCGTCGCCGTCGTTTGCCTAACGATTGGGTGTTGCAGCAACTCTGCCATCCGGAGACTAAGTCTGTGTGGTACGACTGTACCATTCTGGACAAATTGGTAGCCGCATGTCGGTTGCATTTCCTGAGATGGCCAATGGCGTCGACGATTTGAGCGTCGCTGACGCCGTGAGTGAAGCTGAAGGACGGGAAGCATTGACGCAGCGCTGATTCGACCGTGTCCATCTTGAGTCGTAAGGCATTTTCGAAGGTAGGTGCGCCGCTAAAACACTGCTCTCGGATGCATTGGAAGTCGGCGATGACGCAATGTGGTCCGATCGAGAAGACGATGACGACAATCATAAGGTAGAGAGAACACGAAGACGGATACAGTTTACTCTCCATTGAGAACCACCCACCGCAATACCTGGATAGAAAATAGAAAATAACAGAGAGTCTGCGGTTATATAATGTTGATCAATACCTATTCCGCCTTGCCAACTTTTCTAAAGTTTAGCTTTTGTACCCAAAAATAATAATGAATGCATGAATACTTGACGAAAATCACAAACCCGATAACTATTCAAACACTTACTGATTATTTTCTTTAAATGTTTTTGGTTTGTAAAATAAACATGACTTGTGGCTAGTTTGTTCATTATTTACGACAACGTGTGGGAAGCTTGATTTAATTTAGGAATCTGTTTTTTTTACCTTTACCTTTACCCGAGATTCTGGAAGAATGCTGTCTTCTCAGCAGTCGGGTTTCCAGTTCAATTTCATTTTCTTCCATCTCGTAATCTTTTAATCATTGATTGTAAGTATCTCGGACATAAAGCTTAAAGTAGATATTCATTGATTTTAAAAACTAATTTAATTTCATTATTGCAAAGTTAAAAACTTTGATTCGACAAGGTTATCAAAATTCAATGCTTGGAAAAAATTCGAAGTAATGATTATTATAAATTATAAAACGCTTAAATACGGCCCCGGCATAGCACATGAAGAGCTCTCCGAACGCTGCTGAGATGTGTGAGATCACAGTATGGACACGATTTGCACAAGCAGACGATGTCCCATGACATCTCACACATTTTCAGTGCCTGTGTTTTCATCTTCTCTTGAGTTCTTTCTCTTACTTCACTACTGTCATGCTAAATGTATAGTCTATTGCCTCACTCTAAAACCCGCACATGGTTTTATTTTGATGACAAATGCAGCGATACAAAACTAAAGGAATCTGTCGCTTGTAAACAAAATAACACGCCATTGAATATTCAGCTGCACACACCGCGGTATGTTCGGCGTTCCAAGAGGGAACAAATGCCGTTCTTATATCATTCCGGGGGGTTTTCAATTCGAAAGTCTGGTTTCTTTGAGTATTAATTAACCCCTTTCCTGTGTATTTACAAGCAAAAGATTTAAGTTATCGGAATCGGGTCATATCCCCTTTTGAATGGTTTGACATGCCATCACATCTATATACACTAAACTCATTATAATTTGACAAATAAAAGATTTGCAATTATGTTCATTCTTTATGGGATGTCGTCTGCTTGGGCAGTATTGGTCCATATAGTGACGTCATTAAAACATCGTTATTTTTCCGGCGAATCTCTCGTATATCCCAGCTGCTATGCAAGTGGTTGTATTTGTAATTTTATAAATCACCCGATATGTAGTTGACCTAAAACTTGTACGATGACCATCTGTTAGCTTACCAGTTTCTACTCATACATTAGTTGACATATTCGTCGCTGTTTTCACGAAGTGACGGTAGTGAAAAAAAAATGCATTCACTTTGCGTTACGATTTTCCTCACTACCGTCACTTCGTGAAAACAAGGACGAATTGTGATTTTCTTTGAATTTCACCTTTAAACATATACCCTAGTTTCTATTTTATTATTTCAACCCTGTTCGACCGAAATAACCAAACCTTTTAAAACGATATTTGCATTAATGTTCGAATTGACTTGAATCTTGATTACAATGAAATTATAATATACCAGGCTGTACGCGCCAAATCATTGCAATGATATTGTAGGTATAAATCACATGGAAATATACTTTTAATTATAGAGCAGTCACCTGAATAACTGACTCCAGATGAGCCGTTCTTAATTAGTACTTCATCATTATTACCTTAGAAGCTGTACAGATAATTACACTTTGTTAAATGTCATGGCTAATGATAATTATGCTACAAAAATAAACTCGTGCGATGGTTAATTAGGCTTGATATTTTTTTCACACATTGGTGGCATAATAATGACGAAGAACGAGATAACAAGCATGTGTGTTTAGGTGCGTGCGTGTGTGTGCGTGTGCGTATATATGTGTGTGTGTGTGAGAGAGAGAGAGAGTGAAAGAGATATATAAATGGTTCTGTTCGTACATGTCTTAAATTCAAGTTTGACATACATTGATGACGACATGCAGGGGACCGTGGGCGGGGTTATACGTTAATGAGCTTGATATGTCTAGAATGAAATCCAATCTAGACGGGTGTTAAAAGTTGATGTGATGAAGTTGGAGAAAGCCAATAGTAATGGGTCGGGACTGTGTGTATCATATGCAATAATTAGGTCTGCTAATGATAGAGTCTTCAATGAAGATAAGATAAATGAAAATTAAGATAGAAAAGCAAGTTTCAGTACTACGTGGATGTGGACAATGTACCGAAGAAAACGAAAAGGGATATTTTAAAAAAGTGGGTTAAAAAGTAATGTGAAAATCACGAAATCAACATCGAATTACATTACATGATGGAAATAATGACAAATTAATGGCAACTGTTTTATATCCTATGACTGCTCTATACATGTATTTACATTTTGTTGTTGTTAGAATGCAGTTATGTTATTTCCGCTCCAAACTTAACAATTGTGCTTTATTGATTTTAAATCATAACTAATTGGACAATATATTAATTATGTTATACATGTACATTTAAAGAATTAGCATATCTTAATATGAATTAGATCGATATTCAAGCATTGTTTCAACAGAATTTAAAACAATTGACCATAAAACACGATATTCAGCCTCCTACTATTTTAATTACTATTTGTTCATAAACTTCTATATTTAGCAATATCCCCGTCACCAGCATTCCTAAATACGTCTAATAATTATGTAGGATAATATTATGTTTGACGCTTTTTGTTATGAAAGGTTGATTTTGTTCCTGCTGTGAGTACGAAATGTCACGCTGGGTTATATCGTGTGTAACGTCACCCAGGCGTTACGTCTTACGCGTTATCAACGGTCTCCTTCTCTTTACTTATGAGGCTAAAGGGAACTGTCATACACAGTCGTTGCATAATCATGACAATGTACAGGATATATGGGCAATATCGTACCACTCATAAAAAATTAACAATCAACGTTTTTTTTCTTCACAAAATTAGCATAAACTGCAAAACACCGTATGAATACCAAATGTGTGAATAATCTAAAGCCACATGATCGGCAGTCTTGAAATACACATAAATAAAGTAGGGTTAAAATAATTGTATGTATTTTTTATTGAAAAGGAAAGCTTGATTCATATGGTGACCGAATATTTTATAAGAATGGAACTATTAATGAAATGACACAATAATCGAAATAGTAAAGTTGGTGATGATAATAGTAAGAAGAAAAAGAGGAAGAATATTCCTAAGAACAATGATGCTGATAATGTTAAAATTATAACAATTTCATGATCCCACAGGGAGTTAAAGAAGAAAAAAATACATTAGGAAAATTACAAAACGGAGAGAAATACATGTATATAGAGAGGGGCACACATACACATACACACGCATACACACCCACATTCACCCCATATTACTCAAAAGACACTTAACAAAGAGAAGGAAAGGTGCGAATCGCTCAATTTGCGATTATTGGCAGTCGTCTCAAATATCTTTTACAACCCTGGCTTAGATATCTTTCTCAAATCAGAATAATATAATATTTTAGTATAGTTGAAATCTATACATTACAGTATTTCCCCCAAAATAAACAGAGCAAGATAACGAGCGAGGAAAATCAATACTACTTAATATCAAGACGGCCAAAATAAAAATGCGTAGGACTGTAAACCCTTCGAGCATATTTGTATCAGTTGTCACACAAACTGACAGAAGAATAACTTGGTCGAAGAATAATGTGCACTAAACTAAATCTCCATTGACTTCATTTTGGCTCCTTGAAGGTATAAGGTCATGATTTAAATAATAGGTTAAATGCAACGTATAGATTTACCAACCATACCAAATATCATAGGAAATGCATAAACGATTGTCGTACTTCTAGAAGGTTCTACATTTCCATCATCCAAGATGCTAATAGATATGTATATCATTTCAAAACTATCAATATCATGACGTAACAGCGAAGGCGGAGGGTGAACTATAAAGTTTCCTTTTACTTAGTTCTATATTTTTATGCACGTTTCAAAGAAACTCAAATTGAAAACACAGAAATTGGAAACGAAAACGCTCTGGGCCTGAATATTAATTTACTCCTTAAATATAATATCCACAAGGCATATATTACTGGAAAATCAATAAACTATGGATACTCCTACTTTACCGTATCAATGAGGACTTTTTGATGGTGTAGAAAGATTTGTTATCTGTAAATGGTTGTTACAAGTAGATGACTTTGACCAATTTGTCCAAACAGTTATAATTGACAAAATAGCAAATATCTGTATAATATAGGAACGTTCACTTTTGGAACATTATTAGCTACTTTCATTCAAGACTAAAGATACTAAAATTGACGTATAACCCATAATGAGTGATTAGAAATTTACTATGCATTGTTTCAAAAATGTATTACACCTTTCGAAATGGTTTGGTTTATTTCAACTGCTTAGTCTAAATGCTGATTTCTGAAGCCTTTCGAGTTGTAAACTCATGTTCTCTGAAGTTATTACCAACAAACCGTCAAAAATTCAATAACAGTATTGGAAGAGAGTTATATCATAATACATATTTCAAAGTTTAATCGCGTGCATCGTCCCTATTTATTGCGGAAGAGGTGAAACAATCACACTTGTCACTCACTCTTTCCCCTCAAGACGAAAATCGTAAGATATCATAAGCTATCAAATTACTACGTAAATGCAAGTGGATTAAGATGAAGATTTTCAAGAATAAAATGAATTGAATCAATCAGGAATGAAATGTTAATAGATTTGTGGCTCAGTATTATGTTAGACGAACAAAATAAACATTTCTTACAAAAGAACGAAAAACAGGTGGCCAAACTACTGGAAATTAGTGGTGGTGGTGGTGGTGGTGGTGGTGGTGGTGGTGGTGGTGGTGGTATTGGCGGTGGGGGTATAGTGGCGATGGTGGTAGTGGTTAGATGTTTGCTTAAAAGTGACATTATCTGCGTTCAGCATTTCTGTACAAACTTCATTTTTAGGGGTTATATACAACGTTAGTCAATATAATTATATGAGTCTCGTAATAGGTTGTCACCATACAGAATTTAGAGCAAATAAGGTTAGTGAAAATACCATTTTCTATAAGCATTACAATTAATTCCAATGTAAGATTAAAATTTGCAACAAATTTATCAAAGGAAGTGCTCTTTATATACTTTCGATATATGAAAGGTTTCTTAAAAAAAACTTTGTAACAGAGAAAAATGGTTAGAAATTATTGAAACAATAGATTAAACAAACCTTAATTGCGCTAACTACTTTTTTTTAACAAGCATTCTAGAATAATTCGACAAAATGAAATAATCACTGGCCCCCAAAAGCTAAGAATTCCTTTTCAAAACAAAACAATTGATAACGCGTAAATACAAGTTGGTACAGATGCTGCATAACATTCTCTCTAAGTATTGAAAGGCTGGTTTAACATTTATTAGAACAAAAGTGTGACATTAATCCGCTAGCATTAGAAAAGGCTTCACGAATAAAGTTAAAAGGTAGAATAATAATGATAATAATATTTGAAACTAACCTGTTTGAGGAATAATTCTTCTTCCGAGATTCCAGGATCGCAGATGAAAGCCAGAACTGATGAGGCAGAAAATAATAAAAAAGACCAATGCTTGTCATAAGGCGGTGACAAAGTTTGGATATCCAACTGTTCGACGAATAAGTAGAAAACCAACTGATGACAAAGATGAGTCTGAAGAGAGAAAAATGAGATGGGTGAGGGTGAGAATGATGAACGTACCAACTCTCTAGACGAATGAGAAATAACCCGAAGAGCATACATCAAGCTGAGCTAAAATAGATATCGGTATTTCATCTCGGCCCTTTGACGTATCAATATGACAGGATTACCTAGACCCCCCTCCTCCTCCATTCCCATCTCTCTCTCTCTCTCTCTCTCCCTCTCTCTCTCTCCCTCTCTCTCTCTCCCTTTCACTCTTATTCTCCATTAATCGTGCCAGTCATCCATTGGGAGTGATGCTATGGTTTTATGGATCCAACCCCCTTGGAGAAAAATGGATGTGTCTGGCGTGCGTAAATTTATAACGTTTTGGTTAGGGTGGAGCAGTGTGATGTCTCGAGTCGCCGAGCAGAGATGGACGAAAGTTCGACTGCCCGACACTCGATTTGAGTTGAGGGGGATATAACCTGACAACAAAGATGTGCAGATAATTATTCACTCACGTCTGAATAATCTATAGATTCGATAGATACATCTGTATAAATCGTTGAACAAAGAACAAATTATACAGAAAGTGCTTCGTGATCATTGACTCCTTTTGTATGGTAATTTACGTGAATATCTTACAAAACATTGAACTCACCTTAAAATACGTGAGAAAGACTCGACGATCGATATGATATTAAAAACAAAACTCTTGCAACTGATCAATAAGGACATTTGTAATGAATTCTTTAATAATATCTTCACCATCCCTTGTGATATCCTGCTCGTACAAAATTCAATAAGTGAGTAAATTTTCGAGTATATTTAATATTCACAGTTCCTGCAAAGGAGAACGTGTGTTCTTACCATTTTTCAACATCCCCCTATAAAATGTACAGGTTTCTGCTGTGTGCTATTCAAACCGAATTCAAACCAGAATCAGCCATGCAAAAAGTCTTCGTCTACGGCTGATCTTCAACGAAGCGGAGTTAAGTCTATTGTCAATTCTGTTTGTTGCTACGGCAGGCAGCCAGTAAAAACGAATTCGTTTAATCAAATAATGGAATCAAGCATTACTTTAAACAAACAGAACTGTGTTATTCCTAGTTCATTTGTCCTGATTGAGGTGTCATATTAAAGGGCAGAAAATGAACTTTCTAATGTGATTTTCTCTTGAAATTGAGATATTGTCCGCCAAATGACTTTTTGTACTCTTTCTTGATTTTAATCACCCATGCGTGAAATATGCATCAAACGAAAGAGGTGGATCTAAGCTTCACAAATACGTGTCATTTATTAATTATAATCGTGATTAAGTTATGATAAAACATCGATAATTCTCGGTTTCGTTGTTTCTGGGACGCACTGTATAACAGCGACATCTGCCAAATACGCGTATTAGTGTGTGTATGTTTGGTTTTGAAGGAAAATAAATCGACCACCTATGTGATATTTTGGGAATCGTGGGTTTTTCCCTGATATACCCTTTCGTATCTGTTGTCGGTCACATTTAATAGTGTGCTCACAATCCTTCTAAATTTGAAATTAATCTCTAATTTAACGTTCGTTTATGTCAACAAACTGAATTAGAATCCTGGTTTAATGACAGTAAGCTCACAATAACATTTAGACATTGGCAGGCTGCATCAATCACATCATTAATGAAAAAGTGAAAATTAGCGTGAAATAACCCTAAAAGTTAATGCAAAGGAGAAATTACACTTCGTTGTATTATTTCTCTCCCGGATTTTGTTTCGCTAAACAAACAAAAAATTGAAATGAAGATACATGAAACACTTCATTTTGTTAAATGATTTATTTCTTGAAACGTTTGAAAAAGTAATATGTTTAATGTTGCTCTTGTTTTTTATCAGGGAAATTGAAGTCGCACGAGGATTTGGTGATGGAGCTACACAATCATGGAAATTTCATGAAAGGAAATGTTTGAAGTTGACTTCTAAGAGTTTACATGGAGGAATTTACCAGATAATACGATTCTGCCAAAAAATTGTTTTTTCACTCAGGACACCATCATTGTCGTAAATCTATATACACCTGCCGGTTTTCGTCCTTTCCTTTCATTATTCAATTTTCTAAAAGATCACGTTTATGATTACAAAACTAATATAGCGTGACATTAGTTCCACGCGATTATCATATTATTTTGATATTAGCATAATTCAAAACGGGGAATGTGTCTCGTCTATACTCTCCCAATATCTTATGGACGAAAATATTAATACACAAGCTTATCTCCGTTCCTGTATTCGGCTGTAAATGATTTGCCTTTAAATGAATCAATTAGGAAGCATTTTCTGAATTAAATTTCCCAAATGAAATCTTTTCTATGACCCTAAAAGTACCGCGCTTGGTTTTTTCCAAACATGATACTGATTGTGACAGTGTTGTCATATCTATATCTCACCACATCTTCCCACCGAGTATTCGCACCCACCTTTGAGCACATGCTTCATACTCTCACGAGTTAGCTCATCGTTATTGCCTGTAGGAACTCAGTGAAGCCCGAGATATGAATCCGGAGGGAAATCAATTGTTTTCGCTTCTTCGGTTCGCTTATTTTATCCTATAGCAAGACTCTCATTGAGCCGATTGGTCAAAGGAGAATTGCGTCACCGGGGAGAAAGCTGATGCATCGCAGATTGAATAATATATCGCGGCTCAGCTATCGAATCAGTGGTAGGTAAACATTCACTGATTCCGCAGTAATTGATCGAATTGATCAGCCGTGTAAAAAAAGGAAACATGATTACGACGAGCTGGATGCAAACAAATCCTAAGAAAGATATGGTGTTTATATCGTTTTATGATAATTTCCCATATCAGGAAATACAATTTACTTTTTGTTAAAATAACTACTTTCATCGTCAAATTACTGTATCAAGTAAAGAAAGATGAACGGACTATCGGGTTCTATCAGCCCAAAAGATGAATCGTCTTCCGAAAACTTTTTTTTAAAATATAAGACCATAGGAACCATTGCATAAATTTAAACACATAACAATAATTAGCAAAGGTCACATAATAATTTACTCAGCATCAAGATATCCCCAAAGATAAAGGTTTCCTCTTCCAGACAAGCGAGGGGAACCATTGCCCTCCGTCCTCATACCACACGGGATCTCTTCCGGTAGAAGTTCAGCAGTGCCCTGAGTCCAGAGGACTGCAAACCCATTCCCTCGATGATGTTTAAACGTCATCTCGAGCGCATGTCACCCATAGGCATTCTGCCCTAAGCTAGCACGGCCCTTTCTCTCAAAATTCAGCTGATTTTTATTTCTCATTGTTCCGTGATTGAATTTTTCTGCTTGATCTCCCATTAACTAATTTTCCCGATTAGAGAAATCGTAATTTCCCATGACAGGGGCTATACAGTTTATTCACATGCACGTGGTGCACTGGTTCCAATTTATTAAAGAAATGCATATAAAAAAGGGTGAATATAGACGCTCCTATTCCCCTAAAGAATATAAGTGGATCATTATTTTACTTTTAAACTATCTACGAAATTCAATTACAAAATTAAAGGTAAGTGTTCGTTAAAGTCATAGATGTAAATGTTTCTTTTCTTTTCTCTTTTTGTGTGTGTGGGTGTGTGTTTGCATACGCGTTTATCCAGACAGAAGCCTAATATCGATAAGCTAACAACGAATGTACATGTATCTGATCCACCACATACTGCATATAATTATGTTCATAAAGAGAGAAAGAGAGAGAGAGAGAGAGAGAAAGAGAAATGGAAAGAGAGAAATGATCACACACGCGCATTCACACTTAAAAATATGATAACCATTTCACCAAGGGACCGCTAACTCTTGTTTATTAACTGCTGTTCATAAAACAAAATTCTGTTAAAGAAATTTCACAAAGTTACAAACACATGCAGAATGTGCCCTTTGCGAAAGGTAACCCGAAACCTGGATACACCCTTTCTTTTCCTGTCAAGTCGTTAACAAATTCTGGAATGATCTTAGCACCCTTTTTTCTAAACAGAATGTTATCTTTTATCGTTTGTAATAGAAATTCATATTCTCTGTGGTATTTATGAGCCTCGTAAGTCTAGAAATAGCTATTTCTCAAATTCTGCTGTCAGGTAAACAATATATTTTCAAGTGTCGGTGCGGAGTTAAAAAGCCTACTCCAACTCTTAATCACGTTTGTAATTTGCATTACATTGCATAAAGGTTAAAACAAAACGAACAAAAATGCATTCATGCTGCCAAGTGAGTTAGCATTTTGAATATTACAAAGGGTCAGTAGGAATGAGAGCTTGTGTTTTATATGTTTTCTTTCATTCGGCCAGATGCCTGCTCTTTGTATAATTTTTCATTTCTGATGAGCATTGTTTATTTCTGGTTGTCCTCCTGTAATCGTTTGATTGCTGTTGTTTTTATATACTAGACATTCGTGCATGCCACGTCACTTATATTTTATTATAATATCCATCATAATCTATGTTTATACTATAATTGTGTAGTTTAGTTTGAAATTAAAAGGATTTAAAAAACACATGAAATACCAACAATAACAAAAGAGTATTCATTTTGCCCTAAAAAAGTAATCGAGATGAATAGTGCAGGGAAGTTTGTATTCTGAATGAATGAATTTCGTGAAATTGATACGGCATGCCAATTTGGGTTTGAATAATTATTGCATACATCAGGATGTGATCAAACTTGAAATGCAAGCTACCCACACACCAAGATTATTTCAATATCAGGTACTAGTATATTGAAACTATAGGATGATTCATAGCATTATGGTCTTTAGCAACGACCCTAAATATAAATAGTGCCTTGCTTGACCTATGGTAATCTCGAAGAAAATAGACTATTGATAGTTAGTTAATGGAGAGGATACACCCTTGCTAAAAGCATAATTGGGCAATTTAGTATTACCACGATGCGGTTATAATGGCAGCTTGAATACGTACACCAGGCGAGGTACAGGAGAAGTACTTGAGAACGGCTCATTGAAGCAGGGAAAAACATGGTAAACAGAATCAACAG